CGAGCTCATTTAAGGAGCAGACAAATACAAATGCACACATTTTAATCACTTTGCTCATTAACAGCGGCATCGACTAGGACAGCGCCACGGAGTGGGGGGCTGCGACAGACCAGCCGAGTATCTGGCTATATAATATTGGTCATAAATCAATATAATGGTCGAGTAGATGCATTAGCATGTAATGGGGAAAGGGCTGGTCAGGGTCAGGGGTGCATTAGAAATTAGCCAACATTTTGGAGAACAAATAACAATTATTAAATAAGCTTTTGTTTTCTTAATTTAGCCTTGAATTAATTAATAACTTATTAAGAATAAGGCACATTTTCAAATTTCTTGGAATTTGTTAGATACATAATACTAACTAATGTATTTATTTATATTTCGACATTTATTAAATATTTTCGGTAAATAAAAACAAGGGTTTAGTGCAAAAATTCCAAGCCACACTGACAACGTCCCCATTGCCCCAAAAAAGATTACAATTATTACAACTTTAAAAATGATAACTACTTTAAAATTACTTTATTCTCTAGAAATTTGTACTTAAGCTATAAACAAGATGCCTTCCAAAGTAAACATACCTTTCAAAAACAGCTCTTTCATTTGAATGGAACATCTTTTGTCGACATCCAGAGAATCGGTTGTTAAAAGCCGAGTTATCACACACTTAGTAACACTGTATTTTTAAATTATTATGTTTTATAGTAAGCTCTGTTAAATTTTTTGCGTCTCATTTGATGAAACAATAATTAATATGTATAATATGTATTATATATGGTGATGTTAATATCTTGGCAGAGTTGTGAATGACGACGAACATGTTGACCAAAATTCCTCATTTCAGTGCGACAATTTATTATAAATTAGCCAACATCCTCGAAGAAACTTTTGGAATTAGAATGAAATATCTTCAAACCAACGATTCATCGCTTTTAAACGAGCAATCTTTAATTCCACAAAACTTGACTGATAACTTAAAAAATGCTCTCATCGATTGGCCCTTAGGGCTGAGTTTTGAATTTTGACAAAAAAAATCTATGAAAACTCCCTCTGCCTATGCAGGGAAAGCGCTATGACGACATCGACGCCAAGAAGCTTGTACCAAAAAAAATGTACCTTCAATTGCAGCTTGCAAAATTGATTATTACGCACCTAATGGATCCCTTGTTGTGTTAATTATTATATGTCGTACGTAATTATGTTAATATTCTCCAAACTTTTAGTCGGTAGGCAACTACGAGTATGAATATTACTTATATATAAATGTGACTAACGAATCCTGTAGACATCAGAACTTTTCAACCAATGCATTGGGAACATGTGAGCACTATTTAAGAGGACTTTCAAAAATTTTACAACGACGCATTCTTTAAAAAAAAAAAAAAACTAACGGAATAACTGGGGAAAAAACTGTTATGTTATGTTTTGTCAGATTTGCTACCATGAGGGTCAGCATTTAAGTGGGAGTTGGTTATTTCGGTAAGCCGAGCTGCTTCTGTGCAGCATTATATGCATTATCAGAGACGACACGGACCCTATGCTAACATTTTATGTTTGTGGGCATAAAACGGCAACAAACACACTCGACTAAGACTTTGGTTCGTTTGCCTCCATGGTCGGTTTAGTGATGGGCCGGCAACATTGTTGTCATATTAGTAAACGTAACTAACTTTAGTTATTGCGCGTGTTGCGATTTCGCGCGTTTATGGTCCCATTTAAGACTATGAGATGGAAATGTTGTGTCGGCGGTGCCAACAGATTTATCACCAGGCCCAGTCGCAGGCCCAAGTCCAGACCGTGCTGGCGCAGGCGTCTAGGGTGCATCTCGGTGTACGTTTGGGCCTTGGTAAAGTTCATCGATTTCAGCCAACCCAAGCAATAAAAACTGCGCGTAGTGAACAACAGCAAAACACATTTTCTACATTGTTGCTAACAAATAAGAGTCGCTGGTGCTGTGTTGCAAGTGAAGAATGCCCTGGGCAAGAGCGATGAGGACGTCGAAGACGAGCGGTCGTAAAAATGTTTGACTGCGATTATATGGCGCTCGCTTGAGCGCCACTTTGTCAGAAGGATGCTGATGGACTGTCCCTGGCCGTGCTAGCCCAATAAATGTGCCAAATTATTCAAGCTTTGCTCTCGGCTAACACCCCTAATGCCTTCAAATTTTTGACCGCTGCCAAATGCGAGCAAAAACAAAAAACTAAGCCCGCCGTTCAACTGCCCAAATCGATAAGTGTCTGACTGTGTAAATATCGTATATTGTATAATTTATGGGCCAGAGGTGAAAATATTTTCAATAGAAGGTGATTTAAATTTATTAAAGGAATGCTCACGAGAGCAGCCCCGCACTAAATTAGAATAAAGTGATGCCCGGCAACGGGAACTGGAACTGGAGTGTGCGTGTGTTGGAGTGTTGGAGTGTTTGAGCTCATAAAAAAATCAAGCAAATTGAATTTGTGTGAATGGGCGCGCGCGCGCTTGCGCCGATCAAGCGATCCACCTAACCAGCTATCCAGCTATCCAGCAATCCACCGATCAGACCGATCAGCATTATGGGATCTGCTCAGTCGGTCGCTCTGCTCTACTCCGCTCTCCCCTGCTCTGGCTGCTCTTATCAGATGCAAATGCACAACATACGCGCTCAACTCATTTAAATCTCGGCCAGAGACGACCGTGGCTGAAGCCGAGGCCGAGGCCGAGGCGGAGATCGAGGTCCAGGTTCCCAAGTCCCCAAGTCTAAGCCAACCCGTCGCTGGATGATGATGCTGTGCGACGAGCTCGCCTTTTGTTAACACCATAATTTACATTGATTTATGTGCTTAGTTGACTCTGCATTTTTAATCGGTCAGTCCCGGGGTACCAGTGTCCATGTCCATTTCTCTCTCCCTCTCTCTTTCTGGCTAATATACATATACTCGTAGATATGCATATACATACATATGTACATGTGAGTGTGCGAGCACGCGGCTTCATTTGGTTATAATTAAAATGTCGATGTTATCTACAAGATTTGGACATATTGGCCATTACGCTTGAAATTTAAGCGTTTTCTATGCGCGTATTTTGATTTGGATTTCGGTTTCGTTTGCTTTTGCTTTTGCTTTTCGGTTTGCATTTACTTTTTGTGTTGGCTTTGCGCTTTCCTCCATGGACACCAGACAATGAATATTGATTAAATTAATATTTAATAACGTTTTTAAGAAGCTTTTGAGTGTTAAATGTTTAATTTATGCGCGCGCCTGTTGAGCGCTCGCTCGTTGCCACAATTCGAATGTTGTTGCTATCGAGTTTTTGTTTTGGCTGAATGATTATGCGTGAAATGTGACATCTGAATTTTATGCGTTGGCATTTGGATCGTGCCCCCAAATCCCCTAACCTACTGCTGCTCGATTTAGCGCGCTAATGAGCCGCACACACAATAGCTGGCCACTTAAACAGCCCAAATTGATCATCAAAATGTTGGGAATTGAGTCCAAATGAGTATAGTATATCAAAGTGGCTTAATTATGGCCTAATTGGAAATAAAAACATTTACCCAACTGGTCGTCGCAAGCAGGTCTCGCCCAGCTTCCGCCTCATTTTCATATCCAAATATTGCGTTTCATTAACTCGTAAAACACTCACTGAATCTTATTTGCTTACTAATAAGATGGCCTCCCACTAAATCAGTTTTATCGATGCAGCAGCAACCTACTTACACAAAATAATAAAAAAGTATCGTCGCCTCGTTTTCAACTGAATGGCAGCACTTCGCTGTGCCAGAATGCCAGTGCTGCCCATCTGTATGCTCCCTTTGAAGCTACAGTAATAACAAGCTGATCGCAGCATTTGAAATTAAAAATAGAAATGCAACACTAATTTTAGTTTTGCACAAATTTATTGTTTGTTTATTTTCTTTTGTTCTCCTCTTCGTTAAGGTTCACATTAGAGTAGCCATAATTTATTTAGTACTATACTTTGAGCTAACTCGCACATAATGCGAGTCTAGGATATCTTACACGCCGTTTCGCTCCAGTTAACAACTAACGGTATCAGTTCAAACGCAACCAAATTAGTTTGCACTTAATGACCAAAATTTAAGCCTAAGTTATACAAAGTTAAGTAGGTATACCTGTATGTATATATATATATTGCATATGCTATAGCCTTAAACGGTGATGAGGTAAGCAGCCAGCAGCCCGACGACTGGCAAATGCATAAAGATGAATAAATTACATTACAATCAACATTATATCGTAAGTACAGCTCACACTCGATAAAGCCAGCCACGAAATTAGGCCTGGTAATAAAATTTATCGCGGGTTAAAAGTTATAACGAAATTTGCAGACGCCAAAAAATGAGTTCACTTGATATTAGTTTTTGATGTGCGACAGAAAAACTTTTCAATTACAAATTTAAGCTGAAACCTTTATCGAGCGTTTGCTGCAATATTTCTGGTATCTAAGCAATGTGAACATAGTGGGGCGTATTAGTTACAATTTTAGTTTAAATTTAAGCATGTCCACACACAGAAATGCCGCCTATTATATTAACGCGTTTTGCTGGCGTAGTCACAACACAAACAACAACAGCCACTGCGCACAGTTGTACATATAAATATACAAATATATGGATGTATATACATATATGTATGTATGCATATACGGTGAGCTGCAGTGGGCGACAGGCCCGCTAGGCAGCTACATACAAGTAAGTAGGTGAGCAGCATGTTAACTTTGGTTTTCGATTTGTTTTTTTCTTTAATTTTCCTACAAACAACATTGCAGTGTAGTAGTTGTCGTCGTCCGCATCTCAAGTTACAAGCCCGCAACACGCATGGACCGCCCCCTTCGCGGACGCCATTCAAACGCCCCCTGCCCAACCTTACAAGTATGATCCAATGCAACGACATGCTGCGCGCGCCTTTTGCTTGTCACAGCGCGACGGGCTTGTCAATCACAAACGCGCGCACAACTCAGGTTCTCAATTAGACGGACACCAACCCCCTGCCCCAAACAAGCTAACGGTCATGCTTTAGAAGCTGCAACGTTGTCGTTGCATCGGATGACAAGCGACCCACCTTCGCTGCCGGCGACTCAATTTCAGCATCGGAGTCGTCGTGCACGTTGATCTCCTCATCCGAATCGGAGGAGGAGTTGTCCACGGTCACAGTAGTGGGCATTCCACTAATACCGCCCGTCGTAGCCTCTGCGGTGGCGTAATGGAGTCGTGATCTCTGCTCCTCGGCCACCGTTAAGGAAGCAGCAACGGCATATTGACGAGCCAATCCTAAGGCGAAGGCAGCTGCCGAGGGAGAGCCGACCAAGCTGCGAAAAGCGCTCCGTTCACCGCCCATGGAGAGGGGCGTGGTGCCGCTGGACGTGGGACTACACGTGCCTGCCGTTGTGGGCGAGTGTTGTTGTTGTTGTTGCTGCTGCTGCTGCTGCTGCTGTTGTTGTTGCTGCTGATGATAGTGGCTAAGCAGTTGTAGCGCCGCTGGATGTGTGGGCAGGTGATGATGATGCGGATGATGATGGCTCGGCGGCAAGCCGTGTAGCGGATGCAGTGCAGTGTGCAGCATCGGCGGCGGTGGCGCCTGCTGTGTGGATAGTGGCGAGTGCTCCGGACACATCGCCACCTGATGAGGACCTGTCGAAGCTGAGGCATTGCTGTGGGTGCTGGGCGTGGGTGAACTGGTGGCTGTGGTGGTACTCAGGCTTGCTGGAGCATCATTCGATTGCTGTGAGTGCAAGGGGTTCGAGGAGGGTGGCAGGGCGCCGTTGGGACTGGCCCGTTGACGCTTGAGCAAGTTCATACGCTGATGACGACGCCACTTAGCGCGACGATTCGAAAACCAGACCTGTTGACCAATAAAAAAATAAAAAAATAGAAAGGAATTTTGTTAAGAGTGAACAGAAATAAATTACAAGAGTTTTATTTCTACTTTAGTGATATACGGTAAAATAAATTGTTTATAAAGTATAGGCACTACTCTATTACTCTACTTATTATACATGACTTCGTTATTCCTGAAACTGAATGAAATCAAATTGGAACTGAAACTTGAAATAGACAACAAGCCATCCTAAACATTTGTATAAGCTCTGTGTTTCCATCAAATATTAAAATGGTCAAAACGTTTTAATATATTGGTTTGTTTAATTAATTTTACATTTTGAACGAAATGTTGATAAATGTATTATTTCCCGAATATCGTTTAAATAACAATAAATAATCACGTCTAAGCCTTAAGAAGAGGATCGAAATTTGTGTACTTAAGAAATGTGCAAGTATTTATTATAAGTAAATTATATTATATAAGTATGTTTTAAAGCTATCAATGTTTTAATGTAAAAATGTGACTCACCTGTACGCGAGCCTCACTGAGACTGGTGCGACTGGACAATCGCTCACGCGTGCTCACGCACGGATAGTGGCTCTTGTCGAACTCCTTCTCCAATTCCTCCAACTGTTCCGGGCTGAATGTGGTGCGATTGCGTCGGAACTTGGGCTCATCATCATCGTCCATATAATCAGAGTCAATATGACGATTTTCGTCGGCCGACTCGAGAGTGTCGTGACTACCCGACCCGGGCGAAATGGCCCGATTTGTTGGAGCACCACCGACGCCACTTCCCAATAAATTGGCAGAGCTAAGGCTACTGGGCGTCGAGCTGCCCGCACTAGGGGGCAGATTTGCCAAAGTGGGTGCCGTAACGCCCCAGAAGTGGGCCGAGGGGGGCGGAGGTGGTACCGGTCCACCGGCACCCACATTGCCAGCGGCTGCTGCTGCTGCCGCCGGATGCCAGGTGAAACTGCCATACGGATGAGGTGGAGGCGGATACAGACCATAGGCCGCTGTACGGGCAAACTCACTGGCCACACGCTCAGCGGCGCGATTACGTAGGATGCGATTTATTGAGGATACCGACGGTGCGGTGGCATTTGTGCAAACACCTGCAAAACGATTGAAGCCAAATTAGCAAGCGGCAGAGATGAGACACAAAGATGAGACGAGATGAGCGCTTGCAGCGGCACTTTCACAAGCCAGGCGAGGCTCAAAGGCGGCCGCCGATCAGCTGGCGATCAATCAATGCGCCTCAAAGCGGATTAAACGTCAATCGAATTGCCCCCCTGCCCCCTAACTCACCTTCCGAGATTAAGCGCTCGCGTATCTCCCAGGCAAATATCGTCGGATTCTCGCGCTTATACTGTTCGATCTTTGAGACAACCGTCGGCGTGGCCACTTTTGGCTTGGAGCCACCAATTAGACCAGGTGGTCGCAGTGAGCCTGCAAATATCAACAACAACAACAAAATATGTTAAGCCGATGGTGTTGTGAAATCTGTTGCGCTTCAGCTGATGAGTTATGACTAGAATCGGAGATTAGACCGATGCGCAGTCAAGCCACTTCGAATTTAAACTCTTGATTGTGGCAGCTACTTGAAAATTAGAAGCCACTTTAGATCGAGTTCAATTTTTGAATAAATTGAGGGGATTTGCAAGCAAGCATATTCAATTAAAAAGTGCAAAGGCTATATATATAGTAGTGTAATGCAAGTTTATTTTCATTTCTGCTTTCATTTATCTAAAAAACAAATTCATGCTTCTGGACCTTGATCTAAATGAAAAACTTCAGGCAGCATTTTTCAAAACCATGAATGAACAAATACAAACCCCCACTTTAAATATCCCTTAAATTTTTAAATTAAGTCGGGACAGTTAAGCCAGTTTGAACTAGGTTGTATAGGGAATTAGACAGTTCCACTAGTATTATAATTGGCTTTAATGGCAAGTTTACACTTCAGTTGTTCAGCAAAGAGAGCGTTTTAATGGACATTTATGGTGCAGAAAGAGGTTACAGTTTTCGAAATATGTATGAAATAGAAATATGTAACTTTCAGTTTTTTTTAAATTCTTCAGTGTCTTTCGGTAAATCACCGAGCTTGATAAAACCAATTCATCCAATAACAATTGCTTTCAACTGCTACATTCTTAGTGAAGGACTCTGATCATTTTTTATGGATTCAGTAAATATCATGACTATTCAGATACGATTTGATTTAAAAAGAGTATTTGTATTGCAACCTTGTTTCCAAATGGTACGTACTATATATACAGAATTGCTGAATTATTGAATTACAATTATGTAACGTTCAGTTTTTTTTTATATTCTTCAGTGTCTTTCAGTAACTACACCGTTAGTACGAGTAAAAACATAGATGATCGGCTTGATAAAACCAATTCATCCAATAACAATTGCTACATTCTTAGTGAAGGACTCTGATCATTTTTTCTCTGATCATTCAGTAAATATCATGATCAGTAAATCATGATTTGATTTAAAAAAGAGTGTTTGTGTGGCAAGCTTGTTTCCAAATTGTACGTACTATACAAGTATTTACAGAATATAATTGAATTACATTCAACTTTTTAGCCATTCATTTTTGAAGAATAAAATTCAGTTCAAGATGGAATCCCCCCACAAGTGGTTACCAGGTACCTTGGCTTCATACCCTAACTCATTTGGGCACTTAAGCCAACCCTTTCTTCTCATCTACCACATACACCTTATCGCACACACTTAATAGCTTTATCAGAGCATCGACAATTGCGGTAGGCAGCAGGAGGGCTAACCCTGCGAAGGGGCTTACCGGTTAGTGGCAAGCACGCACCTTTTACTGTTGCTTCTACAAGTACTGCTGCCTCGTTCCGCGGGCACTTGCGCGCATCGCTGCGCAGTCCCTTTGGCCCTTCCTCTACCCCAGCAGTAGGACCGACCCCTACATATGCGATTACAGCGCGTTTTGATTAATGAGCCTGCAATGCGCAGCCACCGCCAACAGCGACCGCCGCACCGCTCGGGTCGTCTCGGCCAAGGCGTTTATGCAATTTTAAGTGGCCAAATTACACAGACAGGCGAGCAACGCCGACCGCGCTGCGGCAACAAGGATAATAACATGTTTATCATCAAAATTCGCAAACAAATCGAAAACAAAGTGGTTATTATCTGACATGTGATGAATGTACATACTCGTACTCGCATAGTAGTGTATGGTTGCAGGAAAAACAAAGTAGCCAAGATTGCTTGCCAATCTCATTGAATAGATCCTGTATGTACATTTTCTATGACAACTGCATTTATTCATCGGTCTGTTGGTCTTTAGTAAATATTCTTTAATACAACTTTCCTATATACTGCTTACCCCAACAAATGATCTAAGCTTATACGCCCTGATTGGGACCTGTCTCGAACCATGCCGTATTTATCATCGCAGAAAGCACGATCGATTTTTGTTAAATAGAATAGTTGTAATTGGTGCAACAAATCTTAAAGAAAAACAGGAAAAAATACACCCTTTTTCTTATCGACGAAGCCATTGCTAGTTCCTAAAAATGCTTTGATTATGAAAGGAATACGCTGTGATCTTAATCAGTTAGTTTTATTTCAGCAGATTAAATTTAACATCAATACAAGTAGGTACAATGGAACATAGAATGGTCAGTCCATAATTTTCATTATTTTGAACAGTTTCAGGTATTTTATAGACTGAAATAGATTAATGACTATTCTTTTCACGTTACCTCAAACGTACATACTACATATCTATAAATCTAATCACTTAATAAAGAATGTCCTGAATATGAAGTAGAAATATTCTAAATTCGACAAGTGAATGTTTAAAATAAGTTTAAAACATAAAGCTAAGGACTGCAATTTTTTTTATGAACATGAAAACACGATGGGTCTCAGTATTTTATAAATAACTTTTGTTAACGATCTTAGTTACCTACAAATCTTTAATATTGCAAATTATGCCTGCAACTCTACACACTCTTAACTTAAGAGTCTTCAGCACAGATACGCTATAAAATATAATGCTCAAAATATCGAAAAAGACTTTCGTAAATCTTTAAATTGCAGCACGGGTCATATTGTTCGCATTCCTTTGATTAAAGTTAAATTATTTTTTACAAACCAAGAATGTTTTTAAAATTTTTATTCAAATATTGACTTCTAATAGAATATATTATTTCCAATACTAAAGCAGTCAAGGACAGTTACTCAAATAAAAATTTCGATCCGTGTTTAAGAATACTAATAGCTTTAGTGAATGATAAGCGACTTTTTAGTTCAGTTTTCTAATTTTATACCTGACTGGTAGACCCATTTAACAACCATTGCTTGCCCTGCTTATGCACTTACATTGCGTATGTAGCCTTCACGCTATACACAGGAGGATTATGAGGCCTTGACGCATAATACTCGTATATGGAAATGAAAAAAAAAAAAAAAAACGAAATCCAAAAAAAAGAAGATGGAAAACGGGTTGACAAAACAGACGCACCACTCAAGTATTTGCACCGCTCTTTGTGTACACTTACCTAATAGCTTGGAGACTGCGCCTTGCTGTGTCAGCATGTGCTGAGCGATGTCGTAGCCACGCAGGCCGCCAAAGCGGGAGAACTCCAAGAGGCGGTGCTGCGACATCAAAGCTCCAAGCGTGCTACCCGCTCCGGCTCCACTTCCACCCGCACTCAATGCGGCCGCTGCTGCCGCCGCTGCCGCGGCCGCTGCTGCTGCTGGGCCTGCGTTGGCAGCAGCACTGCCAGCACCAAAACCTGGTGGTATTTGTACAGATGTTGGTGTTGTTGTTCCTGCTGGTGATGCCGATGCCGATGCCGCCACTGCAATTGAACGAATTGAACGATAATTGGCCATTGTTAGCATTATTTCAGTTGTTGTTATTGTTGTTGCTGTTCTTCCTGTTGTTGTTATACTGTCGACCACAATGCTTAATTATGATAAATTAACGGTTAATTGTGTTGACTGAACTGAGCCAAGTGACTGATGGCGATTGTCACTCTACCTCCGCCCCTTCCCCACTTCCACTTCTCCCCCACACACACGCACACGCACACTACTTCACTCACAAAATGTATGCCAAAATGGAGTCCCAACTAGCATGTACATACTTGTACATATGTATGTATGTGTGTACATTAATGGCGTTTCGTAACCCCTGCCCAAGCAGATTTATCACGTCAATTGGAATTCACATTGACAATTTAATTTACAGTCAAATTAAGAAACAAGAAATTAAAATATTTACTCAGTTGTTTGCCACAGAACTTGTGTATTGAGTCTTTTGTGTTAGATATATTGTTCTGTATGTAGCCGTCATTTATTATTTTATCGGTGCGCTTTTAAACTGTACTGCCTCCGACCCGCCACCCTCTCCCAATCTTATTGCTGCGTATCGACTAATTGTCAATTATCGCAAAACTTGCGCATCTCGTTTGTCTTTTTTTTTTTTTTTTGGTTTTTGACTTATCAAAGATTCTTAATCAATCAATTATAACAGTTGATAACTGGGAGCGAATTACAGCAATTTTGGACATAACTGGCTCGCAGTCTGGTGTCCAAAATCATTGTTAAAGATATAATTATTATTATCTAAAATATTATATGTATACCTTTTTGCCAAAAAAAAAAACAAAATATTGCAAGCAAAACAGTTAACAGTTGTTGAAATGTAAACTGCGAAAGCTAATTGGAAATACCCGATTAGGTAAAAGTGTTAAATTCTGCGATGATGTCCGACAGGTAGTTAAACGTTAACAATAAGCTGCCAGTTACTCATTCGGTTTATCCTCGCTCAAAGGGAAATAAAATGTTGCTATCCAGATCTAAATCTACCGATTTGAAGCACACAATGGCCAACTTTATGGGTTTATTTTATTGGCAGCTATGACTACGTTTTTAGATAAGTTATCTCAATTAAAATTGGCTTCACCAGTTAAATGATCATGCATACATATGTAAATAGTGGGTTAACACACGTGCCTGAACGCTAATCATCTGTATTATATGAAAAGTAGAAGGTTATAAAAACGATTCTTGTGTCGGGTCTGTTCAAAAACACATTTAGAAGTCTTCGTTTCACAAAAATTAATTTAAAAACAAACAATCTGATCAAAATCTATTTTGCGAAATAGGTAACAAAGCAAAAACTTAAATCAATTTTAGGGTGAAATTGAGAAACGAACCGAAAAGGAAAATAAAATATATCGGGGTCATCAGATATTTAGTTAGACTTGGCATTAAAAGCTAGGCATTCACCTTCTAGTTTTAAATGAACTCTCTTGCTATAGTAAGGATCTCTGTATATCTTGTTAGTATTGCAAATATGTATATTCTGCAATGGTTCTTTATGAAGACGCAGCATTTATTTTTACAACATTATTTTTAATGGAGTTCTCTGGGTGAGGTTGACTATTTTCCAAATCTTCTTAAGCACACATTTTTTTCACTATATGGTGCCCTTATAACAATTTGATTATAAAATAAATAATATGCTTGAAACTTATATTTGAAGGAATAATTTATATCAAGATTTGCCTTGAAATCTGATCTGCACACACACTTCAGATTTGGGGGTCTGCTGGCTAATGAAGCCGTCGGCAAATGTCAGTTTTGATCATTTGAAGAGGACTTACCATTTGACGAGTGAGGCGCCAGCGAGGGCATTCTTTGTGGATGTGGCTCCATTTTCCAGTGCGCGGCGGCCGCCAGGCCTGAACTTGCAACAGTAAGCGAACCAAAGTCACGGTTTAAGCTCGGCTCAATCAACATGACGACCGTAACGTTCGTTTAAGACTCGTCTAATCAGTTAGCCTTTTGGTATGTATATTGTTGTTGTTGGTTTTTTATTAATTTTCTACTGCTTTTTACTTTTCACATACAACACAAGCACAAGCTGCACAGTCACAGACACAATTCACTTTGGTAGCCGCAGCCGCAGCCACACGGCAAATATCGATTATGGAAACCAAAGCTGAACGAAAGCTCGCGGGCATGCAAATTGTTGGCACTCTTGATTTGCTTGGGCTGGCGTTCATTAAATTTTGCAAGACTCGAGGGGCAATTAAATACATAACGCGCTCTTTACTGCACCCGCACATCCATTTCCACAAGCACAACTAATCTCAATGAGTTCCAAAGCGATTCGGTTTCGAACGATAGCTTAGGGCTGGCTAAAGGTTTCCTTGACTCGATTGCCGTCGCCGTTAATGCCGTTCCGTTGCAACGTTGTTCACGTGAAAGCCGCTCTGAGCACACTGAGCGCCGCTGCGAGTGGCTCGAATTTCACCTGGCCGTCGGACGGCTCCAGCCAGTTCTCATTTCACTCAAACGGGTTGAGTGCTTTTGTTGGAGGGACCGGTTTTTCAGCTTCGCCGCACATTCATAATGGCGGCCGTTGTCAGGCAGTGCGCGGGCGAGTGAGCAGGATGGCCATATGTGCCGCCTGCGCACACAAATCAAACAATTAACTTGCCCGCCGACGTTCCGAGCGCGCTAAGTAGGCAGTGGCCAACGCGCTCATGACTGCGTCTTTGCGTATAAACAAGCAGCGACGACTCCCTGAATATGGGGAAGGGAGGGAGGGAGAACATCATTGCTTTTCATTCACTTGCGCCTCTCCTTGCACTCCATTATAAATGCATTTATGACAGGAATTGTCTTTCCTTATGGAAATAATTGCAGAAAAGTGGTGCGTGGCATTGGGATATTTATAAAGGTTATGAAGTACCTTTAATCACCAGAGTGTACTTAATTAAGTTTTTGAAAATATACAAATATATTTGAATATTGTACAAATAGTATTTTGTAGCAGTTTTCGAGTAGTTAATGTTTATATTTATATTCCCCGATTATTCTATAGCTTTCATGCAAGTATTTATACCGACTTCTTAGTAGTTTTAATTATTATAGTAATAAAATAATTCGTTTGTAATTGTTCAAAATAGGAATAATATATTATTCCTATTTACATATGTACTTAATATTATTGGCTTCTAAGTACTTGTTTTCATCCATTTAGCATAGATTTATTAAAATTAATTTTTTTTTATTATTTATAAGTAGTGAATAAAATTTATATTTATTTCGTAATATTTTGTAATCAGCACTAACTCATGTTTTTTAAGTTACAGTCATAGGCCGAGATGGTGGGGTCTGCTTATGCTTTTTTTAAATAGATTGTTTTTGGTTTTTCCTGATTTCAACATCATAGCAACGAAACACAACTTAATTTTAAGTTTTAAAATGTAATGCACTACTATTCAAAAATCTGAAGCTTAGCTCCGAAATATTTAATATATAATAACCAAATGAACATGCAATATTAAATATTCAATAATTCCATATTTCTTGTATTTTTCCCAATTTTGTTTCCAAAACTGGGTAAGAATATGTTTCATAAATATGTAGCAATTTATTTACAAATACTATATTCAATAAACTTTTATTACTCATATTTAATTTAATAAACAATATTTATGTAATATAATTTATTTATATGAACATATTTAATGTATTTATAAATTATGTATTTATTATTTTAATATTTTAATTTTTTTTTTATTTTTTTGTAATTTAATATTTCCATTTCATTCTAAGTATGTATGTAGATAAGAATATTTGTTTGCATCATAGATACCATTATTATTTTCACATTATGTTAGTTAAATCCATTTTACAAATAACACTCGTCCTATTTTGGAAGCAGATATTTCATAACAATTGCTTTCGATTGCCACTTTTTCAGCAGATATTGGTATATTTATGGCTTATGGTTCAAAGTTCTAAAGCTGCCCGATAAGATCCAAAATTATGTACTCTATTAATAAATATTTAAATACATAGTAAATAATAAAGTTTAATGAATTTCACGTGATATATTGGGAAATTCTTGCACAGGCATAAATATGTATGTATGTTTCTATGTACATTAACAAATCTCGAAGAACCTACCACCGGATGTGTTACGTTAGTTCAGGCAGAGATTTTGCTACAGCAGCTCAACTGTCTGAGAAATCGTGTGCTTATAATTCAAACTGGAGAAAAGCAATCGAGGCAGGTTTGTGCGATCCGGCGTCTTTGGCTGTGCGTGATGGATGATTGATGCGCTACCTGGACAAGGCAATTCGAAGTTGAATCGAAGTTGCAACTAAACTGCACATAGCGTGATCGTTGAGCCACACAGAAGGCACGTCAGCGGCAACGAAGCCCATAACAGCGGTGCTTACACAGAAGCCAAATTGGATCAGAGCCTGTGAGTTTAGTTTGCTCGCGGCGCTGCCTGCCAGTAAGAAAGCCAAGTTAAAAAGCAATTAGCCAATGCCAGGATTAACAGCAGCTAAAATGAAATCTGCAAATGATCAAGAATCTTACACATACACAATGCGTAATACCGCGCACACAAATAATTATTTAAATGCGTACATCAACCGGGTTGATCGTGAAAAATTATGCAGCTCATGGGGGTCGCCTTTCCTTAAACAAAGACAAATCTAATGTGAAAGGCGAATCATGAATGAAATGATGACCAAGGCAACGTCGTACAACGACGACGACGACGAAGGCGACGCGCACGATGACACTCAAGTGCTTTCATGCCAGCGATCCAGAGCAAACGCAAACAATCGAACAGGAATAATTTACTATGTAAATAAGACACGAGCTCTGGTACCGGTGCCGGTGCCGGTGCTGTTGTCGGTGTCGGTGCTCGTTGTCCGTTGTCGTAGTGGTTGCCATTGCCATTGCTGGGATTGAGAGTAGCGTGCGCCCTCGCGCCATCAAGTGCCACTTCAACAATCAAGCATTCACACAAGCAGATGGTACGCTTGAGCTGCCAGCAACGACCACCAACAACACTACAACAACAACATCAAAATGAAATAAATTTCATTTAGCTCCAGCATCATCGTCATCGCCGTCATTGCTGCACACACATTATAGACGTACGCTCGCTTTATTGAGTGTTTATTTACCTAATTCGATTACCGATCGCGTCCGTTCGCGCCGTAATCCACAAAACACTTGACCATTTGGGTGGCGCACACAGGCGCACTTGACAGCGTCGTCAAGGTAGAAAAGCAATCATCTCCAGCATCAGCGACTCGCAATATGTTTGGTGGCTTAATTTAAGCGCTTGCAGTCGTGGATATTTATATTTTGAAAGGTAACAAACATATAAGCTAAACAGCGAAATGAGAGCGCCTGCATTTAAATCCGTTAGGCGTTACTTAATTGAGTATTGATACCAGGGCTCCCATATATGTACAGGAGAACCCATACGAGCTGCTTAATTCATGCAGGTGGCAACACTACGCAAAACATATTTGAACGAAGTGGCAGCACATATTTACATACATTAAGTCGAGAAGCAGCAGCAAGATTAGAACTCGATTATAAAATTATTAGAATATAATAAAAAACATAGAGTTAAATGATTCGCACTGTCCTTCTTCACAAAGCAGACGAGCTTTACCTGGCAAAATGCGCGCAGGAGCACAAATTCTCTTATGGTATCATTGTGGGCCATGTAAGTGCGGTCTCGGGCTGCCACGTAGTTTTATATTGCCTGTTGTTGTTGTTTACGTGAGACTTTTGCATTCTATCGCCTTATGTGTAGCAAGCCGAGCTAAACAAGAGCGTTGTTGTGCATATGGCACGGAACAACGAGGAGGATGCCGACCTGGAGGATCTGAGCGATGTGCGCCTGACCATCAGTGACATCAACTCACAAGCGCTGGCCTCTCAATGGCTTAGTGCCAGCAAAATGTGCCCCGGCTCTTTCGACGTCATAGGTAGGTGTGGTATACCATTTAGTTATGGGTGTGCGTTGACCCCGATTCGCTTCTTTTTGCAGGCATTTTTATATCCTCTGTGCGCCCCGATGTAGCAAGCGAAGACAGCGCCGAATTCAAGAATGCCAAAAAGTTGTTTTCTGATGTATATGAGTATGTTGTGTCCCAAAATGTGTGTGGACTTTGATTAAACTTCGCGTTTCTTATTCCTCAGCACGCTACTGAAGAGCAGCAAAACATTTGGCGTCTACACCACGGACGTTGCACAAACAGATTTTGTGTTTCTAGCCTACTCGCTAGCGAACAAGAAGGTGCTATGCAAGAATTATAGTTATGGCAAGTAAGTTAAAAGGTATATGCCAGTATTCTATGGCATTAGTACACAGATTAGGGCGCCACTGACGCTTCACTGTATATCTTTTCTTTAATCAAACCAAATTTTGGCTTACATTGTTGACACTGTTAATAACGTATAGACATTGCAAGAAAACATATTTTACGGCAAACATAAAATGCATCATATGGTAAATAACAAAGTTAAAAATTACATATTTAGTCATGTTTTGAATGTTCTTAATAGCCACTTCAAACTATTTACGAATGCTTTGGTAAATTTGTAGCAAACTCCTTAGATATACACATATTTTTTTTAAATTTGGTATGCATTCTGTTTTAATTTTGTATGGAATGCATTTTGTGTGTTAAAATTTTTCTCTAGAACCGCATTCCCTCCGAATTTATTAGAATGTTTAGTAGATCCTACAAGGGCCATATTTTACAGATTACTCATTTTACCTTTTTGTTTTGCACTGGCAGTGGCGGCATCTTCACGGATATGGAGCATCGCTTTGTCGAGAAGCCATTTGAGTGGATACCGCTGGAATGCAATTTCGACATGGATGACGTCATACCTATAAACGATCCAGCGCGTCGCATTAACATTGAAGAACAGTTCCAGAACATCATTGTGGCGATGCGCAGCAATCTAATGGCCAGCGAGGTGTTTCTGCAAAACGAAATGGTCGAGGATACTATCGAGTTGCAAGCGTATATTAAGAAAAAAAAGACCAAGGAGGAAAAGGAGAAAAACACAAGCACAGCACCACGGGAAAGTACCACAGCGGATCAAGCGCCGTTGGAACTGCTTGGCAATAACCAGAGCAGCAACAGTCAGATCAATGGAGCGATACGAGCCAGCATAGTGCTACCTCTCAAGTGTCATCTAAACAACGACACCGAGATCAAGGTGCGTGAATTTAACGGCTCGATGCGTATGAGTGGCATTCTGTCCACGCGCATTTATTGCAACCCACGCAATAGCATTGCTGACGTAAAGCGCTTCTTGCGCGACGATGTCCTACGCTCGCTTGTCACGCGCATTCAGGTCTACTGTGATGGTCTCACAGATCCCCATGTGACCAACGAGGCAATATACATAAGCGAACCACCGCGGCGCGTGTACTTCACTCTGCCATCGGATAGTGATGGCAAGAAAGCTAACTCAGTCCACAGTCCTGTGCAATTCTCAGAGTATCTGTTTAGAGGAGAGGCTCCCACCGTAGTCGTTGCTCAGGCCAAGCAAATACTCGACATCGAACTAGACCCAGAGACTATTGTTCTGGATGCCGAGGGTCTGCCCGATGATGCGAACTTTTTGAGCGCAGGCTCTGGTGTTCTCAGGGACATTGAAACGCAAGGCATGCCCAGCTCGATGCCAAAGCGTGAATTGTCACGCAGCCTTTATATGCTGGGCATTTCCGTGGCGTTGTTGGTGCTGCTCGTTTCAGTAGCACTGCATTTTGCGCTAAATGGACAGCAGTAGGCAGCTGCGCTGACCAATCTGACCTATATACATGAAGTTTTATACACACACATACTTTTTATACTACATATATTATTTGTACGTGAATGTCCGCAGGCATTCGCTTCTCTCTTGTGATCGTTTGTTTTTTTAATATAACAATTGTGTATTAGTAGAAAATTTAAAAGTAAAGGGTCACGTTATATAGTCATAATAATAAAGCATGTAAGTGAGGCATTTAACAAGCTCAATCTTTTACTTAAATCGGAGTGATTTAAATAAATTTGGGATTAGCAAGTGAAATATTATTAAGATGAGAATTCATTGCTATTATAACAATAATAATATTTAGATAATTCTCAGAGCATGCTGATATTAGCAGAAGAGACGAAACATAAATCGTAAGTTATCGGGTTGAACCTTTGATGCACAGAGTTTCCAGACTTCACAAGGGGGCAGATAAAAAGACGGAATTTTGTAATTATCTAGAAAATAGAAAGCAACAAAAATCGAATAGACTGTCTGACCGTTGCAAGAGATGATCTCTTCTAAGAAATAAAAACTTTTGCAGAGTTCAAGGATGTTTGTAAAATATTGTAAATTTGAATTTAAATTCTATAGTAACCGTCTAATGTAATATCATAACTCCACATGTTTGATTACAACTTAGTTAATTCGTATATTTATTGTTTTAACACTGTAATAACTAGAAGACACGAAGCATTTACCAAGCATATTAGTAAAGTTTAGTTCACAAACTGATATAATCTTATGGCCTATATAGATTCACAACTAATCGTAATGCACACACAAGTATTTACATGTATGTATGTATGTACGTGGGTAAATGCCGTGAAGTGTTTGGAAGGTATAGGGAAACTTGCGCGGCATCCCTCTTACAATTTGTATCTCATTAAATCTAAAAAGAAATTCATAATCAACAAGTTACAAAGATGCCGCAAGCAATTTCATAATAGTCTTAAAAGCTACGAAGCAATTGCCTGGGCTCGGGGGATACAGGGCGATTAAAAGTATGTCAGTGTTTCACAGCCTCTGCAACAGAACGACGCGCTTAAACCTAAACTACGACTACAACTACGATTGAAGTGCCGCTAAGCAGCTCCCACTTCTACGCCACGTCTCCAGCCAACATCGCTACAAATATTGGCATGCTGCTCTTATCGAATTGGTGCGATCGGGTGAACAGGCGATCGGGTGCCTGGCCCGGAGCTACAGCTGCGTCTGGGCCAAAGGTGCCACAGACACACACACACATACATGTACACACGACATCATTTATCAAGCGGTAATAAGCCATAAATCATATGTCGGGTACAGCAGTAGCGGCTTCGGCGATAGCCCCGAATATGCGCATTGGCGCTGCACTTATCCCTGGACGTCCGTTATGAATATGCGCCGGCGCGCTGATGCTTGCAGTTGCCGTTACAATTGACAACGGACCACACCCAGTCCACATAGTTGGGCACCTTGGCGTAGATGCCGAATTTGTTGCGCTTGGCGCAGCCATCGCCGAACGAGGTAATGCCAAAGATGGTCCACGGATGGTTCGGCTTGGTGGTGTCACGGCAAAGCAGCGGTCCACCAGAGTCACCCGCGCAGGTGTCTATGCGACCGCGTTGGTGTCCAGCACAGAACATGTTCTGTAATTAAAATGAAGGTACAAACATTTTTTAACTCTCCAATTAAAAGTCAAAATACTTGTATATCAACTGCAACTTGCAACATTTCTGAACTCTTTAAATAAGAAGGAAATGGGTTGCAACAATTATACATATACATAAATTTAAACAAATAATTTGCTAGTCGAGCCGTTGTATTAATTAAACACATATATTTTTATAAGCTTTGATAATACGTTTCTAGCATACACTCCTCGCCACTTGAATAGGACACCCCTTATGTCTGTTTTCTATCGCCCACTGCTCCCAAGCCAAGCATGCTAGAGATCTATTTTTTTTAATTAAAAAATTAAAGTTAATTTTACTGTCGCAAATTAACCAAAAGCTTGACATGATTATGATCATTAATGAAAAACCGACAAAATGTGGGGTCCTAATTTTACGCCATTTGAATAGGACACTTTAACAAAAAAAACATTTTAGAGAATTCCGATTCTTTTTAACACTAACATTGTACAGGGTCCCACAAATTCTGAATATTAAAAAAATTGCAGAGTTTATTTATTTATATTTATATGGACCTGCGACATTGTAATTTGTAGCCCCAATCGAAACTTCCAATCCTAGCTATATTAAGTCTAGACTGAATATTTACTTAATATCGGTTCGTTGGTCTATTGATTGAAAAAAAGTTGGTGGTCCTTCGATTATGTATTATTTTAGAATACTAATTACCTTTAGGAAAAAAAAACATTTTAGGGAATTCCGATTCTTTTTAACACTAACATTGTACAGGGTCCCACAAATTCTGAATATTAAAAAAATTGCAGAGTTTATTTATTTATATTTATATGGACCTGCGACATTGTAATTTGTAGCCCCAATCGAGACTTCCAATCCTAGCTATATTAAGTCTAGACTGAATATTTACTTAATATCGGTTCGTTGGCCTATTGATTGAAAAAAAAGTTGGTTGTCCTTTAGAGAATTCCGATTCTTTTCAACACTAACATTGTATAAGTATAAAAGGGCTAGGGTCCCACAAATTCTGAATATTAAAAGAATTTCAGTGTTTAATTTATATTTATATGGACTTCTACATTGTAATTTGTAGCCCCAATCGAAACTTCCAAACCTAGCTATATTAAGTCTAGACTGAATATTTACTTAATATCGGTTCGTTGTCCTTCGATTATGTATTATTTTAAAATACTAATTAATTGCACTTCTGCCACAAAACAGATTGTAATTAATTCACAAAACTAATGCAGCGCTGAAAGTACAACCTTTACGTAGTTATAACTGTGACTTAAACATTAGAATTACAAGTATAATCGAACTATAGAATATCTTATAATTCTTACGAAACGCAGTAAAATAAAAATCGAGCAGCCTAAGAGATGGGATCGAATTTAATGTCTCCTGCCTCTTGGATAATTACCTTCGTTATTGTGTAGTCATGATAGACACTGCGGCAGTTGGCCATCGGAATAATGGGAACTTCAGCCTGATGGAGCACACTTGTGCCAACCACGTCGTGATTGCGTCGCTTGCCCCAACCAATGACCGTGCATTCCATGTTCTTTGGCAGCGGCTGATAAGGACGCGGCATACAGGAATACCCTATCCAAGTGGAGGCGTTGACCGGCTTTGGCAAACTAAAGAAAACAGAAGAGAGGAGCATTTCTAATATGTACTTAAATTGGAATTACTCCAACATACCGCAATAAGGCAACATCGCTGTCCACAGTTCGCTTGTCAAAGCTTGGATGCTTGAAGCTCTTGAGCACGCGTAGTTGGATTTCGGTACCGTCCTCATAGTCCAAGTTATGCTCGCCAATGCGCACGTAAAGCACTCTGCGCACACAATGGGCAGCAGTGAGGACCCAGGAGGGCGCGATGAGCGTGCCACCACAGAAAGCCTCCTTGAAGCGATTAAAAATGGCAACCTGCCATGGCCATTCGCCCTTCCGAGCCGCCTTTCCCCCAATAATCTTCAGCATGTTGTACATATTGCGTCTGGCACTACGCACGGGGGCCTGGCCACAGCGTAGCTTCGGAGGTGCATACTCAGGTCCTCTGTAGCCCTTTCCGTTCATGATGAAGTCACTGGAGATGGCATTGTTGGTGAGAGCCGAGGACTCGGAGTTCATTCGTCGCATGGCCGCGTCATGGGCACGGGCAGGTCGTGTCTCGTAGGCAGGTGTCTGTCGCTGTACCTCCGTCTGTAACCATTGCTGACAAAAGCTCCCTTCTGTATAACAATAGGCGATTTCGCGTAGAACTTCCCGACCGCAGCGTTCACTTACACGGCATTTTCTAAAGGAGAGAGAAAACGTGAAAGTCCACAAAAAGAGTAAGCAGCTCTGGAAGGCAAAACAACAAAAATATTCACGAAACTAATTGCTATCAGGAACTCGAACCGGTCTCATAAATAAAGATATTCAAGATTTGTCTGAAGACAAACGACTCGAGCACAGATCCGTTTTCGACAGCTTTCCGACTATTTTCTAACAAAACCATCGAATAGGACATCATCTGTGATGCAGCAGAGTCCCAAGTTTTCGGCTGAGCCCTCGAAAGAGAAACAAAAAACTTACTCATAAACTTATCGAGTTCTCTTTCTATACTTTCCAATTCTAGGTAAATCTCCAATTGATAAACTCACTTGAAACGCCGTGTTGTGCATTTTGGCGAGCACTTGGTCCATCGACTCCATTTGGAATAGATGCGTCGATGTCGAGGAGTCATAGCATCTGGCGTGTTTCGCTCCTTTGCCGACGATAGGGAGCTTGCATTGCGGATGTCCGCATACTCCTCGGAATCCGATTGTTCAAAATCCAAATCTGATTGCTCAAAATCAAAGTCCTTATACTGGAAGACATCGCCTTCCAGGCTGCTGCTTTCGCTGTCAACTCCGTTCAGGTTGCGTGCGCGCATGCGCAATGCAGGAGTTGGTCGTCCAAAACCATCTAAATAATCCTCAAAATCTTCAGCGCTGTCATCATCGTCATAATCGTTATGGTGAACAACGGGCTTAGGACTGGGCCTGCGTCTCTGCTTTCTTTTATGTTTTTGCTTTATGCGTTTTTTTCGTTTCAGGACAAAGAAGTCGCCCTCTTCCACGGAAAAATTGGGTTCAAAGTCCCCTATATCTTCTTCTTCGCTTGCCTCTTTCGAAGGGTAATGCGAAGATGGCTGACGTACCAACTCGATAGAGTCTTTTGGGGTATGCGGATAGAGCGAGGGTGGGCGATACGACACTTCTTTCGAGTCAAACTTTGGAGTATATGGATGGTGAACCGGTGGTCGGTGAACCCCTAAGGAGTCATCTTTCGGGGGATATGGATAAAGTTCAGGTGGGCGGTGAGCCTCTTCAATAGAGTCATCCCTGGGTGGGTGTGGATGGTGTGTCGGTGGACGATGCACCACCTCCATGGAATTTGTTGGGACATAAAGGTGCGGCTTCTGCTCCGAAATTGTTGGCCCACTTGCAGCAGCTGCTGCCGCATTGATGACTATAGAGGGCGGATTACTTTGAACGCTTGGCGCCCAATGGTAAGATTTGTGTGAAGGCTCGTGCCACTGCGGATGGCAACTGTGAAAAAAAAACCTGGTAAGTGCAATCCACGAAAAATCAAGTTAATATACGAATTTGTTAGTAATTGGATAACATTTAATGTTTTTTTAGTTAAATATCAGATGCTTATAAAAACTGAAATCTCTATGCATTGATATAATTAAATGATTACATATATTCTTGTATATAATAGGCCTAAGTAAGTGGTTTAGAAAAATTAACTATAATGCTTAACAAGGGCGTAGGCAGCTTTTACCAAAGGGGGAGCCAAAAAATTACAATTTCGATTAAATTAAATAATGCACGATGCATTTACAAAATAAAAATGAAATAATGTCAACAAATTCAACTCAGATCCATTTTAGGGCAAAATAGTGCGTAAGGGTCGACTGAACGCCCACCCCCCTCCCCCCCCCCTGCCTACGCCCTTGATGTTAACATAAGGGCGATGCTGAGATACGAGTATTGTGACTATAAAACAATAAAGACTTTGCATTTGTAGTTGCTATCAAGCATACATCGTTTAAATACTATATCTTTTATAGAAATCAGACAAGTCCCCAAGAAATTTAAGGAGAAAAAAGCACGGCTTTGTAGAAAAATTTAAATTAAATTTCTCCACAAAGTGATTGCCGGTAGTGTCGATTCTCCTTTCGTTTTAAGTCGTCTTAACTTCTCAGTTCCTTCTAGAACGACAAGAAAATGTCTTCCCCTTTTCCTTAGTAGGTGTACAACTGAATATGCATCGCACAATCCTTTTCGGGTTTTATGCTCATGCTCATTATAATGATTATTTTCACCTGCTCTCAACCGAATTGTCTCTTCTTTAATAAAAGCCTCTCTTTCTCTGGCCAACGGGGTCTAAGATTCCATTTCTTTTTGCACTCTTATTTCTTATTAAATCAGCTTTTAAGTAATTTCAAGCTTCTTCTATCTGTTAAGTTTTTCTTTTGCTTATATCGGTAGATCTCTTGAAGCCTCTGACCACACGTGGCTGTGAGGCGCGGCACAGCTAGCCGGAAGGCAAATAATATTCCCCCCACGGGTCGGAGGCGTTAATTATATATTAATGTAATTTGATTAGGGTTCTTCTTTTTTCTAGCTTTTTATAATTTTTATGTATTTTCCTCCTACGTCGACAGTCATAAGTTTGTTGACATACTATAAATAAGTAAATAAATAAGTATACATTTAACGCCAACACTTACTGCAAACACTTGCGGTGCTCCACATGCTTGGTGTGTCCACACTTCCGCTTGGCCTTGCAGTATCGCTCTCGCTGCTTCACGCAATCCTTGTCGCAGGACGTCCATTGAGTCCAACGGCTAAAGGGCTGATGATGGCTCATGGAGCGCCAGCGGCCGCTCCAACGTTGATGGGGCATATGCAGTCGATGCACCCGCTTCCCATTGTGCCAGTGCGAGCCGTGGTAGTTGTAGTGATGCTGCCGCCCCAGCTGTGCTCTGTCGGCATGGCCGAGAGCTTCCCGTATCTCGGCTCGCATGTGTCGCTTCGCCTGTTGCACGTGGCCGCCCTGTCGATGACAGCAAAGTGTAAACAAATCAGCGAATACAATTGTGTTGGCGATAGCTTCGACTGCGATTGCGACTGCGACTGCGACTGCTCCCATTTCACCATTTGCATGTGCCAATGATAGTCGTCAATGGCCCGGTAAGCAGCAGCAGTCCCACAACTGGCACACACACACATACGTGTACAATTGTACAATGCACTAACAATGCACATACATGTGTCTAACTAAACGTGTAATGCGATCTCAGTCAAACAATGCCACACGAGCTGCCATTTCAACGCCTTTCCAACTGAAAAAACCGCACGAGCCGCGGCCTGCTGCCGGCTCCAGCCACATCGTCATCGACATCGACATCAACATCCATAGCACCAACACCAACACCAACACTACTATAAACGCAGACTTATCACAGCCTATGGGCTATAAATCAGGCCATGGTGCAGCAGGGGATGTTGCTGCCTCTTGCAAGTATTTGAAGGTTCAAGTGTCATTGCTCTCGTTGTTGTCGTTGACGCCGTCAGCGCCCAGGAAAGTGCCGCTGCAGTTCTTTGGTTCCAGTGCCCAACCACGCGTCTGGGACGACAACGTCGATGTCTTGCTAAAAATAACATAAATTTTGCTTTGCCTCGATCTCGGTCGAAGCATCAGAAACAGCAGCAGTAGCGGCAGTTCGTTCTTCCTGCGTCGGCCGGATTGAAAATAATGTTTGGGCGGCCGAAGAAACCAGAGAAACCACCCAACTAGGGAGACTGCCGAGAGTCCTCCACTGCACTGACTACATCGTAGTCAGAGTAATTTAATTTAATTTCAGCATAGATGACTAATTTTTTTTAAAAAACTACTTTCTTCTGAAGAGTACTTTTATTTTGAAAGGGGTTTGCATAGAAAGAGAATAGCTTTAAAATGTTTTAAAATGTTTATATCGTAAATACCTTACGATTACCGGACTGAAAATAATATTTGGGTGGCCGAAGAAACCAGAGAAACCACACAACTAGGAAGACTGCCGAGAGTCCTCCACTGAGAGTAATTAATTTAATTTAATTTAAGCATACAAGTAGATGACTACTTTTTTTTACAAAACTACTTTCTTCTGAAGAGTACTTTTATTTTGAAAGGAGTTTGCATAGAAAGGGAATAGCTTTAAAATGTTTTAAAATATTTACGACTGCCTTTCCCCAAAATAATCTATAATCGAATCATTTCATCTATATAAATGACTTCCATAAAAGCTACCTTAGATGACCATGAAAAAATAAAAACGTAGGGGTATCTTCTAGTGGACTACCCCACCGATATTTGGCATATTATATACACATACTACTATATATATAGTATAAGTAGTAATGGTTAGTTTCTAGTTTCCAGCTGTTGGCTCGGTGCTCTTTCTATTAATAGCCCCGTTTAGTGCTTCGTTTCCATATATTTCTGACAAGTGCAATCGCCGCCCGCCAGCGGTCCAAGCATACAAGTATCCCAAATGAATTGTGTGCATTTATACACTTATGGTCTGACAACTTTCTGTCAAAATATGGCGTGAGACACATGTCAACAATAATGCCCTGAAGCTCTGCACTGGTGTGTCTATAGACGCGTAGTTCAAATAGAAGACTTCACATTTGACGATCGCTGATTCGGTGATCAAAAGAAGAGTCAGTCCCAGAAGGTCATGGCAATGGTGACTAACCTCTAACGAATTTGTGAATCCATCGAATTGGGAAAACTGTAACATTCCCATGAAATCATGCGGAAATACACACACTGCACACAAAGGTGGAGAGCCAGACCCCACACCCCAAACCCCAAGTCCCAATGTCATTTCGAGTTACCGCTACCTCACCTCACGAGTGCTTCAATTACGATTCCGATTACGAGTATGGTGTATGGTGCGACTAATTTGGATGCGTATAATTGACTAGCGATTTACATTTGTGAACTGAACTTTGTTCACAGTTCCTAAACGACAATTGGTTAGACGAATTGTTGTCAGTTGATGTCATCTCGTGTGGCTTTGTTCATTTCACAGCGCATTTACTATAGTTAAAGAGTCAAGTGGGCGATCGCCCCATTTCCATTTCCCCCTAAATGCCCGATCGATCGGGCAACCCATCGCCCGATCGATTGTTCAATTAACTCACCTGAGTATGTGCGAGCAGCTGTAAAAGCGCCAGCAAATTATAAATTACTCTCATGTCCGATTGTTGTTGTTATTTGCTGGTTGCTGGTGTTGTTGTTGTTGTTGTTGTCGTTCTGTTTAATAACTAGGAATTGTAGAAATGCGAACGATTCGTACTCGTACGTCTCGCCTCAGACGCCGCCATGTGAAAAGTGAGCTGCGAGAACAGAAACAAGAATAGAAAATAGTAAAATAGTAGATACTCGTAAATCGACCAAATTGGGCAAGTGGAGGCAAAAATCTTAGCACTTATTCAACTGCAATATTTTATGGGATCATAAATCAGTGCACACCCACACCGACACACGATCGTTGATGAACTGATTTCACATTATGTGGCCAAATGCTCAATCAAAATGGGCGGCCATCCCAAGATCCATCAACGAAAAACAAAAAAAAAAACACAAACATATATTCCTACATATATATACGAGTATGTAGTAAAGAAAATCTATGAACTGCTATTGGCAACTTTAGGCGATAAAGCAAACAAAAGCTGATACATGGCACGATCTTTATTTCTATATCTTATGGGCTGATGAGCGAAGGCACTTCATTAACAAACAGCTTATGCCTACACAGTCGTAGTGGCGAAATGTCTGAGGACCTGCGCCTCCAAACTTACACTCACAACATACGAGTATTCTAATTAAAATGATTTGTTTATTTTCTTTCGTGAATTTTCAGCTTTTTAATGTTCTTCGCATTCGGAATGCCCCAATCAAGAATAGAGCATAAATATACATTTATGTATATGTATTATGTGGCTACATAAATATACTGACTAAGTTCTTTCCCAGCTAGTTTCTTTTATTAATTTTTTTTTTCTTTTTTGCAAAAATAAACACTAAATTATTTTTCATTCTTTTCCACAAAGCCGAAAGCCATCGAGCTATTGTTGTTTATTTTGTCTTTTCACCATTGTACGATATTTATTATCAATTAGTTGATCTGTTTATTCAAAATGCATAATCAACGTCCATTAAGCATACTTTGTATGTTTGTGTTGTGTTTTTCCACCATTGTTTTAATCCAATTAATAATGTTTTTAATATCATTTGGAAAAGAGCAAAACAATGAGTTATCCCCCGAATAGGCCATAAAAACATCCCCGTCGACTGAGAGTGGTTGTTGGTTACTTTTTTTTTAATGAATGAATGCTGTTTTTCCCTCTCTTCTTTATTTAATAAACAAATCAATAAGGAGAGGATTCTTTTAAGTAGGTGAGTTTTTAAATAAATATATATACATACATAGAATACTAAAGCCACTAATGAGCTACAGTATTAAGCTACATACTACTTAATCAATTGTTTGAAAGGCTGTAATTTCCTTTAAAAAGTTACAATTTTTAATTGAACCTAATAGAGGCTTGAAATAAGTTCATAATCTCAATACTATTGTAATTGTTATTGAGCTGACTTTTTGTAATTATTAAAATGTAATATCAAAGAAAATGCTTCAAAGATTTGAAACGAATAAAATATATTAATATTTAAATCTAGCAATATAGTACATAAATCTAAGCCTCGTTTTAATTGATATTAATTAATATTTATCATTTCATGTTTATACAAGTACTAGAATGTTTTTTTTTTTGTTATTCAATAATTTGAGAAATTAGAAGTATAACAAATTATTCTTATGAGAGAGATTAACTTCAGTAGCTTGGGTGTGATCCAAACTAAAACCTAAGTAATTCATTAATCGGCTCAAAAATAGTCTTACGTAAGTTGAAAATGTAAATGGACTGATATAAATTAAAGATTCAACCTTTGTAAGACCATTGCTCATATTAAAAGTATATAAAAACGATTTAAGCATAAAATTCTGTAAGACTTAATGAATTGCCGGTTTATTTTTGAAACATGTTATAGTTTTTATACCATACTAGTAAAAGGGTTGACCATATACCGACGATGTTCAATTCATTATATTAAATTTTAAGAATAGACAATAAAACTGTTTGACACGCAACTAAAAGTCGTTTGTTGTAGAAAACACGTTTAAGGGCCGTTTTCAAATGTGACAGGCAGCTCGAACCCACACATAAATTGACAATTTCAAGCTGAAGTGCTGGCTCGAGGTTACTGAGAACATGGTGCTAATGAGTTCATGATCATCTGTACACTTTTAATGCGAATGTAAAGCACACCAAAATTGGTTTCATACGTTCAGAAACAAGCAGAACTCACTTAGTTGAGTTACAAACAATTTATGAGGATATTAGTACGCAACAAGTTTGTGATAAACAGTTAAAGGATGTGACTTCTAGGATGTCGTTTTCCCATTATTATTTGCTTCTTATAATGCAACATTTGTTACCCAAGTTTCGTCACATTTGCAACATTAATCTTCAAACTTCTATATCAAAGTTTATACAAAAAAAGTTATCAGCCCATAGATAAAAGAATAGAATCGCCCTAAGCCCTGTCCTTTGGTTTTACTATAGTTCAACTTATATTAAGTCTTGAAGCTTTTAAATAATAAAAATATATTTCAAAGAAGGAAAGAAAAAAACTCAAAATATATGTCTCGACCGAGAATTGAATATTAATATAGACTACTTTCTAAAAGAATTTAAAAATGATTGATGGTGTAAAAAATAAAGTGATAAAGTATATGTACACGTTTCGTAAGTTGATCGGGAATCATAATTTTTATTTGGTTAAAAACATGCCGATCACCATGTAGCTGCGGCTTCATTAATTGTTTCTTACATGTTTTTATTATCAACTATTTAGCTTATCATTTACAATGGCTTCACATGTAATAAAAGATATGTATTTAGTTTCCCATTAGTGCTCATATATTAGTGTACGAGCACAATTTAACAAAGAAAAATGCTAACCAAAAAATAAAAAGATTCTGAGAAAAATTCAAATTTATGTTCTAAATTTAATAAAACATAATGTGCTCTAAGATCTAAATTGAAATTTCCTGTTTTTTTATGTATCAACACATATTGCGTTTTTATCTCCAGGGAATGTGAAAAAGTTGACCATATGGCTAAGCAAAAAAATAATGACTAAGCTACAAGACAGCTAGTTTATTTTGAATTGGAAGCCTTTGATTTATGCAAGCCTTGCAAATATAAAACTTTCATTACCGCCTGATCTTATACAATTCACATGTTGTAAATTTACAATTGTTATAAGGATTGTAAATAATTTTGCTAATTAAAACCAACAAAGTGGCTCATTTGCGTCAAAAAGGCAGACACGACATTAACAATAACAAAAAGAAACAACCACCGACAAGCACATTTACTTTTTTCTTTATGTTGTTGGCAAACGTTTTTATATAAACCCGCTGACGCATATTCCGGCCAGGGTTAAGATGGCGCCTTTTGGAAACTACAAAGCGAAAATTTGAACTTGTAAGAGACCTTTAAAAACAGAGCGATCAAAAGACTGGCCGGACTGGCCCGACTGGCCAGACCAGAGGCACAAACGGAAAGTGAAATTAATTAGCTACATACATGTAATTACAAACATACGTACTCGGCGTCTTACGCTAGAGCCCCAGCAACAACATTGAAAACATAAAGATAAATTATTTTCAAAAGGCAAACAACAACGGTAAAGCGTGGTGGATGCCGTCGCGGTGGAGGTGGAGGTGTGGGTGTGGGTGTAGGAGGAGGGCGGTCAGAATGACGAACGGCCTACTCTGGTCTACGCATGTATAAGCATATTTTTTATGCATTAACTTATGGCATGACCCAAGCGGCAACAACAAGTTCCCTCTATCAAAATCAAATTTGTATCGCGCCAAGGAATTTAAAGTAGCAGCAACAGCAAAATGTGAATAGCTCTTTAATAATGCGAGTACCACAAGCATTCTCTTGTATCGTACTTGTACATTGATCTTGCGTCAATGCGGCAAATACAGCAGACGCAGATACATAAGTATCTGCACAGACTGGCACATTTATGGTCAGGCTCATTAAGGACGCATGCGTCTCCTGGGCCATAAAAGGCATGCGCAACCGCAACAGCATTAACTTGGCCAACTGGTATACAACGAGGCTGCTCCACTTATGCATCATGCCCAAATGTGTGTCTGTTCTGTAGCATCCATCTTCGTCCCATAACCAAAGCCATAGCCGTAGCCGTAGCCGTTTCCACGTCCAAGTGCACGTTCATGGCGATGTCGTCATTACTATTGTTTTGTCATTTATATGCAGCGCTACTTGCGTTGCTGATTCTTGAAACGAATTGAAATTGGCCATAAAATCAGTGCCGCCGCATGACACATTCATATTTCAGCGGCACTGGCGCCTGCCCCTGGGCCACGGCTCGCTCACTGTACGTTTCACTTAGCGCATTAGCTCTGATTTAATTGTATTTAAATAGCCACTCGATTTTTATTCACTCAATTCAACGAATCAATTCCAATTCGAATAGAAACCACATTAAATCCAATGAGCGCAGGTGTGGGCAATGTCAATAGCACGATATGTGTGATATGCATCTACACACACACACACACACATACAAATTCACACAATTATAAACAGACATAAATACTTGTATGTCTGTGAATACAGATAATCGACAGTAGCACTTGTTGGTTGTGTGTTTCATTTCGATACCCTTTCTCTATTCGGCAATCGGATTAAATGGACAATCGTGTAAATATTAGGCTTAAATTGCTAAGATTAAATTGCAAATTAAACAAGAGGAACGATAAACTCTAGAAAATATGTCCTGCACGATTTAATAAATACGTCTAAAGATACGTTTTATCATGACAAATTTATAAATTCCTCAATTTCTTCCCCAAATAAACAAATAATTATATTTTATTATTTTGTTAACATATTATATTATGTATATGGTTATCTAAGCCATTAATATTTAGAGAAATATCAAAGCAAGGCAGGTTCAGGAAGTATGCAAAAATGAACCCTTAAAGTATGCTTTATTTAATTGAAAGTGCATTCCCTTTCTATTGAAGGCGTTCTTGGAATTAAAACAGTGGGACAAGGCGGACTAGGCGGATTAGAAAATGTGATATGTGTTGTTCTATTTATTGTATTGTAACTATTTAAAATACATTATAAAACCATAAGACGCATATGTAAAAGGTTGCTATGCGGTGTAAATTGTTATTAATGTTCTATAATTTTTATTTATAGCTACATAAGTATTTAATAATTGGTGCCTCAATTTTTATACATATTTGATATATAGCGCTTTTATTTTATATGTTCGAGCGGCTTTAAAAACATTTTGCGGTATCTTATAATATTTTTAAAGCATTTTATTCACTAATTTGTAATATAAAATGTAGGAGTACAGAGCTTTTACCCCAACAAACTCCTGTTTATAATACAATCTGCTGACTATGGTTTTTTTAAATGTGTAACTCATTGCAATAGAAATATTCAGCTATATTTTGTTGATAATTTTGATTCAAACAAAAAAAAAACCATATAAAACTAGTTTAATGGTTGTGCACTTAAGTTTTAAAATATTTTTATTGCTATTTAAAAAGTCATTTAATGGCAGGCTTTCCAATCTATTTCATAAGATTTTATAATTCTCGCATTTCAATTTTTATGCTGCAAGTGATGAAGACTAAATATATCTATGATTTATATACATATTTTTGGCGGCATTTCATTAAAATTAAATGAGGTTAGCCTAAAGGCAATGAAAAACAAGCCACTTAATGAATGTTTGATATCCACATGTTAGCTAAATTTATCTTTACCGCGCATAAAGCTTGAAGACGATCACATATTGAGTTTTGTGTATTTTAATGAAGTGAAAACACATAAAAACTGATAGCCAGCTATCCCTGAATTATTCCCAAGGTTCCCCTATGAGCAAATATGAATTTGAGGAGATATCATAAATTGTATTCCGGTATTTCTAAGATGAGATATCGTGTAACCACAAAATGGCTATTCTGATTAAACATTGTTCAAATATGTTATATAGATGTCCTGAATTAGCAGCACTGTTAAAAATTAAAGTTATAAAAGAAATAGTGTGGACATGAGCTTTGAATATTTGAGTGTAAAATTTGTAAATATATTTTGACTCTGACACTGACCGGATTGTTTGTTTATCTAAGTATATACGAGAAGTTTTATGTGTAAAAGCTGCATTTGCATTTCGAAACTAATTAAAAGCATACATGCACATGCAATATTAAACATGTTAAGCATGTTATTGCTTATTTATAGAGCATCAGGCATTCTGAAGCTGATGCTTTTATTTTCAAACACTCATTATTTTCAGAAACTCAATAAATTGTGCAGTTTTGGATTGTCACGCTTGCGGTGGGAGTCGTTTAAGAGACAACCACTTCAGACGCCACACGAGGCATGCAAGCCATGGCAATGCCCCCCATTCGCCACTCGGTGCTGCTGGTTAAAGGTCGTCTGTCAACACGACAAGCTCATATAAACACCTCCAACCGGGGAACTGATAAGTTGAGCAACTTAACTCGCAGCGTGTTTTATTTTTAATAAGTGGCATGCAATGTTCTCCGAGTCTGATATAAAATTCCACACCAAACACAACGCAAACAAACAAACAAACAAGCCACAAGACATACCAGAAACTATTCTTAAACACCTGACGACATAAACGGATGCGTAGATTTAAATTTTAAAAGATGACGGCGTCGGCGTCTCTGTCGGCGCTGCAGCGCTGCCGGCAGCAGCTTCTTAATTTAGAATACCGTGCCAAGCAAACACGCAGCAGCCGACTTGGAGAGCGACCGTGTAAACAAACCGTTCGTCATAGTCACTACCGTCATCTTCGTAGTCCAGCACCGGGCCAAGACTACCTCCAACAGTGCAATTAAACTTCCCTACACTCAAAAAACTATTTACTCCTAACTCAAAAGTGAAAGTTAACCTTCAATAGATGTAAAGGCTCTAGGAAAAATTTGCAACATTTTACTAAAACTTATACATATACTCGTACATCCTACTTTATTTGAACACATTTCGAAGTTGCAATATTGTTTAAACGTAATATTAAAAATATTCACACAATTGATTATGGATATAACAACAAATCGGCAAAGATATGTAAGAAAGGGTGTATACATTTTTCAAAACTGTGCATCCTGTGTAAATTATATTTTGCAAATAATTTCGAATTTTTACCGCATTAGTATACATTTCTACATTATGAACACATTTCCATTAATTTCCTTTTAATTTTTCCTTATGTTTTATGTAACTTAAATCTAGTGCAAATAATTTGCTAAGGGCAAAAATATCTTGCCCCCTAGATTAGATCCCAGCTACGCCCATGATTCGAGATATCACACTTTAATTTTTTAGACTCTCTCTACGATGATTGCCGCAAATAAAAACTGAAAAACTGAAAAACCCAGACTTCCTGAAGGATAAAGTATATTAATTATTAGCTTTGATGTTCGCAGAAGAGCAGTGTTTCGTGTGTTTTGTCTATTTCTTTTATAAATAAAAGCGAATCACCGTAATCAATTAATCAATTCGATCCGCTCGGTAGCAGATGTTCGAAATATCATATATTTTTTAACTTTCAAAAAAAAGCGTTTTTGAAATTGTTAAAACAAATTTATAATTACTTTAGCTTGTCGATATTGCAGAAGAAAACTTTTACCCAGAGTGCAGGGTATCTGACATTGATAAGTTCTCGCGTTATATAGCTTGTTGTGAAGTCGGTGTCGGCTCGCTTATCATGCTGGGAAGGTACAAGTATTTACTATTTATTTCTGTCTGCTACCGCTGCTCACGTAACTCTGGAGAGCAAATCACTTGGGGCCGCCACCCACAAAGTTAAACAAAAACCCGTTGGCCGTTCAATGAATTTGTTTTGAAATCGAATGTCGGGCGATTTTTATGAATGAATATTTACAAATTTGGCTAAAGGCAGACCAAACAACAATAACAACAACAACAACAACAACGTAGAGAGCAATAACATTAACCAAGAAAAAAATGCGTTGGCTAAATGGTCGATAGACTGGCGTTGTTGCTGTTGTTGGTGCTGCTAGCCAGAAAGTCTGGCAAGCTAAATACAGTGGACAGGCGGACAGGCGGAGGTATGTGGGCAGGCCTGTTTACCGAAATGCAATTTTTAATGACGCAGACAGCAGCAGCAACAACAACAACAACAAATCGCTGCTGTTGCTTCTTCTGGCAGTTGTTTGTTGTTTTTGTTAGCTTTAGTTTTATTTTGTTTTTGTTTGTGTCTCGAGTGGGCTGCTGCAACAACAATAACAACAACAGAAACAACAACAGCAACATCTGTGGGCAGTTGTCGTGTGCGCTGCAGATGTAACTTTGCAACTTCCGCCGCTGTCCAGACAGTTGCAGTTGCTGTTATTGTTGCTGCCACAAATTCGCATTCATTTCATTTATTAGATGCGCGCTTTAAGTTTTCAACTACAAATCGATTTACGGGTAATGTGCAATGCATTAAATTCCAGACTATATAGTCAATGACTATTAGCGGATGTTGGCATCATAAATCATGCTTCGTCTGTCGCACACACACACACACACACACACACACACACACACACACGTGCCCCCAAACAGACGACTCTGGCGATGCAATCGCAAAGATGCCGCCGCCAACCTCATCGTCATCGTCATCGTTTCCGATGCGCCACATTTTCAACACATGCATTAAATGCATTTCAAATATCGTTTCTGAATATTCCGAATGAATGAATGGAACGTTTATTTATCTCCGCGCTTTTTCAATTTGCGTTGAATTTCAATTTATAAATACAACGGCATGTATGGAATTAAAAATTGATGCCACTTCATTTGGCATTTTATTCTGAATTTTCATCAATTGCGAGGCCTTTTATATTTTATATTTTAATTATTTGCATTTTAACAAATGTGCTTGCAATTAGTACGCCAATTACCTCACATACAGGGTGGCCAATTTTCACTTTGGCGCCCAACACTATTTTTCTCCTTCGATATTTCGAAAACTGTTTGTTTTCCGAATTTTATTTTGTGCTATTTTTTTTTAACACAAAATTTGCACATTGGCAGGCACTTTTTTAATTTTTGACAGCATGTTATTTTTATATATTGGCTTAAAAAAACTGATGCCTATTTTTTGAACGGAAGATGCCCGTAGATTGGCAGCTTCTCGTGCTGCATATGAGCCAACAACAACACCAACAACAATAGCAAGAACAACCAACTAACTAACGGCGACAAATATTACACAGACCGCACACACAACCGTACGCGTCGTGGTTTTCTCGAGAACTGAACTGAAGCCAAAGTCAAAAATGTGAGCGCCGTACGCCGCCAACTGAACGCGAACGCAACGGCAACGGCAACGGCAGAGACTGCGACGTTTTTTCCACACACACACGCACACACACTCACACACACAGATTTACATTTTGCGCTCGCACAGTGGGTCGATTGTTATTGCATTGTTGTGCCGGCATATGGCGGGAAAAGTGTGAAAATCCCCTGATATGACCTCTGAGCTGGCGGTAATATTTTCCTTTGCGGCCCACTGAAGGCCTTTCCTGCACATTATGGTCAATAAAGTGCGTTTTTGACTGACCACTCGGTCGGCCAACCGTGAAATCAAACAACTTTCTTAATAACGAAAACTTTTGAGCACAAAAATTTAATTGTCAGATACATGGGTCGTCCGGAAAGTTCATAAAATTCAAGCAAAGCAAAAATAATGGAATTTTGAAAATATCGTTCTCTAATTAATACTTCTGAATACAAAGCTATCTACTCCTTGATTTCTCATTTTAGAAAACAGGTGTAATTATATTCCATAGAAGGTAACACAGCTTTGAATTCTGTAGAACTTTACCATTTGACGCAAGGACAACCAAAAATGTGCCTTAAAATTCTTTGCATTCTTTACCGTACCAGATATTCCATAATGTTTTGAAAAAATGAAAAATATCAATTCCAATTTCAGTTTCAGTTTTTGAACAATTAATTTAGTTTGCACTTCCGTTTCCTTGAAGGTACCTGGATACATCTGTATTTATTGATCACTTCTAGTGCAATGCAAAGTTTATTTATTCAACATTATAAAACAAAAGTTCACCTAAAAAATAAATAAAATACATCAAAGTAGAAGTTATGGATTATGTCACTGACTTTGTTAATAACGAACATGAAATAATATGCGAAAAGCAATTTCTTGATAAATAATAATGTTACTTATTAGGTACTCACGAAAATTTAATAGCAATTATAAAAGGTCTTATTTTGGCATTATTTGTCAATTCCATTGGCATTTCACAAAACTATTATTATTATTTGTTACTCAATAAAATGAATAAACGGTATACAAAAATCCATAGATAGACAAACACTGTCTAAGACAACTTTTCAGTGGCACAGTTTTAAAACTTTCGTTACAACCCAGGCTCATACGTATGCAGTATAGGCATATAGGAAAAGTTCCGCGATGGAACAGTGAATATGCATTATTAACTAGGAAAATAAAACTTGAGCTATGCTATGCTTGAATGGCTTTCGAATACTTTTGTTTATTGCTCGAGCAATCTTGCTATCCAGCTGCCTGCGTGTGAGTGTGTGTTTGTAGCTATTGAAAGCAATGCCAGGCAGCCACGCGTTCATTGAAAGGCGCCTCCTGTAGAAGACGCAGTTGCTCGAGACCAGTGCTGGAGGCCTGTCCACTGGCACCCACATAGACGGTGCCCAGCACCAGTTTCTTGTTCATTTTCAGCTTAGTCGCCAGCGTTGTGCGCACCACAATATTATCGAGTTGCTCGAGACTTTGGAGTGGTATTTGCAAGGTGGCCTCACTTCCTACCACACCATCCCATTTGGTCGAGAGTGAGGGATAGAAAGTGGGGGATTTCCATGCATCGATGTAGATGCCGTGCTCGAAAACAGTCGTCTTCACATAGACACTGCCGGCTGTGGCTTCCAGTTCGTCCTTCACTTTGTGCGAACAACGCATGCGCGCCGTCGTAATACGCAGGACAAGGTTATGGCCACTGCTACTCGAACTGGGGGCATTACTTATGCCAATTTTGCGCTTTACCTCGGCAGAGAGACGTTGCCAGTTCTTGGAGGCAGGCGTAATATTGGAGCTAGCTGTAGACGTAGTCGATGAGGCCAAAACTGAAACGGCAGCATCTGCTACCGCTCCTCCGGACGAACTTTCGCCATTAATGACATCTACTGGAGGTCGCTCGCTAAGATCTCGCACCTCCAGGGCAATCTCGACAATACCTTTGGGAGCGTTTGTTAGCTGCAAGTGAAGAGAGAAGATGGAAGGGTGTAACTCAATTAAGCTGTTTGTTGTTGGTTTACTGTTTTGTTTTGTTTGTTGTAGACTCGTTGCGATGTTTGTTGTTTTGGCTGTGCTTTCCCTGCCATTAAGTACGATGTCAACATCATAATTTCATTCACAAACACGCACACCTCTTGGCCCTTTGGGTCAGTCAGTGTGCCATGCATTATATCAGCAGTTAAACAAAATATCCAGCTTACTAGGTGGCTACCCCCATAACTTACATTGTTGTTGCTGCTGGGTGCTGCCTTGGAAACGGTCGTCGTGATATCTTTAATGGGCAGCCAGAGCTCTTCGGTGGAGTAACAACCATTGCGCGTGTTACGCTTGAAAAGTTTTGGCTCTAGATAACAGGTAACAGAACCTGTAATTGTGCAAAGAAAGCGAACGGTAAATATAGAAAATCTAATTGCAATCAATCGATTTTTTGAAAATATGTTTTATAATAATACTGTGTGGAGAGAATTCGTTTGGAGATTATCAATAAATATTACAGTTGAATGATTCTTTCCACTGACCGATCTTTCGTCATCTTATAGAAATCTTAGTTTTATTGTAACATTAGACAGTGGATTGTAATAATTTCAAAATTATTAATCTATAAATTATTATTATTATTCATTTTAACAGCTTATCGACTAGATTTTGTTAAGAGAAATAGGCGACTATTTCCTATGATGTTCCTAATGTTAATGATAAACATTCTAAAAATCTTACACAAACACGATTTTTTTTCTTCTATATGAATAATTATACATAATTGGTTAGAGTGTTCTAAGTTACTCACCTATATTTCTTCTGGCCTCGCTGATCGTCAACGGTGGCATAGAATCCCTTGGACTCTCCGTTTTCTTTTTACCTTTGGTTTTCTGTGCAGTACCCGCTGAACCATTTTCCTGTTTGGTCTCATCTATATTTCCAGAGGAGCTCTCAACAATGCGTTGCACAAAATTTGTGCTCTTGTCTTTGAGCGAGCGATATGTCTTATTAAAGCGATTGAAACTCTGCAACATAATTGATTGATCAATGAATTGAGAGTATTTCGAAGCAAACTTACAGCAGCGGGAAGCTCCAGCAGAGCGTAGACTGTAAAAACAACAAACTGGCCCGCAAAAAGTTCATCGGGCGTAGAGAATTCGCTATTTCCTTGAATGCTCGATGCCCGCATCTTGGCAAAGGCCGAACTGTGTTTGTGCTTTAGGGAGGGTCTGAAATATCGGGAGAGTGAGTTGGGAGAGTGATAAACTACAAATGTAGTAAACCTACTTAATGTCCGGTACTAGTGGAAACTTGAAGTTCTCATTAAATTTGGGCCAAGTGTTAGTCTGTATGCTGCTGTCCAAGCGCTTTGTACCGGGAAATAGTTTAACCTGGAAGTGATGAGGCAAGTAAATAATATTTGCTTTCATGGGTATGGTTCTTTTTGGTATTTCCGATAAAAAGCTCGCTCCCATTTCCTCTCTTTCACATCTGGACTTACCTTTATTAGATAGCCCTGTACTATTTTGAAGCCAAACAGAGAAGGCAAGTGGCGGGCTGCAATCAAATGCACATTCAGCTCAGGCAACTGATTGCCGCTCTTTGCTGGACTGGAGCCAAAGCTCAGTTCATTATCACTCGACTGGGCGGCAGGTTTCTGTGTCTCGATGGTTATTTGAAAGCCAATCTCTGGCTCCAGAGCCACTGAATGACGACTGGGGGCATGTGATGGCGATGATGAAGATTGTTGGCCAGGCAGCAAGGCGAGCAATTTCTGCATCCTGACTGATTTCTTTTTATTGCCGGCAAATGACCCCAACAACGATGGAACGTGACATCAAAGCAAAGACCGCTCCGCTCGCTAACGCTCAATGGCGAGTACTGTGGTTTTTCATACGATTGCGCAAAGAGTCGTCTACAGAACAGACATACATATGTAAGTAGTTTGTAGAAAACACAGTCAGATAATTTCTGTGAATGACTTCACAAGCTCTGACGCTTATCTCCGACTTGCACTTCCACTTCGTGTTGATAAAAAAAAGAGTTGAGCGACTAGCGTCATAAAACTAGGTAACGTGGCCGCTCAAAACTGCACTAATATTTCACACCTACGACTTCCAATTGGCACCTTACCCGCCGGCCTTATCACTCATTATCACAGCGAGAGAGAGAGAGAGAGAGAGAGCGCGCAAGAGACCGAACATTAAATTGTTCAAATGTGACTAAAAAGCTGCAAACAGCTGTTTCAAAAGCTTTTCGTGCACGCTCCAAAAAGTTTGTGCGTAAAGCTCGAGCTCTCAACTGCTCGTGGCAGAAAGCCCAGTGGTAAATTGGCTGCCAGGCGATGATTCAAGCCAATGCGTATGCCCGGTGTTGCTCACTAGGTTTCTTGACCTCTCTCCCTCTCCGGCCGCCTTACTCTCTCCTGTACCGCATGGCGCCCATTATTCTAACATCAACAACAATTGCCCGACTGGCCACTTGTTGTACTCGTAGTACATGAATTAATTGTGTGCTCTTTAAACGTAAACAAAAGCTTTTTGTTTGTCAAAAGCTGGGCTGGCAAACAAATAAATTAACTAATTATCAAATATATGTACTTGTATGTATGTACAACAATGGAAATATTTATTATGCACACAGCACAACAACAACAAGAACAATAACAAATGACTGCAAACACTTTCCAACATTTCTGATTGCCGCTGACTAAGGCCGTGCCGAGATTGCGCATACGCAGCGTGTGGCTCTTGACCAATTAGCAAATAGCCAGCTGCTCACTCGCATTTAACGCGCACAGCCACACAAATGCAATACAATGCTAATGCAAGAACTTGTACCTTTGAATTGTTGCTGTCGACACAATTGAATTTCTATTCAGAAATGAAGCTTTTGACACTTAACTCGCGATTCCCGTTCTTGTTGCAATTTCTCAACACAACTGTTACTGCTGCTGGTTATGTCGATGTCGACATATGTACTATACATACATACTACAAATACATACATACATATGTACCTATAAACAAGCTCGGCCCACAAAGCGATGCACAGTACTTAGAACACAGAACATACAAAAGCGCGAATAAAGGCAAGAATGGAAAATAAATCACAGTTCAAGATGAGGCAGCGCCACGCTCGCGTTCTCCAGCTGTTCCGACGCTCAACTGAAACGTAAACTTGGAAATTATTTCTTATGCGGCCATAATAATAAAGCGTACAATCATAATGCCGACACAAACACTCGTACATCTACGTACACACACACACATACATACACACTTGTATACACACCCATACACATGATTTCGTACGTATAAGTAGTACTGCGAGCTGCGCTCTGTTGGTTGTTGCTTTCTTGGCCGCCTCAAGTTGCAATTAGATTCTCTCGCGCAGTCAACGTTGTTTCTGTCACCGTTATCGCAAAACAACAACAACAACAACAATAACAATAAGAGCAACAATAAAGAATGTGTAATCAGTCAACCGAAGGCTTAATTCTCTTTCGCTTCATGGGGAGATACAAGAAAGGTAGTAGAAATCAATACAACATTATAAAATTCTACAAAGGGAAATATCATAATCTTCAATCAGTATCAGCTCCAACCAAAGGTGTTTTTATGAAACAAATAGTTTTCTATTTTAAAAATTTTAAAAAGTCTGTTTTTGAAAGTCTGTCTGTATAACTGCAAATACAAGTAACTCCCAAATAAATAGTGATCATACATACATATCACCAAAAAAAAATTTAATTAAATTGCACGATTTTACACCAAATCTTGACGTCCCATTTGTATCAGCTATTATATTTGTATAACTAATTAAAACCTAAACCGGCTTTTATAGGCCAAAATGTTGTCCAGGCAATTTAAATTTTGTGTGTATGTGTTGCTTTTGTTATTTTATAGTTTCCTTTTAGACTTTTGGGAAATATTCTGAGACAAAGGTGCTTGGAGCTGTGTCATAAATTTATAAGCTCGCCATAGTTATATGAATAGCATTTTATCAATTTTAAATCTACTTTTATTTAGAACTTTTCCTCATCTCTGTTTTGAATAATAAAAGCTGGAGCCTACTCGTCGAGAAACAATTTGCTATGTATATCGATCGTTTATATTATTTATATTATTAAATTTAAAATTGGTTTATACTCAAATCATATTGCAATCATCTATGCTTTACTCCGTATGTTGTAGTCCATAGTTGAATGTTCTAATAACCACTGCTTCCTAAATAATTGTTAAGCTTTGCATATCTTATCTGACTTAAGCTATAAACCCAACTGCGATTTCAAGTGTGGGGTCACCAGTTGTATTCCATGTCACCAAACAGCATAACAAATCGCAATTCATCGACAACTGAAAGAGTAAAGCAACCAACCAGCTTGGAAATGCTTTCACGACATTTGCATGCACTACACTTGTTCAGAGGGAGTGTAGGGGACACACTATGGCACTGTCCGGACACTTGCCACATGTGGCGCCGTGAACTACTTAAGGTAATTGCTAGAAAAGTAAAAATGCAAATTTTCACAAATTATACGAATTATGTGCAGAATGAAGAGCGCTAATAAATAGGGCTGCTGAACATGAAGCTGCGCACAGTTCGAAAAATTCGTAACTCTCGAATATGTCATCGTCGCATATGTCTCTTGGATATACCTTAGTGGTACTGCTGTTGCTGCTGCACACAGACTGGGTGTGTCCCAGTTCAGAGCGTGCCAATGAGGGTCTGGAAGAATTTCGTCAAAAGTATTTAATGCCACTCCTTTCTTCTGGTGGTCGCAACTGCACCCTGACTGCCTGTGAGTCCCTCAAGATTATATCACAGCTGCTGTTGCTGATCAAGGCCATGCCCAATGCAACGCTGTCAATGCCAACAAGGTCGGACAAGGTCGAGGGCGTGTCTCCGCGCAGGCATAAAGTGAATAAAAATGATGCTAATGATGGCAACCGAGAAGACAATGCCATGTCCAATCTGGCTTCTAACTTCGATCTGAGCAAACGAGTGCGTCAGATCGAGAGTCGTTTGCGTTCTGTGGAGCAGCCCATTTGGCATTTGGCCACGGGCAGTCAAATCGAATGGAATCACTGCACATCCGGTGTGTGTCGCTGTAATCCCGACACAAAGAGCTTTACCTGCTGGAACAAAAACCTTAAGTCGGTTCCAGTAACACAAGTGATACCAATGAACATGGTGGCCATGTAAGTAGTGAATAGTTTCTACATTTATCTGATTTTATATTAAACGTGCAAAAAATTCTTTATTTAATCGATCAATATTCCATATATATTTTAATTTTCTCCAGAATGTTCGTTGTGTTTGATTTATACATTTCTTTTTAAATAACTGCCTAAAAGAAAACAGTGAAAATTTACAATTTAAAAGAAAGCTTCAGTATTATTTGTAGAGTAAGAAGCTGTTAGTCTGTCAGTATTTTTGTTATAAGAAACTATCAGAGATAGATATATGAAGCTTCATAAATAGGCTATTTAAGGTAAAGTGCAGACAACATTGAATTAATACTATGAATTAAACGTGAGTTTATGTTTCCATTGGTTTCCTTTTGGAATTTGTTGCTTGATCTCAACTGATTCATTTCATTGGCTTTATTTCGACCTTTTTATTTTCTTAATTGAAATCTGAAGCTTCATTAATTCGAATATATTGCTTTACAGAGATCTGTCACGCAATTCGCTCTCCACTTTGCACAAGGACACGTTTCGCGGATTGACGCTGCTGAAGGAATTGGACATTTCGAATAATGCATTGGACTTCTTGCCCTTCGAGCTATTTCAAGATCTTGACAGCTTAGTGCAGTTGTAAGAGAACTACAATTGAGCTTCTAATTTCATCACAATAATATTTCAGTCTATTATGAACACAGACGTATACAAAATAATCAACTGGAGGACATTGATTCGCGCACCTTTTGGAAGCTGCGAAATTTGAATTTACTAGATCTGGGGAAGAACGCCATAATGCTCCTGCCTGAGTCCATTTTCTACCATGCACAACGCCTCACGGTCATCAATTTGTGTGACAATCAAATTAAGAATTTTCCTCCGGCCCTGCTTCGCGATCAATTCATGCTGGAGGAACTGGACGTGTCCCGAAATGAGATCACAGCGCTCCACTCAGGCAGTGTTCGGTACTTGACGAAGCTGAAGGCCTTGGACTTTGGCTGGAATCAAATATGTGAGTCCTTGTTCGATGAGCTTACCCTTCACTTTAATTAATTTTAATGTATTAGCCACAATTGACGACGACTTCTTCGCGGGTCTCAAGAGTTTGCGTAGCCTGATGCTGCACAACAATCGCATCACTTCAATATCCGGCACCATCTTCAATCATCTTGTTAATCTAGTCACTCTAGATTTGACCACAAATCGTATTTCACACGTAAGTTTTACAGAATATGCTGCTCATACTTGAATGTTGTAAAACAAACATTTGACTGTATAGGATGATAAGAAGAATTTAAATCGCAACGTCCGTTAGTCCAGCTTTGAAACGAAGCTTCTTTTTAATACTGTGTATACGATAATGTCGAGCCTTTCTCAGATAACATTTCTAAATATCTGTCAAACATACGAGTACATGAGTTAAGATGAGTTTTCGCACACAAGTCCTTTTTATACCCTGTACCCGTAGGGTAAAAAGGGTATATTAGGTTTGTGCAAAGTATGTAACATACAGAAGGAAGCATCTCCGACCCCATAAAGTATATATATTCTTGATCAGCATGGCGAGAGAAATCGATCTAGACATGTCTGTCCGTCTGTCCATCTGTCCGTCTGGATGAACGCGAGGATCTGAGAAACTATAAAAGCAAGAATAACCAAAGTTGGTATCCAGATTCTCCTAGGTCCGAGTAAGGACGAGTTTATGTTTTTTTTTTTTAATTTTCCCCCCCTTCCCCCGCTGCAGAATTTCGTCAATAGCGTCCACATTTCAAATGCTACCTAAACCAAACTTTGCACACATAATTTATATATAATTGTCTACTGTTGTTCAAAATTTTATTCAATTCGATCAATTCTAAGAAAAGTTATTAGCGAAACAAATTCTCGCTAGTACAACCCCCACAAACTGCAGCAACAAGTTCGCTCTTCTTCTTCCTCGTTTTGCTGCTGCTATGGGCGCATATAACTCAGTGACGGAAGTTTACCTGGGTACAGGGTATTACACTGTCGGGCTTGCTTGACTGTAGCGTTCTCTCTTGTTGTTTATAAAGATATTGGAACCAAGCCTGATATTAAGCTTCTTCTTCTTCACGGATGACCAAATATGAAAAATATAAGAAGTTAAACTATAAACTTTACTTATTATTTAACGCTTCACAATTCAGGTGCTCAGACCGCAAGGCCAATATCCACATCCTCTTCAAATATAGATGTTTTCTGTCTATCTGTGTGTCCTTAAGAAGTACGTATATCCCAAAATCGCTTAGCAATCAATCAAAAACCTGAAAGAATACACTTTTGCCTGATAGTAAAAGTCCTTGTGGTTTGGTTGTTGCACTCATTTTCCAACCCTATATCCTTATATGTGTGATGGGAAGGGAGCATAATTATTTTGTAAATTATAGCTTTTATAAAATCGAAGCCTTAGCCTTAGCCAAAAAAATGCCATAATTTAGGCACAATTCTTAAAATATGCCTTTTTAGAACATACATGTGCTCTAGATCTCAGATTGATTCACAGATCGACGGAAATGCCTTTGCCGAGCTCAAGAATCTGAATGAACTATTTCTGGGTCAGAACTCGCTCTCCAGCATACCATCCGACCTATTTTTGCATGTTAGCGCGCTGACACGCCTAACGCTCTTCTCGAACAATCTGACCATGCTCGAAGCTAATGATTTCCAGGGTCTAAGTAATCTTAAAAATCTGATGCTGAACAACAATGTTTTAAAGTATTTCGATGCCAGCGCATTTGCGCCACTCACGAATCTTGAGAAATTGTAAGTACCAAGCGTATATATATAGACGCAGACATATTGAGACCTCTCAGCATTTTACCAGACGCATTGACTCCAACAAGCTGCAATATTTGCCACATGGTGCCCTACATGGACTGGACAAATTGGTGGCCGTGAAGCTGGACAAGAATCCGTGGCATTGCGACTGTCGTGCTCTGTATTTGGCCCGCTGGATACGCGAGTTTGTGGCCAAGCTCTGGGATGGCCAGCCAATGTGCCGTGGTCCTGGCGATCTGGGTGGTCATGAGGTGGGCCTGTTGCGCTACGACGATCTTTGCGATGGCCAATGGGCCAGCATGTTGTCGCTATCGCCGCGGCTACCGGTGCGCAAACATCGCATATCCACGCCGATGAACTATACCGACTATTTCAATTTGTACTTGAAGCATATCTATAATGCCACCACAGATGAGGAGCTCAAAGGGGCGGAGATCACGAGTGTGGCCATCAAGAAAGTACACGTGGATTGAAATTCAATATCAACGCATATATTATTAAATAGACATACACATAGCATAGTTACATAGATGGATATTACATACGAGTACATACAAACTTACAGCTAGAACTCGTAATGCAGCTGCTGTCCATGGATTTTGGTTGTTTAGTACGAAGCTACAGGGTTCCTGCTGGAGGATCGCGAGCCAACCTTTTATGTACACAGAACATATATATAGGGCCCGGCATAAACTTCCCCTGCCCTCTAACTCTGCGTACCCAATATTGTTTTATAATTTAGAGATATATAGTGTGTGATTAAATATGACAATTTTGCATGTACGTGTCTAGTATGTCCGCGCGTGTTGTCAAATGTCTCAATGGTATTATGGCCTAGCCTAACTTAGTCTATAAGCAGAGCGGAAACGTAGCTCAGTCCACTTCGAGCTTTCTAAAACTGCCCACAACCCCAGCATCGAGATCGCCAATATCGTTGCCTGCGAAATTGGCCGCCTCCTTGGTGATCTCAATCTGCATATCGTCCAGGGCTAGGATGGCGGCACGACGTTTCTGCAGCTTCTTTTTGAATTCACTGATCATGTCGGCAAGAGGCATAGTGCCGCCATATTCCTTTGGCAAAATGGCGGGATCCATTTTCGTTTTCAGCACGTCCACGTTCTTGTGGACCTAGAGGAAGGGAAGAAGTAAAGCAATTAGTTCAATTTATATATATAATATACATATGTTATGTGAGCTTCGTTAAGGCTGCTTTAGAAAAAATCAAAGTACCGGAATTTAAGAGTTCATTTTGAAAGTTCCCTTTTTTCCAGAAGATTAAGCAAATTACGTACACAGTGCTCAGCACAACTCTGACTTTAGATGGTTAGAATGTTTGAAACTTAACAGAAATCATAATTTCTCATTTTTATCTGAACTCAGTAGACACTAATCAGCAAAAAATATATACTATTTGCATTCCTTCATTACATTTTCTTGATGACTGATTTAGATCAGATAAATACGATTACATTTCTAGCACAGCTCTTTTTCTATTTTGTTGCAGTTTATCAAAAATTTATCGGAATACAAGTATATGGACGAGATCAATTTCAAATATTATATTGCACATTAGATTAGAAAAAAGATGATAATTATATACAAGTATGTATAAATTGTGAATATTTGCACTAAAGTTTCTCAAGCTACTCTACTCTTGAACTTTCAAATTGAAATCATAATTCCAGTTCCAATATCATTTTTATGGTAAGCAACCTTAAGACGCGATCAATAAGCCAACTCACAATAATGCGCTTCTTCAGCTTGTCGCTTAGCATGGAGACGCCCAGTTCAATGATGCGATTGGCATAGTGTGGGATATTGACGAAGTGGGTCTCCTTGTGCCTCATGGGCGTAGAGTTCTGAATGCATTTGACAATGCTACGCAGATCGGTCAGTGACCAAAGACTGACAAAGCCCATGTTCATGCCGCTCTCATCATTCACGTACACGTAGCCGGCCACCTGGGAGTCCTCCTCGTCCAGCAATGCCTCACAGATTAGCGAATGTACTCGGGCCATTTGCACCGAGGTGAACTTGTAGGGATCAAACTTTCCAGCAATCGAGAAAATCACCTGCCGTCCAAGGGCATCGCGTTGCGGCAACGGCACCAAATAGCCATTATCAAAGATCTCGTTGATGGCCGGGTCATCAATATCCAAACGCTGGAACCACTGCGGGAACAGCTGACGTATGGTCAGGTAGCGCTCGAGCATTTCACAGGCCGCTGGCACCGAGAACTTCTTGGTGCGAAGGAACCGCAACAGAAAGACGGCATCAGTGCGGCACTTCTTGATGTTCGGATGCTTGGCAATCCACTCGCGGAACTGTGCGAGTGCCTGGCGGCGAATGTTCTCATCCTCATGCAACTCCTCCTTGGCCACAACTTTCATCTCAGCGCTCAGCGGGCACACATACGGATCATAGTCGGTGGCGCTCGACTCAGGTCCATTCAGATTGGGTTGTTGAAGCACTTCGGTTTCCAGCACTGCAAGAAAAGGGGAAAGTGGTCGCACATTACTTGTATTTACAGCCTCGAGTACCGCACAATGCCAGAGGGACGTGATCTTTCCATTTTATGATCCACGCCATCCAAAGAATTGCCTTTCAACGCCATATCGTATTGCAGTTCAAATGAACGTGCTGCTACAATAATTATCTATTTGTATATTTGAGAGACCGGAACTTTCAGCTACAATTAACATTTTAATTTCGTGGCTATTATTTTTGCATACGTAACTTCAATTTAAAGAAATTAATATATTTTTGATTATAAAAACACAAAAATAATAACGCATATGAAGAAAGTAAATATGTTCGTAAATCGGTTTTGTTTGCTACAAAGGAAGCAACATTTTATGGTTCATGAACATTTTCAGGTTTATTCAGAAACTTTCTTAATCAACTTGCTTTTTGTGTATACGGATATGACCCAGAAATATTAATATCATTTAGTTTTTTAGTGAAAAACACAAATAAATGGCATAAAATGCTTAAAGTGTTGAAAACGAACCTCATCTTAGAAGGCCGAGAAAATCGCATTAGTTAAATCTCTTTTAATAAAGTGACACCGTTTGCTTACGAATTTCAAGATTTTCAAGGACCATTCAGTAATGGATTTTTTGGAATGTTTCGAGGAATGAAAAATGCGTGGGGATATTTGCATTGTATCCGGAAAGGATTACTTTGAAGGCAACAAAGTAGATTTAACTAAATAAATTTTTGCGGATCACATTTGTAAATAGTGGTTTATACATTTTTCAAGCTGAACAATAATCTCAAACTTTATTAATCTTTAAACGTATGCATTAACCAGTAGTAGCAGTAAATTATCGTAGACTAACGGTTCATTTAATTCACTTATGTTTAGGGAAAATGGAGCTTTGAGCTGTTTATCTTCCTTGGAAGCCAAGCCCTCATATATTTGTAGCATATCAACAAATGGCTTCAGTAAATTAAGCACTTTCTCCGCTATTAAGGGATAATTATAGAAAGGAAACCTAGTCAAAGTTTATTATTTAAATAATAAAAAACAGAGCCGTTGAGCTGACAATTGTATTCCTATAATCCATTATGCCGAAGTTACTGAGCCAACTAGGAGAAGAAGAGACACCTCTTCTGTCACTATTCAGCTTTCAGTTTATATAAGCAACCTCAACAGACATGAGCCAGATCCCAACAGATAAGTACGCTTTAAATAGGTACCGTAGATGAGATAATGTGTGTTGTGCATATGATCAACACAAAGTGAAACTTTACAATGAGATAATATATTGTACTAGCAGGTATTGCCCGTCTTAACCCGGCTCAAAATAATGTTTCCAATTGTATTTATTTTGTGTGTGCATAACCTACCCATATGTTTTCACCTTATAAGTTACCAGTAGGAAGGCATTTAAGGTATTTAAATAAACATTTTCTGTTCTTCACAAAAAATTGTTCAGTAGTCCGATACATTTTTGTTCTTGCCAAAATATTTCGTTAAACGAACATAACTAATATTTTTTAAAGCTCATTTTCCCCCCTTTGGAGCTAGAATTTTCCAGAATCCCTTCTTAGTGCGCATCTACACGATGATAGGATACTTGAGCCCAAATTTCAGCATCCTAGCTTTTACCGTGTGGGCTGTGGGCTGTTGACGCGGTTTGTTTTTGTGTCCCAACATTTTTTTTACAGGAAAACTCCCATATTTTGGGCCCCAAAAAACCAAGTATACAGTTTTTCTTGGAATTGTTCTGAGAGTATACAAACTAAGTTTGAAGTTAATCAGATGAAAACTGTAGATTTTTTATACAAACGTTGGAGCCTGTTTTCCCCCCTTTGGAGCTCGAGTTTTCCAAAATCCCTTCTTAGTGGGCACCTAGACTATGAAAGGATACTTGAGTCCAAATTTCAGCTTCCTAGCCTTTACCGTTTGGGCTGTGCGTTGATCACCAATCAGTCAGTCAGTCAGTCAGGACAAACTGTTTTATACATATAGATAAAATATGTTGATCTCATTTTCCCATTAAATTCTATAATTGAAGATATATATCATAATGTATGATGAAAGAAAAATGTAATTACAAACTGAAAACGGCTGTAGGATATCGGTTCTCGTTTGGCTCAAATACCTGAACTAAGTGAGATCGAAGGTGAATAAAAACAGTGGAATCAGATAAACATTTTAATGTTTGCCCCCTACTTGCCTCAGGAATTCTCGGTGCAATTATTGTAGCTGTTATTGCTGGTCGTACTGCTGTTGTTAGCGTGCCACAATCAACACTGCCACTAATTATGTGGCTGGCCTTGGTCAAGAGCTAAACGCTTGCGCAATATGTACGAGTAATGCCAAAATACATCGAACTCTAGCGGGTCACACTAGTTTAGTGGCCCACATACCGTCGAAATAAACCCACTTGACTTTTACGTAGCGCCGAGACATTGACTCGAGTGCGGCTCAAGCTCAATAGCATGTGGTTGTGGATGTGGGCAGGCGGGGCATTGGCTCTTTGTCCTATGGCTAGGTGCTTAGCATTTTATGATGTGGCGCTCATAACCGGCCTTTTACCATTTGAACGCCGGACTGCATGACAATTGGAATAATCAGCTGATTTTGAGGGACGCGGATATGCATTTGGTTGCATTTTCATAGCAACGTCATTTGCATTTTGTTGGTTCGGTTTGGTTTGGTTTGGTAAACACGCCGGTCCATTGACCGTGACACCAAATCAAACACCGATCTATTTTGCATATGAATAGACATACAGTGGGACTCGCAGTGATCTTACGATCTCTCGCTTTTGCATATCAATTTGCATTTCTACTACTACTACTTGTGCCTTGGCAAGGTCAGCGGGGAAATAAGACGATATGTGATAATTTCACCAATACGTTTATGTTAATGCTAATGTGGCTGTGGCTGTGGCTGTGGAAGACAAGCAATCGTTAGTCTGCGCAGCACCCCCGCGGAATGGAATGGAGCCAAGTCGAATGAAGTGGAATGGTTGGACGATTGCCGGATTGGCACGGTCCAGCTGGCTTCGGACTGATGCAAGCTATGGCGATAAGCGAAAACCAAATAAAAACACACTCAACATTTAAAAAGCAAGCCAACTATTTTTGGTCAACAAACTATTTATGACCAAAGACGACGCCAGCGAACGCAAATCAAGTTTTTTTTTTCACTTTCATGGCCTTCACACAGTTTTCAATGTACAGCCATTGCTGGCTGGTTGTTGTAAAATAAAGTTCGTAATCGGTTGTGTTGTGCCCTGCTTTGAATATGCTGCCCAATATACTCGTACGATACGATGGACGATTGCGTTTTTGGGTCTCTCCATACTTTTACCCAACCGCACTGACTGCCTGACTGCCTGACTGCCTAACTGACTGACTGCCTGACTGACGCATTGTTGTAATTCGTTCATTTATTATCATTTTTTTTTTGTTTTTTTTTTTTCATTTTCGGTTAAAGAGCAGGTTGGCCGAAAAGTTTTGTTCGCATGCGATGCGCGATATTTTTTATAATTTTTTTATTCCTACTCTTTGTGTATCCGCTCTGCCAATTAGGCTGCTTGTTACATCACAGCATAACTGAAGTACGAGTGGCTTAAAAAATATCCAAACAACCACAACAGCCGACGATATAACATTACGTGCGATCGGGCGTACAAAGAGCGTACAGATAAAGAGAAAAGAGCATAATGCCAAGGCAGAGACGAAAAGCTCATAACTGGTTTTCCAAGCTGGCTCATTGCAACGCCTATTAATGTTGAGTGATATACAGTGTGTGAAAATAAATAGCTTATGCGATTTATTTGTTTTTACCATGACTCGGCGCTGCACAAAGACTTAACAAAACGTTCTCGACATGCTACCTACACACACACACTTTTTGTGATCAATTAATTTGCAATGGAATTATTTCCAGGCTACATGCTGTTTACTTTTCGAATTCCTGTAATAATACAAGTATAGTACAATAGAAAAGATGAAGCTCTCTAAATCACAAGTCACGCCTAATTACAAGTTTTGTAGAAATTACGTCTTCGTACATACTATTGTATGTATAAAAAATTTCGCAGAGTTTTGATCCTCACCCAAAACGTTCCGCATTTAATTTAATGATTAAAGAACTTACAAATATACAAAAAATATAAAGACCAGCTATACAGAGAAAATAAAGCGCACAAGTATTCGGTGCACGAAACCTGAAAATGAGAGATAGTGGTCCGAAACAATACCCCTCCCTCCTTTTCCACACACACAATCATCAATTTAATGGAAATCACAAAAAAAAAATCAAATAAATGAACATAGGCAGGATTACAACATTTGCGACCAATTTTGAACTTTACAATTATCATGTGCTATACCGATTTTAATTTTATTTATCGGAATGTACTAGATTTAGAAAAAACTTGAAACTTAAAAAATATAATACAAATATATATTTATAAAAAAAAATTTCTAAAATATATATCTCTTCTTTAAGTGTGGCTTAAAGTTAATATTTAAGCAGTATTTCATTGTTGAACTATTAATTAATTTATTACATATAAAATAAATTGGTTAAAAAAAGTAAATTTATTAAAAATATATATATATATTTTTAAAATTTACTTTAAGTTAACATTTAAGCAGCAGTGGATTGTTTAACTAAGTTGCAATCAACAATGCTCCGATATTAACTGCACAGAATAATGACTTTCGATTTAATTTCAATAATTCAATGATACAATCATTCACTATCGAAGCTTCGCTGTAGTAAAGAGTCCCACGCGCAACCTTCCAAGCCTAGTTCATAGATAAACAAATGGCAAGCAAATCAAATGCACTGGGCCAGAAGTTTAATGTGTTGGGCGTATGAGCGGCAATTTCTATGCAAGTTTCGTTCAAATAAATAGACAATATTCGGACTGCCATCCACGTGACTTGATAGAATAAAATGCATTTGAGCAGCCGTAGGAAAAGTGCATAAATCAAGTTTACGTTAACGGCTTTATATCGGTCTGTACTTGACAAGTCGCTGCCATTAGGCAACTCCATAGGTAGTTTAGGCTTCGTTTTTATTAACCGTAGCACGTAATTTGTCCGAAGGTGTTTGTTTTGTTGGACACAACGGGTTTTAAATGATCTACAATGCCACTAGCACTGCCAAAAATATAAAATACAAAAAATATTCTTGAATGCGAATAAAGCCTGCCCGTTTCGGTTGGCTCTTAACCCGCCCAGGGTTGAGGTCTACTACACACACAGACTTGATGGAGTGACAATGCAACATGCGTCCAAAAGCAGTTGCAAAATTGTACCTGTCATGAATATTTATAAGCAAACAAAACAAAACACACACACACACACGATACACCTCATATTTTTAATAGCATTAGCCAACTTTGCTGGACAAGACCTTGCTGGGACTTTGGTTTTACATTTCAGCTAACGACTACACTAAACAGACAGACGACGACTTTGTAATTTTAATTGGCTCTGCAATGTAATTACTTAATAGATATTACGGAGCTAATGTACAAAGTGAAATCGTTAAGTATTATTTTAAGCCAAGAAGTAATTGTTCTTGTCGCTATTGATTCAAGAACATATGAGCACATTACACATACGCCATGTGTGCAGCGAGGTCGCAAAAAGTGCGGAAATGCATATTAATAAAATCTAGTATTTTATGCAGAACTATTCATGTCCATCGGCTATTTTTTTAGAAATAAAAAAACTGAAGAAAAGCTTAAGCTGCGCCACAAGCAGCGGCGCATGCGCAGCTGCCGCGCTCAACGGCTCGGTGAAAGCGAAAGTTTTTCTTGAACTGCTTTCTGCTCTGCTTTCTGGTCGCAGCTTTTCTTGTGCATTTACATAATTTTCTTTACAATGTTTATCCTTTCGGCACACCAAATCCAAAATACTCGAATATAGTATGTGATTAAAAATATTACAGTCTGTGACAGACATTTGATTTGTCCCAGAAACTCACTTTTTCGGCTATCAAAATGATATTTCTCGTTTAGTCTGCACACGCGCTTAGTTTCACAAGTCGCAAATATTATATAAATATGCTGGTTGGTTTAATAGTGTGAAGAGGCAAGCCTAGCTTTACAAGTATATATAGATTGTTTTTTTATGCTGTGTTAACTTTATTTCCGTTCCAGCTCCACACAACGGCGACGACGACGACGAGACTACGTTGTGAACGTGGAGACGACTTGAGCGAAACTGATGGTTTTCAGCTAACCGAAAATTTATTTAAGCTGCAGCCAAGCGAGCCAAGTTTTCACTCAATTGCGGTTGAGTGACAAAGCCAGCGTCGAAGTTGACGGAGGCAACGATGGTAGTGAGCACTGTTTTTGAGAGACACCCCCTTTTTTAGACCCGCCGCTCCAAAACATTCACCAAAGCTACTATATTTAAAGTAGAGCTATTAAAGTGGACCCTATTCTTAGCCTTTAATTACGCGACACCGGGCTTAAGTGACGCAATCCCACAGTTAGTGTAGCCCTTTAATAGGTGCATGGTAAGGAAGAGCGCCCTTTCCATTTCATCGCTATGGGAATCTCAACATCTGATACATATGTATACATGTAGCATGAGCGGAAAACTCCAACAGTCAAAGGTATTTCATTGCCCTGACCTTGGGTGGTGTGAGCTGGCTCTTATCTACTTGTATTTGACTAAAAACAAAAGCACATTTAAATAGCTCTACATATGTTATAGCCACTTGATTTCCAGGCACAAAGCGCGCGCTCACACTCACACACGTAAAGGTTTCCTAATAGCTGGTTTGTGCCCGGTTCAAAAGCCAAATAGCCAATTTCAAACTTACTATAAACTTCACTCGGCGCATGGAGAAATTAATTGCGTGCTTCATAAAAAACTCTCGCATATAAATGAGTTTGGAAGTTAAAGAATATCGCAGTAATTGCATAACACACAGTGTCATTTGTGGCAAAATGAGGGAGCAGAATTAATTTTATTTCTAATCAAATTATGAAAACAGGTATGAATAAATGCAGAACTACTTGAAATAATGATATATAAAATATGAATAATGAAATGATCTAAGAAAATAGGGATAGGAGTAGACAAATCAAGTGAAAAATAAATAAATGTATTAAAATTGTATTCAAATTAACATCAAAAAGTCAAAAAACCCTCCTCCATTAAGGGACAGTAAATAAGATTTAAAATTAAAGCGAATATGTATTTCTCCACCCGTATTATCAGTTGGCCAAACTTTTCTTATAATACTAAGTAGTAAAAGGTGATACAACGTAATATTTTCCACTGCTGATAGTAATCCAAGTCAATATTGATATCAGAAATAATGAATATAACTACAACTGAGTAATTGGTACATTTAAATATTGCTGCACATCTACTTGTATATCCCACAGCGACCATACGTGTCAAGTTCTTTCCCCTTTTCGATTTTAACATTCTGAGAACCACTAAAAATCGCTGCTTGGAAATTCTAATCAAATTTTGTCTCTAATCCAGATCTATAATTTTTCGTTTTACTTTTCCAAGTTTAAGGATCGAATTACAATTCAGATAGTTTAATTTAAGTGCGGTTTTAAATTAGTTATTAGATGTGAAGCTGAAAAGGATAACTACTAACTAATCAATTCTTTAGGTACCAACACCAATTCGTATATACCTATATCTATGTACATAAGTAGCTTTGCCGTTAGAAGTATACTCGTATTTTTTAATAAAAATCTTAATGAAAATCGATGAAACATTATTCCTTTAAGTTTTCGGGATAACAATTGCTTGACAAGCTTTCTAGCGGAAGCCGAGCTCGGCCAGAAACACAATGTGAATTCTGTAATACGGTTTCGGCATTTGAAATATTTTTCCTAGACTAAATCAACATCACTAATAACAGATAAAGTTTATCTCTGTCAAGATTTGTTTTTCAGATATAAACAAGATACAATATTATTTATTAAAATGATCTGTGTTTGCCGCCTTTTGGGCAATACTTGAATAAATTTGTACGAATTAAAGAAAGTCAGCATAGTAATTAGCAATAAACCGCCGGCTTAAGAGCATATTATACAAGTAGATTGAATTGTCTCTTTTATTTTGACTATATCGTGTAGAAACTTTGCTACTTTGATGAAACAAAGACTGTACGTTTCAAGTGTCATAGAATGGCTTAAAGGGTAATGGATGATGCATAAAACAGTCTTTAAAATTGGAAAATATACTCGTACCAGAAAATTATGGAGAAAAAATATATATACAAGTAAATACATATACATATAAATTTGAGTGGAAAGTAATTTGCTCTGAAATAATGAGGACTTGCTCTTCGGCAATTACCTGTTCTTTACTCCACAAATACATATAATAATAATTTGCAAATAATAGAGCAACGTCGATTAGAAGCATTGACGCTTCATGTCTACTATATTTAATGACACAATGTTATTTCACGCATCATTTCGCTTTATGGCGCAACTAATCGCAAAGAGTTTTATCGAAACTAACAAAATCTACACAATAAAAATTTTGTATGCGCCCAAAACATGAATCCACTCCATACACCAATCCTTCAGCCGCCTACACTTCGCCCTCTTCGGCAGGTTCTTGTTGTGGCGGCGGTTCCTGGGGCTCTATAGTTTTACGTTTCTGCTGCGGTGGCGGCTGCTGTGGCTCTGGTTCTGGTGGTGGTGGTGGGGGCTCGTCCTCCTCTTCCAGCTCGAACGGATAGAATTCATGATCCTTGACCTGCAAATACTTGACTATGCGTCGTTTCTGCTTTATGCCCCGCAAAGCCCGGGTGTCCGTGTCATCCAGCTTAAAGTCGAATATATCCAGATTCTGGGTTATGTGCAGCGGGTTGGCTGCCTTGACGATGGGCACAACGCCATAGTCGATCTGTGGAATATCTCTATATATATTAGCTCCACCCCCTTGGCGGTCTATCTTACCAAGTATCGCAAAACGATCTGCGCAGCAGTTCTCTTATTTTTCTTGACCAAACGCTTCATACCCTCGGAAAAGAAGTAGATGGGCGTATGCAGCTCCCGATCTGGTTGCCCCAATGGAGCAAATGCTTGCACAACAATCCCATTATAGCGACAGTAGTCGACCAGATCCTTTTGCATAAAGCCCGGCCAGATTTCGACCTGATTCACTACCGGCTTTGAGGAGCTGCACTGTATAATTCGTTGCACCTGATCCATATTGAAATTGGAGACACCAATGCTGCGCACCAGTCCCATCCGTACCAGTTCTTCCATCGCACGCCAGGTATCAATATAGTCTATGTCGCTGTTATGTTTTATGAATGAGGGGTGCAGAACATTTCCGGCTACCAAAAGGATACTTACGTCGTTTCGATCGCACCATCCGTCTCGGTCTTCATTATTTCATCGCACATGTGTTTGTACGCGACCGGAAAGTGCAGCAAATATAGATCAACATAGTCAAAGCCCAACGTCTCCAGCTGCTTCTGGCAAATGCGAATGACATCAGCTGGAGCATGATGTGTATTCCACAGCTGTGGGAAAGACGCAAGTTAGTCGCTCGACCAAACGCTAAAGAACGAACGTTTCACACCTTGGTGGTCAGGAAAATGTTCTCTCTGGACACATTCCCCATTTGGATTTGCGTTCGCAGCGCCTCTCCAATCTCCTTCTCGTTCTCATAATAGAAGGCAGTGTCGAAGTGCCGGTAACCCGTCTCCACGGCACAGTGAATAGCCGTGGAACACTGATAGCCACGCATCTATAAAAGGCATGGGGTAACTACTAATATCTGCACCCTATACCCTATACTAAATGGACTTGCGTTGCGTTGCACCTTCAGGAAATTTAACTAATGCGGAGTATCATTCAAATACATAGTATTCGCGCTTTAGATTTTAAGTGACGCAAGCACTTCCCGAAAAGCTCAGTCTTCTCAATAACATTAAAAATATATTATTCATATCAGGGATTAAAGAACCGTCATAAGATGTCATATGGAAGGCAACCATATATTAAAATAAATCATCAAGTATGATAACGTGTTTCTAAAAGAATTCAGTTATCTCTTTTCAAAAATACCTTCACCAGAAATACTGAAATAATTGCATCCTATAAAATATTCTTTCACCGGAAATACTGAAATAATTCTACATCATTTGATACTGAGAATAAACGGTGTGCGACGTATGAAGAGTATATAAAATACATTATCCCAAAAAATCTTCAAATATTTTACCCAGAAATACTGCAAAATGACCTATTTGCGACCTATGAAGAGTATATAAATTACATTACCCTGAAAGATTTATCAAGTATGCTATCCAAAAGGATAAGGATATCTGTTTCAAAAGGTCTGTTCTTCAAAAATTCCTTCACGTCAAACACTGAAATAATGGCATCAAAGAACTGAGAAACTATACGCGACCTATCAGGAATTCTTGTAAATAATATGAAAAACACAAAATCTAGCGTGGCTGCCCGACTTTAAATTTGCAATCCGTTTACCTTGTAGGTGCCAAAGCCTAGTACGGGCATATCATAGCCGCTACTCAGCTTTACTTTCGGAGCCATCAGCAGCGTCTTCTCACCGCATGCGGGCGGCTGATCGCCGCCCAGTATCATGGCTACTCGAGTGGTGTTCTCATCCTCCTCATCTTCGCAGGTAGTTAGACAGCGCGCCGGTATCATTGCAAATTTTACCCTAAACGGAAATTTTTTTTTGATTTTACCAGGTTTCTAAATAAAAACAGGAGTTTAAGAGTAATTTTTTGAAAGCAAGGCAGAATACTTCTGCCAGTTCTGTCAAAACATCGTCATAGAGGAAAATAATTTTAAAAGAGTAAGTAAAATGTAAGAATGTGCTTTAATTCAGAACCAACCGCATGTTGTGCCTTCTTTTAACATTCATTTTTGGGTAAGCTAGGATATACGTCATTCACGGTTAGTACTCGATAGCGAAGGGGTAATATTTGTGGTTTTGGGGCTTTATTAGGTTGAATGGCACCAGGCGCACTCCTGTATGGAAGCTGTCGAGCACAGCCCGATCTTCAGCGCTTAGCTCAAAGTCGAAGATGTCAAAATTTTCTGTGATGCGCGACACATTCGATGACTTCGGTATGGGTATAACGCCCAGCTCCACCTACAAGAAATGCAAAGATATTATATATTTGACTATTTTCGCAAACATGGCGCTGACATTTACCAGATATCGTAACACAATTTGTGGAGCCGTCTTGCCATATTTCTTGGCTATGGCCTGGGTTTTGGGCGAATATATAAATTCGGGTTTCTGCTCAGCTGGTGCTGGGCGTCCCAATGGTGAGTAGGCAGTCAATGTAATGCCACGCTCCTTACAGAAGGCGGTAAGGGGCTTCTGATTAAGAGCCGGTGAGCACTCGACCTGATTGGTTACTGGCTTTATCTCACAATTGTCGAGGATACGTTGAATCTGCTCGCTGTTGAAGTTGGACACGCCAATGCTGCGCACCAAACCCAGCTTTACAAGCTTCTCCATAGCCTTATAAGTGTCCAAATAGTCAACATCGCTAAGTTGCAGCACATCCTTTTCATCCTTGGGCAGCAAAACCTCTTCACTAACAAACTTATACCCAACTGGTAGATGCATCAAATACAGGTCGATGTAATCTAGACCAAAGAGTGCCAACTGCTTGCGACAAGCACCCTCAACGCGGTCCGCTTCGTGATGAATGTTCCAAAGCTGCAAAGCAATAAAAAGAATGGTTTATAGAGAACATAAAAAACAAAAACAGCTGCCTCACCTTAGTGACCAAAAAAATATCCTCGCGCTTGACCACTCCCTCGGCTATCTTATCACGTATGGCCTTGCCGATCTCTGCCTCATTTTGGTAGAAGTATGCAGTATCAATGTGACGATAACCAATGTCAATGGCATGTTTCACAGCTTTCTCGCCCTCATTGTTCTTAGACTGAAAGTAGAAAGAAATACGAATATTGATTTTTGTATAACCAACAGGGAACGCCTACCGGTTGAAATGTGTTCAATAACACGACATTGGTGGAATATGTGGTACGCCATAACCGGCAGATTCACCAGTCGACCACAAGTGCGGTTCAGCCCAGCCACTATGCGGGCAGCAGAGGAACGCGAAACGCTTCAACGAAACGATAGCAGAATATATGTGCAAGAACAAAAACGGCTGGCAAGACAAAGATATGAAAATATTTAAGGAAACCAATTTATATTTAAAAATACAAGTGATTAAATTAAAAATATGCGCTTATAAACTAATGTGGGTAATGCTGGTGTCCTTTGGCCTTTTCGAATTTCCACAGTCGGGTACGCTCGTTAAAATTTTCAAACAACTCCATTTCTTGTGCCGTTAAACTAAAGTCGAACAAGTCGAAATTCTCGCGGAGATGTTGGATCTGTGCAGCCTTGGGTATGGGCACTGTGCCAATGTCAAGCTGCAATTAATTGTTTCTATTATGTTGTCCCAATTTGAATAGTTTTCAATCTACCAGATATCGCAGTACCAGCTGCGCAATCGTCTTCCTATGATTTTTAGCCATGGCCAAGAGCTCTGAATCATTGTAATAAGATGGCAACGGCTTGCTGGGCTTTGGTCGTCCCAGTGGCGAATATGCTGTGACGACAATCTCATGTGCACGGCAAAACTCAATTAACGGCCACTGAATTAACTGTAGGTGGCATTCTATTTGATTGGTTACGGGCTTTATGCGGCAATCTTGCAACAGGCGTTCCAGTTGCGCGCTATTAAAATTTGACACGCCAAGACTGCGCACCAGTCCCAGATCGACAAGTTCCTCCATTGCCCTGTACGTATCAACAAAATCCACATCACTAAAATGCAGAAAGACTTGAGATTGACAACGTTCTAAGTGATGTCTCACACCTACTTGGTCTGTAGTACGCCTTCGCTATGGGGCATTAGTTCATCGTCATTCACATATTTTACTCCTACAGGCGAGTGCATTAAGTATAGGTCTATATATATAACGCCCAGCTGCTGTAGTTGCAGCTCACAAGCATACCGAACGCGAGTCGGTTCGTGGTATATATCCCAAAGCTTGGAGAAATAAATAACGACTTTACATACACATGTATATTTGTATTTAGTATAGTGTTCTGCACTTACCTTTGTGACGAGGAATATCTCATCCCGCTTTATTATACCACTAGCAATAGTTTCTTCCAGCACTTTACCTATAATCGCTTCGTTGCCATAAAGATAAGCAGTGTCAATATGACGATAGCCCAAATCCAGAGCACAACGCACTGCGTTTTCACACTTTGTTTTCTTTAGCTACGAAGCGCACCATTTAATTTTACTTAATTGCTACTAATCTATATATGTATCATCTTCTTGTGGGAAGAGTTTCGCGATATCTGTATGTACTTACATACATATATATGTATATACAAAGCCACACGCGCAAAAATGACATGTGGTTGCAAAGCAAATCGGATAGATCAAAATAAAAAGCTTCCAATTAAATGCTTACCTCATAGGTGCCCAAGCCCAAGACAGGCATTTCGTAACCATTGTTAAGTTTAACAGTTGGTGCAAGTTTTAGTTGAGTTTTCGAAGACATGTTTCCCGAAATTTTAGGACAAAATAGCGCACTACGCTTTACCAATTGTTGAAATATCACCGACAAGTGCGCCGATCTATAAAACATTGCCGGACGGACAGCTTTCAAATGGCATAAATTCGCGAGCTGCCAACCAGTTCGAAACTAAATTGCGTTGCCACATGTTCGAAAAATGGTGATGCAATACGAATTTTTACAGATAAATCTATTGTGAATTGCTTTGAACAGTGGTGATAAACAAAAAACTGCTGATTACAAATTCCTTAATTGCCCAAGCATTTACATAAACAAATTCATATGTATGTATGTATTAGAACATACACATATGTAGATGAATAACTGCCCGTCAAATAAAGTGGCCAGCTACAGCTAACAGCAATCTCAATGTCAAACTTGGTTAAACTGCTCAGTAGGAGAACTGTCGTCGTTCTCAACAGTAAACAATCGCGTAAAATGGCTAGCAACAGTAAAGAAGCCGTTGTGGCTGTCGGCCAAATGCGAGCGACAAGTGATAAAAGTCAAAATATGCAGCAGGTGAAGGAGCTGGTCTCGCGCGCCAGGGCTCAAGAAGCAAAGATGTTGTTTCTGCCTGAGTGCTGTGACTATGTGGGCGAAAGCCGGCCACAGACCTTAGAGTTGGCTGAGCCCCTTACCGGCCCCACAATGAGCAAATACCGAGAACTGGCCCGCTCCAATAAACTCTGGCTTTCCCTTGGTGGCGTACATGAACTGACAGGCGACAACTCTTCGGAATGCAAAATATACAATGCTCATGTTATGATTAATGACCAGGGCGAGGTAGCGGCGATCTATCGAAAGATGCACCTGTTTGATGCGGAGACCAAGGATTTCCGGCTGCGCGAATCAGACACTGTAGCGGCGGGAAAAAGCCTGGAGCGCCCTGTAAGTACCCCTGCTGGTGAGGTAGGCTTACAGATTTGCTACGACCTGCGCTTTGCGGAGCCCGCACTGATTCTTCGAAAACTTGGCGCCCAGCTCCTCACCTACCCGGCTGCATTTACGTACGCGACCGGCAAGGCGCACTGGGAAATCTTGTTACGGGCCAGAGCCATTGAGACACAGTGCTTTGTGGTGGCTGCTGCTCAGCAGGGTTGGCACAACAAAAAGCGGCAAAGTTGGGGCCATGGTATGATTATCAATCCGTGGGGAAAGGTGCTAGCCGACTGTGGAGGGGAACAGGAGCTCGCAGTGGCTACAGCAACTATCGATTTGGGTAGCCTGGAATCGCTCTACCAGAGCATGCCATGTTTCGAACACCGCCGGAACGACATCTACAGTCTGACAGCATACAATTTACCTACCGCCACAACCGATGGGTCCTCGTGCGAAGATCGCATGTTCGCCGGCAACAAGGTGGACATGCGCACAATATTCTACGAGTCGGAGCATTGCTTTGCCTTCACAAATCTTCGCTGTGTTGTCCAGGGACATGTGCTTGTCTCTACAAAACGCATCACGCCACGCCTCAATGGGCTAAATTGCGCTGAAATGACCGACCTATTTGCCACAGTGTGCATGGTGCAGCGTCTGTTGGAGAAGCGTTACAACACCACCTCTGCCACAGTGACTGTGCAAGATGGAGCAGATGCTGGACAAACTGTACCTCACGTGCACTTCCATGTGATGCCCCGGCGCACCGGCGACTTTGGTCACAATGATCAGATTTACGTAAAATTGGAGGAGCGCACAGAGAACATGCCCCCACGGACCCTGGATGAACGCATTGACGAGGCTCAAATGTATCGGGACATGTTGCGATCGAGCAACAATTATTAAAAAGTGCCCTCCTTTGTGTTTTGTTTATACTGTTATTAAAGACAAACATGTTTCCAAAATGTAAATATTGATGATTTATATTGCAACTGTTGCATTCACAATAGACAGTAAAATATATGCATAGGCAACACTTTTCATTCATTTGGCAGCACTAGGAATATAAATAAAGCAAGTGGGACAATAAATTGTAAACTTTCTGCACTAAATATGCCTAACATATCCGCCCACCATATAGATGGACTTCGGGACCTCTTAATAAACAATGAGAACACACCTATTCTACTTAAACTGGTCAAGAACATTTCGAAAAATATGTGCCTCATTGAACCAGAAGGTGAGACAATATCAATACAGTAGCAACTATTTTGATTGTCTTTACATTTGCAGCCGCCTTGACTTTCGTCGTCGAGCAAGTGGGGGACGTTCACAAGCTGCTGAGTAAAAAGCACATCTCGAAAAATCTTTTATTGAAGTACCTGCAGGCACGACATCCCGGAACAGCGACAGATTTTACAAAAAGCGATCTTATTATGCGCGTGATTGAATATTGGGATATGGACAAGAAAAGCGATAACAATGGGGCAAATGAGACGGAACAATTCCCCATTAATTTGTTCGCGAAGCAATTTTCTGAATGGTTTTATAATAACCTTAACCAGACCCAAATTCAACTGTCAGATTTTTGGATAGATGGAGCGCTACAGCTCCGCATTATAGCTGATGATGAAGTGCAAGATGTTGAATGCTCAAGTAGCGTCGACGTGCTGAATACACTTGTCAATACGAAAGAAAAGTTTTCCTTTATTTTTAATCTAAACCTGACAAGCGATGGTGTTCAGGGTCGAATTGACCCATACGGTCTAGTCATTGTGCTTTCGTGTGGCACTCTACACACAGTCAATCAATGTGTGGGCGTATTTGAGTCCCTCTTCGGACTGCTGCGCGATCCTTTCGGCGACAACAATTGGAAGATAAAAAAATTAAAGCTGCTGTTACGTAGCCAAAACGCAGCCCATAGGCACACCTTAGGTGCCAGCAGTAGTTTAATGGATGCTTTACAGCTGCCTGTGTCCAATGAAGCTGTGGATTACTGAAGCCATCGATACCTAATAGATATTTTCCATTGTTTACTCTTTCGGTGTATATTGGTCGAGGCTATGTAGTATATGATTATAAGACTGTTTAACAATACACATTCATTTTGTACCTGCAGCAACCCTAAATAAAATCTGATCTCGTTATATATAGTTGTTTATCTTTATGAAGAACGGCATAAACTACTGTGCCAAGAAGGATTTGTTTGTTCACTTTGCATACTACACAAAATGTACCTTATTGATGATGTTCTAGATTTAAAAATGCTTAGTTTGTTTTGAAAAGTACCTTTATAATATGATTAACATAATGTCCGTCTGTTCCTTTGAAAACGTTTGCTTAGAGCCTCTGATAGAACAACCATAGATTACATATTTCATAAAAGCGATTGTCTTTAAATATATTTCCTTGCAATATTTTTACTATGTAACGAACCCACCCACTTCTATACGTTAGCAACGTTTCGATTTATCATACTATTCCTATAATATACCAAACAAAACCGAATTCCAGGCGTATCTAACCTTTGGCGCATTTTACATTTGTTGCCTAAGATATACTTACCAAAGCATTTTAACCAACTATCAAATAATTAACAGTAATTGCGTGTTTTTGAGTTTGGGAACTTCGTTTTAAAAATTTCTTCTTTTTCTTTTTGATATTCTTTCAAGTGTTTGTTTTAAAATTAAAAAAATAAAAAAATCATGGACAACCATTTGGTCGAAGTCATTTTACTTAATCAGTTGTCATCAAACACGAAATCTGTAATTCCATACCATTCCGAAACCATAATCTCCAGTGAGGCTCTGAGTCGACAAAGTCTAGCTAGCAGTCTTTGCTAAATATTGTGTGTTATTTAAGCATGCAAAATTTAGCTAGAAACAACCTATGCCTGTCTTACTTATCCCAATATATTGGGTAGCTTACTACAAACCCATTAATATACTGTACCTGTGCGTCTAGACTCACGGTAAACTTCAGAAGATCTATTAAAATAAATGAATGCTCTTAATTAAACTGTTTAAAATCAACAAGGTCTGGCCAACTTACGCTGACTAAATCGTGTGGCACAATTTAGCGCGGTTTCCAAATAGGTCTTAAAGACCATAGCTGAAATTGCAGAAGAAAACAGAAAGTAACTGAGTTAAAGAATTGCTTGACTCAATCTGAAATCGGTGGAATGTTTTGACTTTTCGCGACAGCCTTTGATATTGCTGGGCAGAGTGAATATGAGCACAGTGAAATGGGATTAACCCGAATACATATGTATGAATGAGGACTATTTCTGGAAGTGTCAAGCAATTCAGAAAATAGCTCACTCAAATTGTATGTATTAGGTTCCCAAATAGTTTCATTTCACTACACTCTTATAAACATATATATTTTGATTCTTTGTAATAATCACATGTGTGTATGCCCAAAAATGATTACCGGTTAAGATGCTCGGACCAAGTTCGTAGTCACATAAGCGGAATGCGCCGAGTTAAGGCTCGTGTATCGCTGTTGGCGGCCCACTGAAATGGTATAAGACATTAATAATATGTTCGACTGGTTTGTGAGTGTGTGTGTGTTATTTGTTAAGTTTAAGTGGAAGTTGTTTGCATATAAATTATGCTACAACAATATTTATACAACTTTCTCATTCTCATTGATAAAATGAAAAGCATATCATTTGTTTTCGATTTAGAACTTGCGCTAGTGCACAAGTACAACTGAACTTATATACATTTCATATATTTTTTGTTTTGCATCTGATAGATCTATCCACTAATGGGCATGAGCTTTGGGTAGTGGTGGACTTGAACACAAAATCTAAAAACTAACTTTTCCGCATATATGTATGCGTGAACTAATGACGAATGTAGACTTGAAATTGCTTACGGGCTAGGCATAAACTGTTACGTTTCTTCGTCGTCGTCATCAACATGTTCGCAAATTACATTTTCTCCTGGATGAACGGATGCATCAATGCTTGATTAAGCGATATACGTTTGGCTGGATCTAATGCAAACATATTCTCCAGTAGATCCTTCAGCTGCGTCACCTTGCGATGCTGGTCATCGGGTAGATTTTGATCAGCTATCAATTCTTGCTGCAGATTACGTGTTGGCTTTACAACAGGCATAACGACAACTTTTTCCTATATGAAATGAAGAGAAAAACTTAAATTAAAATGTTTAACTCGATGCATCCTACATATATACGACATAAAATCCCAGTCACAAGCGATAGCAAAGTTTTTATACAATTATATCCATGGGGTGAGGGTGAAGTCGAAAAAAAGTTCAAATACCATATTGCATGCTAAGTTGCAAAACTCTACACATACATACATATGTATATATTTTTCAATGAATACAGTCAACAAAATATTCTGTAACGCTCACAGTTTAACGATAAAGCAAAATTAAAATGAATCAAGTTGCTTACCCGTTCGGTTAACCTATCGATCTCGTGGTACAGGAAATTGCAACTTTGGTCGAAGTGTTGTTCTCTGAATTGACCTTTACGAATAATGCGATTGGGTATTTTGCCCTTGACGTCCATGAAATATTTAAGCATCTGATTGTTACTCTTTCCACTGAACAAAATCTTGCCCGTATACAACTCGTAAATGGTGCAACCTGCCGACCAAGTATCAATGCCATAATCATAGGGTATGCCAAGTATGATCTCTGGCGCACGATAAAAGCGGGACACCAGATATGGTGTTATTTCATTGTCACTGATGGCTGAAGCAGATCCAAAATCACATAACTTCAATATCAGATTGTTCTCGTTGACCAAAATGTTATCTGGCTTGATGTCAGCGTGTAAGATACCCGTTTTCTTCAGCAGCTTAAGTGCCAAGAAAAGTTGTTGCGTATAACTGCGTACTGCTTTTATATGTAGACCCACATTTTTGCCATATTTTTTGAGCACCTCCCGCAAATTCATGGCAAGCGGCTCAAATACCATACACAAATGCTGAAAATATATGAATCAATGAATGCCGAGGACTCAAAATGTGGTTTTAAAAATATATTCACCTGCTTGTGGAAAAAATGTCGATACAAACGCAGGCAATGGAAACGGTCGTCCGGATCGGCATCGTTTAGTTTCTTAAGTATCTCCAGCTCCCTTAAACCAGTTTTATGCCTGACATAACATATGGTTTAGATGAAAATAGTTAGCAATAATTATAATTAGTACTTACATAATTTCATTGTTGCGAATTATCTTGATCGCTACATTGGCTAACCCTCGCGCCTGATCGCGACCTCGTACAACGTTGCTGAAGACACCCTGACCCGTATACCCACTGACGCAATAACGATTATCCAGTACCTCACCAATTCGTACCCTATAGTAGCCCTCTGCATCGTCCCAGTTGTCTGTCAATGCTGGATTATCAATTTGGTTTTTGTTCTGCACAATCGTGTTGGGTGACTGAAATATACAAGAAGTTTAAGAAACGGCAGACGCGAAAGCATTACATTTGAAATCTACAAGCCTGCGACTCACATCAAAATTCGAGTCCACATCCTGGTCAGCAAACATATCCCATTCGTTACGTTTTTCCTTGGCATCCTTTGTATTTATGGAAATGTTCTTTTGCCCAAGATCGTTCTGCTGCTCTGGTTTGACCTCATGTTTTGCGGAGGGTGAAGGAGTACGCGTATGTGAAGTGCTTGACTCATAAGAGTTGGATTTGCGTTGATTTGGGGTATCACTGTGATTAGTCCCGAGTTTCTATAAAACGTTTAAAATAAGTCCGGTGTGCAAAAAATATCAGGAAAAAGAATATAAAAATTTACCTTTAACAATTCCTCACGCTGTTTGCGTCGCATTTCAATGATGCGCTCTTCGTCATCATCATCTTCATTGATATCAATATCCAAATTAACCTCCTCATCGCTAGATTCTTTTTCGTGCATCCTCTGTCCCTCACTCAAAGAACCCTTATAGCGATCGCGTTCATTACCACCAACGCCATTTCCTGACCTTCCACGATCGTTATGCCCTGTGCGATCTCTATCACGCTGCCGCTCACGTTCGCGTCTTCTGTCCGACTCTACTTTACTGCGACTATGTGAACGCTGACGCATCCAACGATCCCGCTCCCGTGGCCGTCCATCTCTCTCATTGGTATGTGGTCTGTCACGACGGTCTCGACTTATTTCACGCCGCTCACGCTGCTTATCCCGATTAATCTCTTGACGCAAGTCCTCCATATTCCGATTATTCTCCTGGTTGCTGCGTCTCTGTCGGCTGTGGCTGCGCTTCTCATCTTCGCGCCGACGCGGCGTACGACTGTGTTCCCTTTCACTACGTGCTGCAGTCGCTCTGTCTCTGGATTGATGAAGCTCCCTTGTATCTCTGTGCTGCTGTTCCGAATGGTGACGTGATGCCGTTGCTGTTGACTTTTCCTCACGAGTGCGGCTTCTCGGTTCAGGAGACAAACGTCGCCGTCGCTTCTCTGAAGTGGGCGTTGGCGTGCGCTGGCCACCGCTAGAATCATCCAATAATATAACATCGGATTCATTTGAGTTATGGGTGCTAGATTGTTTATTATTAACATGTTTACTAGTTGCCGTAGCTACTGACGACGCAGACTTGCTGCTCGGCACCTGTGACGTTGGCCTGCGGGCGTCTGTGAGCACCGTAGTAGGAGGGGCCACCACCATCGTCTGCATGGCCCTTCTTTTGCTTTCGGCGCTGTCTTCACGCGGGCGCTTTACCAGCACCGAATTGGAACGACTATCATCGCCCTCGGTGTCCGACATGTATGCTCCAAGACGGGCTTGTAGCAGCGCTTTTTGTTTCATCAATTCTTCTAGGTTTAGCTCATCCTCGTGTATAGGCGAAATAACAGGGCTAGCCACGTCGATGGGACTGCAATGGAATTGAGTATAGCTACAAGACAAACTGTATACGATCCCCGTACTTACACATCACTTTCACTACCCGAACTTGCCACCTCTAACACTGGTAGCACTTTGTTCTGTATGGTCTTTGTTATTTCCTCAACCAGGCTGCAGGGATCTGTTTGAATATTTGGTTTTATAATGCGAAAATCGACACCATTGGTGTTCTGCTCCACACGGCGTGCAGTTTTTTGCTCATAGCCGGCCTTTTGCATAATTTCCGTGAACTTGCTACTGAGCCCACTACTGCGATGAATCTGTTTGTCATTCTCCAAACCGCCGTCAGACGCATTCGAGGTCTCGCTATGGTGACGCTTCTTCGCCTTCTTATGCTTCTTATGCACCTTATCGCTTTTCTTATGCTTCTTGTGTTTTTTGGACTTTTTATGCCTGGTGCGACGATCTTCCGCCTCGCTGGAGTCATAGCTATAGGACAGATTTTATTAATTTGCAATGCCTATGTTTCTAATACGACTCGATTATGCGCGGCAAGTAACACAAACGTTCATAAACGTTCACAAATGCGTCCTAGTCGCACACTGCTATAATGGCTACTTACCTTTTTTCGTCGCTCGTCATTTTTACAACGGTGTAGTTATTAAACGAATCGCTAATTTTCGACTATTCAATATACGAATTATCTTAATAAGTTTGTCTGTTTCGTCACTTTCTCAATTAAGTTGCGTTTTTTATTTTCACGTATTCTGGGTTAGGGATGTGAGACTAGGTAAAAGTACATACAAATTACAAATTACATATATGTATCGATTTCATGCCGACTTCGATACTGGTGCCAAAACAATGCTGCCAGATCACCGAAGCTTATAGACTTGTGTATTTACTGCAGTTGTTCTGTGACGCTAAAAGTTTTAATATTTTGTACAAATATGACTGCTGTGCCACCGCCCGCGAATGTCGCCACTCTCCTGCCCTTGGGTAAGCGCAAATAATGACTTATTCACATAACATGTCCGTAGGAAAAACTAATCAAATTACTCTACTTGTCGGCTTTCTTGTGCTATAGAACTTGTGGACAAATGCATAGGCTCTCGCATTCACATTATAATGAAGAATGATAAGGAAATGGTGGGCACCTTGCTGGGTTTCGATGACTTTGTCAACATGCTCCTGGACGATGTGACCGAATATGAGAATACGCCGGACGGACGCCGCATTACCAAGCTGGACCAAATACTGCTCAATGGCAATAACATCACAATGGTGAGATGTTTTCATATAAACGAGCTGACACGTGTATTTAACACACATTTTTATTTCAGTTGGTGCCCGGTGGCGAACTGGCGGAATAACAGTTTTCCATTAAGATCAACATTACGTACAAACATAATTAATAAATGTAATTACAACAAAATGTTATCCTCTTCTCTGTAACGGTGGCGTTGCCGGTCCATTTCAATTGACCATTTCCGCGCAGGCGCGTAAACTGCTGAGCGCGCAGTATTTACCCATTTAGGCATACAGCGTACAGGCAACATGTGCCATAAATATTAACGGCTTTTTTATACTGTTTGTATGTGGGTGCAGCCAGCACGCTTGCTCTCCCATTTCCGTTCATTCGCTGCTGCTGCTGCTGCAGCGCTCTTGGACACAGTCGATTTGAAAGCGTTGGTTAGTACGGCAACAAACCCCAACGGAAGTAGAACAAACGAAGCGGAAACACACGACAACCGTCATCACAGAAATATGGATAAGTTTTTCCATAAACAAATAACCGTAATTAGGCAAAAGTTATGAATAACGGAGGGCCAAGTGCAATATTTAATAAATTACGGCCCTGGAAGAGCGTTTCGTTTGCGCTGGTCGGCGAAAGAAATTGAAATTTTCGGTATTTGTCGGTATCTGTCGTTAGCAGACGTCGGGAACTTTTTAGAATTATCAACATCAAAGATTGTCGAGTGCACACGCATAAATTTGGATAAGTCATTAGTTCAAAGGCGATGATGATGGCTGCATGAAAAATCAATAGACGTTCTGACTCAAGAGCCCGACAATGGCCAGCGCAAAGCCTATAAGCAGTAGCTGCCAGAGCATTGCAACAGCTACCGGCAGCATCTTAACGGCCGCCTGCACGCCGAGCAGTAGCGGACACGGCCACTATGTAAATGGCACGGGCAGTCTAGGGCGCCTAAAGTATCACCACAAGCACAAAAGTCTCGACGCTAGTGATGAGGACCTAGAGTATGCGCAGGTATGTGGGTATGATGAGATTAGTACGCCTCGAGTACCATTCTAAATAGGACGCATGGGTATAGAGGTATAGTAAGGTAGAAATTAATTCTGCCACCCGGGGTCCTTTTTGAGTCATGCTGGGTTGGCTCAATTGAAATGAGCTTGAGAGCGCGGGTGGTTCGTGATAAGACTTCTTTCCTCTCCCTTTTGTCAACACCACAGCTGTTTGGCCGTGCTCTTCACGCTTGGCCGGGCACAAGAACAAACGTCAAAAAGCTGTGCGATGTTGATCAAGTGTTAATAATTCAAAGCATCGGGTGTTCCCGCCACATCCGCCGCCCACCCGTGAAGTCCTGTGCCATGGCACAGAGTATGAGTACCTCCTTTAATTGCATAATTAGTCGGGTTCGCTTTTATTATTTCAATTTATTTTAATTAATATGTATTTGTGGATACTTTGCTGAATTCAGATTCAACAGGACGCCTTTGCCATATTTTTTCCATTGCATTTCCACCCCTTAATGTGATGTATTCGTTTTTTTTTATTTTTATTTCGAGTGAAAGTGCAACTTTGGCTTTTGTTTGTGCTTCATCGCTTATTCATGGAAATGGTTTCAATAAGAATAAAAAGAAACTACATAAAACTCGTATATAGTATAGTACATACATACTTGTATGTATGTACATAGGTGTGGGGGCCAGACGTGGTATTAATGTGGCGGTATCCTGAAGCTATTTGCTGTTCCACATTTGTACGTACGTGCTCACGTATACAGAAATGAATTGAAAGGATAGCGGACATACCTACTACATAGTATATGATACATTTTAGCATACGAGTAATATGTATGTATATACCTTTGCCAAATAGCCTGCAGGGTTTAAATGCGTTTTTCTTATTTGGTGTGTAAGTCCTGCAACATTTATTCATTTCTACCTTTCCCCGTTCACAGCTATCGCAGTCCACTCATCTTCTTGGGCGCTACAAATCTGACCGCTTTCTGGCCTCTAAGCCTGACGAGGATCGCCGCCGTCGCACTATTATAGTTGAAAAGAAAAATGACTCCTACGGTTTTACACTGCAGAGCTATGGCATACATTATAAGAGAGATGAGGAACTTGATATGATCACATATGTTGACTACGTGGAGTATGGAGGTCCAGCGTAAGTCTCAGATGATTTCCACATTATTAAAGTGCATTTTATAAAATTGTATATGAAAGAGTTACAAACCAATTGATATTTCGATATTGATTGAAATTTTCTTAAATCAAGCTTCAATTTCCGAATTTATGTTCTCACATAAGTTTTATAATCATATTTAAAAATTGAAACTTTGTTATCTATATGTTAATGCGTTCAAAAGATAAACTTAAGTAGCAAAAACATTCTCTCTTTTCAGAAAATATTTTAGGAAACATTTAGTTCTAAGATCATGAATATACATATTCGATAATATTCTTGAATTTGACGCGGATGTTATTAACAAAAACTCTTTATAATTAAAGATATTAGAATCTTTTTAAACAACACAACATATTAGTTATCATCCAATTGTTTTGAAAATAATTCTATAAGGATAATACGATAATTACTGGATGTAATAAGCTTATTTTCTTATGATGCAAAAAGTGATTATTACTAATTAGACTTCGTAGAACAATTAGGTTATAATTCTATCAAGTAATACTTAAAAATAAAAAAAAAATTCTTTGCCGTTTAGGGCCTGCTCTGGCATGCGCGAGGGCGACGTCATACTTTCCATTAACGGTACCGATATGGAAAAGGCTGATCATAAGACCATCGTTGAGTTTATCAAACAATGTGACTCACGAATGCGTATGGTGGTGCTTTTCGAGGATTGCGTCAAAAAGGTGAACGAATTTAACTCCCAATAATTGTTATGTATTCCTAAGATTCTAACGTACTTCTTATCTAAAATCAGGTGGACTTACACATGCGCTACATCCAGTTGCAAAGCATGTTGCAAAACAAGATGAATGAACTAGAACGCGTGTGTCAGCGTGAGCGGGAGCTCCTGGAGGGCAAGTGGAAGACCCACAGTTTGCCGGCGCGTAAAAAGGCTACCGCCGGCACAACGCCCATGGCTGGTGAGGACATGGTGCCAGTACAGGGTGGCGATGGAACCACTTTGAGTTATTTCCGGCCTACTCTTTCCACTGAGGATGTAGCGAACATACAGGCTCGACAGCAGGCTATGCATTCCCAGGGTATAATCCCACCGCCGGCCCAGTTCATGCTCACCTACCAGTACATGGATCCAACGTACCGTTATGTGCTGCAGCCCACCCATACCGAAGGCTACATTCACGGATCGGCAGATTTGCAGCGTAGTTCCAGTGATCAGCAGCAAAAGCAGCGCTATTTGCTGCATCGGGCAGAATCAGTCGAAACGACAACGGCCAGCCAGGCTACGTTGCAATATCAAAGCCAACAGCTGAGTGGTGATAGTAAGGCGACAACGACTAAACCACCGGCACCACCGCCGCGCACCTGTGAGAAACACAAGCCACCAGGCAAAGTAAAATCTCAATCGAAGTCGGGGAAGAGCGAGAAATCTGCGAGTAAACATTGCCATCAGAGCCATTCATGCAATCCCTGTCTGGGACATTTTCGATGGAAATCCACTGAGAAATCGGTTGCTGGAAATGCGGATAATGTTAGCCTGGATGCTTACGACCTGGCCAGCCCCTGTTGTGACACTCATTGCGTGCCAACGAGACGCCGCCATCGTCAGTGCAAGGAACAGGCGCACAAGCACACGCATCGGGAGAGTGAGCGGGAGCGTTCGGAGAAGAAGGAGCAGCGTTCAAAGTCGCAGGCGACTTCAAATGGAGCTGCCGGCGGCCATCAGCATCACCAACATCATCAGCACCACCAACACCACCATCATCATCATCACCATGATCGTGCACAGCCCCATCAGGCGCACTCTCAGGCCAGTAGCACCCGTTCCCGTTATTTTGATCTAGCCTCGGGCTTGGCCAGCCACTGCAGTCTGCACTCTTGCACCTCCAGCGAGTTTGCACCACCAGATTCGGCTTCCTACACCACATCCATCAGCACAGACACACTCTTCTGGGATCCCAAAAGCGACATGACCCAAGCTTCGCGTCAGCCCTCCACAAAGTCGCGCCAATCCTATGAGCAACAACAACAACAACAGCCACAGCAACACTCACCACACCAACATCACAACCACAGTGGTGTCTACCACGTAACCGCTGTGCAGCCATCGCAGATTTATCCCAACACCATATCGTACGTACATAAGCCCAAGTCCTGGGACAATTTGGCCACCAAAGCCATTGGGGGCTATGGATTTGGGTACGGATATCTAGATACTGTGGTAGTTAAGCCACCGGTCAAGCTACAAGTGGCTCAGCAGCGTCACTCCATGCCGAGACGCAACCCTTACGGCCGCTATTCCACATATGGCGATGTCGAGGACTACGCACCACCACCCACAGAGTTTGTGGGCGAGCTCACCACCACCACAACAACTACCATAACCGCAAAGTCTACAGAGGAGCTACTAACAGCCTGTGAGTGTCTGACACCGCAACAACAACAGGCCCTCAAGGCCGCACAATATCAACTCAGCCAGAATCAAAAGTTGTCTCATCAGAATTCGTGCCAAATGGGCTATTACTCACACCTGCCACCTCCCACCACAGATGTGGGCACTTCGACCATGCAGCAGTCGCTCAATGATGGGACTGCAGTATCGGAAGCAACACGCTTGTAGGTTCACCTTCTTTAGGCAGAATAGGACCATTTGGCTCTTTGGAAAGTTTTTCAGTGGGTGCTTTTGTATGGATTCTACCTATCACCAGGTTGTGCGGGCTTTTTATTTGCATAAGGAGGACGTTTTATGTGATGTCAAATGTTCTTACTTTAAATTCTGTAGAAATCGGCATTCCAATCATATCTTTTGATGCATTGCATAAGCTAGAACTTATTTAAACACCCTTTTTCCACAAAAAAGAAATTGCACCTAGTTTTAAACTGCGCATAACAGAAAACATTTCGGCATTATTTTATATCTTTGCTGCACTAAATTTCCCTCCAAAAGATGGTTGAAATGTGGACCTACTGGAATGAGTAGAACACAACGCAACGTTAACCAAAGCACAATGTTAACTTTGAACTCGTCCGCTTGCCGTTAGAGCCAATTGACAGCAGCATGCATACATACTTAGGTACTTATATACATATGTACATATGTATGTGCATAATTGTTGAGAGAATTTTTTATTTAATGATTTAAAGACTGAGAGCTAAGCGTGTATTCCAAATATGCTAAGTGAATAATCAATTTGTCATAAACATACAAAGATATTAGTTAGAGTGTTGATTGCAGACCCATATACATACATACATACATACATACATACATACATATATAATCGTAAGTAATTAAATACATACTATGCATGATGTAGATAAAATTATTACCTATAATATAGGTACACATGTACACATGTATCTATGTCTATGACGAAATGAGACGCACTGAAAATCATAACCATTTTAAGTCGCTATTTTATCAAACAACCAAACGAAAAGGCTTTTATGTGCAAAATTTAAATGTTAATGTAATTTATGTATTGCAATAAAATAAAATTACAATTTGTGTTTATCTAGAGAATCCGTTATGTTCCATATAGTCTATCAGTTGCGACAGAAACTTTTGCCCGCCTAAAATATTTCAAAAAGTTAACCGAATTCTACACACAGCTGATGTTGCACATCAGAGATTAAGAGAAAGCAACCACCACCCACCCAAACAACCCTTGCACGCAATTGTCAAAATAGCAGGCACGCCCTCTGGCGGCCTAGCAAAGTGCCAGCAACTGTCAATTGCCAAAAAATCAATACAACCCCCTTGTTAAAAATGTAAATGCGAAAAAAGTTCAATACTGTGCAGCCATACGCTATGGTGCGAGCATTTCCTTTTTACAACGACACGGCCGCAAAAGTGAATCAAAGTTAATGGAATATATTAAAAAATAGTGAATAAGTTGGTCAAGTGGAAGTGTGGTGAAAAATGTTGAAAATACTCTGCTTAGTGAGATGAAAACGAATTCAAAACGTGGCCACCAAATTAATGTACAAGACCGGCAAAAGGCATTAGTGTTAAAAAGGCGAACTGAAGAGCCCCAGATATCATAATATAAACCATATGCCAAGTGCTTTGCTGGATAAACCACGACGGCTTATAAAATTGAAGGTGGTGGCGGTAGAGGCGAAGACGGCGGTGCTCGATACGCTAATTTGATTGGCAGCAGGGGCGGCGGCAGTGGCAGCGGCATCAGCATCAGCAACGGCAACGGTGACAAAAACAAACGGAGGCGGCTGCCAGCAAAAACTGCCGCGGTTGCTGCTGTTGGTGAGACTCTGCCTGTGCCTCCAGTTATTTCTGGGGCAGGATACGCAGCGCGTTCCAACGGCAGCGGCGGTTGCAACAATGAGAAGGTAGGCAAACAAGGATGAACGGAAGCCAGCGGTCAGTTGGTCGAGAGGGCTCGCACACATACTCGTACACTCACACACTACATACATACATATCCAATTGAAAGTTGTGTATGTGTGTAGATACCAGACTGGAGGCAAACATCAGCATGTATGTACATACATACATATGTATATACATACATAGTTTTGTAAGACTGATGTGTGTGCTTGCTAACTTTTGCATATAGAATTGCGGCTACTTTCCCATACTCGTCCGTTAGAACTGCATATAGTATGTATAGTACATACGCATATATTGCAAGGATAGCGGTTAATGATCAAATTCATTATTCTTCCCCTCGCAATATGGTTGAGTATAGTACCGAGCATTAGCAACAGCAGACAGCGAATTTAATTGGCTCCCATTACATACGTGTACAGTTGGCAGAACGACCATATAGTGTACAAGTATAGTTGTTGAAATCAAATTGGAGATGGGGGCCTGTATTCATGTATTTTATTTATTACTTTTGGCGTTTTGATATTAAAATTCATCAAGATATTCGTATTTCAAGCACACTAATCAGTTTGTTCCTATTCAGACTTTATTACCCATCGCTCATATAGCAGCCATATGGTCTGTTTTAAATGTACTTGGCGTATAAATTAAAGTCTAAGCGCTAAACTTTTGATTTTGAAGATGTTCAAAGAGAAGTACTATGAGGCGATGTTGATTTGTCTCGTGTATATGCATGATAATTTGTTTTATTCTTACATACATAGATTAGAAACACCTTACCTTACTTTTCCACCATTTGGACTATTATCCAAAACAAGTCCAGAACCACAAAAATTGATTAACATATCACGAAAATTTCTACATGCGTTTAATTCCGTAAAACAAAATACTATCCGAGAATTCGCAATACGCACTTTAGTAATGTAGAAATTTATTGTCAATATTTAAAAGTACTCTTGATGTTTAAAGTTAATTTACTCTTTGGAATCATACAGTACATTAGAAGAATCTTTTGGCCGTAGACTTAAATGATTGTTTAATAATAGTTTAATAAGACTTAATGGGTAGACGATACCTTATGACTTAATTAGTGTCCCATGGGATGGTGTGTAATATACTCGTATGTATTTGCATAGTTACATCGGAGTTATACTATTTCACACGTCATTATAATTAGCTTCGTTGGCAGCATGAGGATTTCATCAAATTTGAATGCTTTGACCGATTACAAACACCTAGAGCCCATGCCCGAGCGAATCTAGTACGTTATTTTTCACACTCGCGTCTATAAAAAAGTGCATAATAAAACTGAGTACAAAGGATTGTGATAAAGCTCGTAAAGAATCCTCACTATATCCGCACCTCTCTGCCGGAGTGCATTGTGAGTTGGTAGTAGTATGCTTTTTAAAATGATGACGGGCATTGAAGTTACAAACAAATACGAGCATACACCTGTGTAGCTTCACTTTAGAATTGGTTGGGTTGGTAGAGTTCTGTGTACGTTTGTTAGGCCTGGAATGTGGTAGCAGCCCATGCTCGAGCCAACAACAACCCACACACATATCCAATAACAACAAGCTTTAACTTTCCTCCACTGCACAGTGGTCTGAAACGAGCAACAAATAATGTTTATGTAATTAATGTTGAAATGTTTTCGGATATACGAAAAGGAAATAAAATCAGTTAAATTTGTATTTTTCTTTTGATTTTTTATTACTATGTTATGACTTTTTTTAATTCCTTAATATGTATATTCTGAGCTAATTTCCAAATGCGTGCACTGTAAATGGCAAAATGCAACAAATATGAAGGTCGACTAAAACATTCTAATGGATTTATGAATGTTGACTGGTTATCTGTAACTAGCACATCAAATTAGAGATAAACGAACATTAGAAAAATTGCGAGAAAATGTTAAAAATTACATGTGAAATAAGCCCATGGTCACCAATCCACTTTACACTTCTCAGTAAAGGGTACACGAACTTGTAAGTTTAAAGTATAAATAAACTTTAGCTACAAAAATTGCATTTTCCAATTTTTATTTTTGCACTAAAGAATTAAATAAAAATAAAATAAATAAGCCGCATTTTTGAACACAAAATTACATCTTTCTCGATCTCCAAAACATCCAGCAGTCAAATGATTGACTAATTCTAAAATTAAGCCAGCAAATTGTTTTATGGAAAATTTGAGGAAATTAGCAAAAACTGATGTATTTCTCACAAAAAAATGTGTGTGTTTATGTGAAAATGTACGAGGATGTATATTAGATATGTACTTGTATAATGATTATTTGTCGGGTGGACGAGCACGTATGTATTGTCCAACTGTGCGAGCTGGCTGGAAGGTGAGGTGTTAATAAACCGCTACAGGAGCAACGACTTCACATCGTTTTTGTTATTATTCATTTCCGGATTCAACATGTTGACGCTGGCTTGTTTGTAATGTTGCAACAAAATGGCCATCATGTCAATGCCTATGTATACGTTATTTTAACACCAGTAGCGACAGTTCGTACAAAAATATATAATTTGAATACATTTAATGCCATTAGCGAGCCAAACCTATGGGCTGCTGGTCTAGTGTGTAAGCAAGGAAAGGAAGCAGCCTCCGAAGTTGCCGAATGACGCATCTGATGAGCTCATATTTTGAGCTTATCTTTTGGCATCATTTTCGACACAGTTCGGGCAAATCGATGTGACCTTCTTGATTTGCCATAACTGTAGGTCCTGAATTGTATGGTTTCAAGTTGTTTGGTAAAGCTTGTTAAAAATCTTTTAAGTGATTACATAAACAGTCATAATGAAACTCATTGCCCCGGCACAATTCCTAAATGCAAATATTATATCTTGGCATTACAAGTACATTAAGGTATCAAAGATGTATAATTTCGAACCCCAAGTCTGTTGCATAGTAACAATGTATAATTCGATAAATTTGGCCAATATGACAGAAATTAAAAAATGTAAGTCCTACTTAATTATCTTTGTAGAGGCATTGTGGATTTTAAATGAACTTTAGATTCCTAAGAAGCGAATGGTGCCACACTATTTGAGTATTTCTATTTCTTAAATTCTCTGAGGTCATACTTTTATAGACTCAAATCGAACGTACATATTAATCAGACTTAAACTTTTTATAATTTTGCAGCAGCCCAGGCCTACACACATAACACATTGCGACGGTAGATAACGGTATGGTGAAAATGGAATCTACAGAAGAACAGGATAGAAAGCTTGTCTTAGAGTTTTGCCATTTGCTAGAGAAATCTAAGCAGTTGTTCAATGGACTCAGGTAATAATCAAGTTGTTATAATACATGGTTAGTGTTATTATATGTATATGATTCTGATGTGTCTAATAATTTTGTAGAGACCTACCACAATACGGACATAGGCAGTGGCAAGCGTACTTTGGCCGTACCTTCGATGTTTACACTAAACTATGGAAGTTCCAGCAGCAGCATCGTATGGTGCTGGACTCAAAGTACGGACTAAAGCGTTGGCAAATAGGCGAGATAGCCAGTAAAATTGGACAGCTTTATTATCATTACTAGTGAGTATGCCCCATTCATATCACTTGCGCTATTTGATGTAACCTGCAATCCCTCTCTCTCCCCCTCTTTCCTCCTCTGTGCAGCTTAAGAACCAGCGAAACAAACTACCTGAATGAGGCTTATCAGTTCTATGCAGCTATACGTGGGCGCGCCTACTACTCCCGCGCTGCCAAAGAGGATCGACCCGATCTCATGGTGAAGAAGTTGCGCTATTATGCGCGCTTCATTGTTGTCTGTTTGCTGCTCAAGAAGATGAAGTTGGTGCGAGAGCTGGTGACTGAGCTGGAGAAGCAGATACAGGAGTACACGAACACGTAAGCCAATTGCCGTTGAATTTGCATAATTTCTTTCTTATATATGCCAGTTACATCCGCAGCTACGAGCCGGAAGACCACTTGGAATGGTCGCTAGTGCTGGAGGAGATTAAGGGTTTCATTAAGGCTGAGGCGGCTGTAGCGGTGCTGCATGCGGACTCCAATCCGATTATATTGTCGCACAGGTGAGTCATGAGGCGCGGTATGCCGCTCTAGACAACACTTTGCCCGTGCTTTCTTCGGCGGAGAAGTAAGGAGCTTGTGGGGTAGCTATTAATAGCTAATATTCTGTTGCGTAGGTATACGAGTTTTGCTTTAGTTTTTGTTGATTTGTTGCTCTCAATATGCTTGAATGGCATATTGTGCTTATCACAGAAGACTTGAAACACCAGAGAAACACATTCACTGTTGTCATTTCATCATGCACTTATCCATGATCCAAATCACTATCACTCTCTGACGCGCACACTCACACCATCCAGTTTATCATTTCAACCATTGCCAACACACTTACCAGTACACACGATCAAAACCACAAACCCCAAAACCCCCTTGTCACCACATTAGTGCGCCACATTCTCAATTCTTCTGTGAAAGCACGGGCCCCCGCCAAATGCTTTTTGATGAGCACAACTACAACGACTGATTCGTAGTGGTTCCGGTTCTAGGCTATCGCCGTTAACGACGCCGCCGTGTGAGCGCTCGCCACACATGACACTCAGTTTGCAGGAGATCCTGATAGTGGGCTCGGCGTGTGAACAGGCCAAGTTCTCAGAGTTGACCATGGATATGTTCAGGTAAGTACCAGAACAACACATTTATCAATAATGATAAAAATGCCTTCGTAAATAATAAAAACAGGATGCTACAAACACTGGAGCGTGAGCCCACGGAGTCTGCCACACATCCGCTAAGCGTCAGTCACGGCTTGCATGGCCACGACGCTAGTCCGGCTGCTAGTCGTATTCCACCATATGGAGTGCCAGGCTCGAAGGGATACTTGGAGAATGGCCGTCATTATCGAGACAATCCTCATAAATATTTATTATACAAGCCTTCGATTAGTCAGCTGCTGGTTTTCTTAGCCAGTGGTTTTAAGGAATTACCACTAGGTGGTGCTCTACTTTTGTACATGTCAGCCGACGGTTGTTTCTCAACCACAAAGCATCCGGAGGACTGTAAGTTGATCCATATCATCCATAGAATAAGAAAGAACAAAACCCACACGTTATTGAAATCGAGTTAATTAGTCAGTTGAGTAGAGAAACCAGCTAAGAAGATATCTTCCTCCTCGTCGTATTTTCCTCCATGATCATGTGGTCTACTGTGTCCTACTAAAATGATTTTTAAAAACCTCCGAAATATTACCATTTCTATACAGTTTTACGATATATTCTATGCTATACTATACCTTTGCCGAACCAAAAACAATGTACCCATACGCTTTTAGGTGAATCATGTATCATGAATCAGGAAACTAACAGACTATATTGAACACAGAATACCATACCAGAACACCGCAATGGCTAATAAAACATTTTCCCCCATAGTAGGAATATAAGAAGTTCGAAATTATTACTAAGTTGTAATGGAAAAGGCAGAATTTGCATAGGGTTTATTTTTTGAAAAAGGTTTTAGGTGAAATAATATTTATTATCAAAGCCATCAGTTTTAAAGTTTACGCGATGAAATATGTGTCCCCATATGTGTTCTTTCTCTCCGAGATCCATACAAAATATATTTCGGAACTTACTGATAGATCTTATCACCATTTTCAGATGGGTACGAGCTGGGCGGTTTGGCTACAAGCGTTAAGCGCGATAGCGTCGATGGTGGCCTGTCGTGTCGTGGCAAGTCCTATAAGGAGAATCATTGTCTGTATCCCGGCGACCTTTACCCTTTTACGCGTCGGCCCATGTTCATCATCATCGATTCGGATAATTCATTTGTCTTTCAGCACATACCACGCTATTTTGGCCAGCCTCTAGTTATACTTATGTCTCCACAAGATGTGCCGCCTGCTTTTCAAAGTAAGTTCCTTAAATACCAATAAATGTTGCCACTGCATATTTTAATCTATTTTATTTTACTCAATAGCTGATGTGCAGCATCATGGCTCCTTATTTACATTGTTCCTGCACTCCCCGCTCACCGCACTCTGTTATATTTGTAATGTCGGCGATGTGCCAATACACCATTGGGAACGCTGTCAGACGTACGTGGATCGATTTATAACAGAGGCCTCGCGACTGGTCACACGTTGCCGTATTGATGAGATCGAGCAGGGGATAGGCTTTATAGGCGAGTCAAAATTTAGTATTTAAAGCAAGATATATAGTCTGAAAATTTGTATTTTGTAGACTCCTCTTATGTTCAGTTTTTCGGTGACGACTTTCTGCGCACACTGATCTTACGTTTCGTCTTCTGTGATGTCGTGCTGCGTTTGCATCGCGGCTTTCGTGGGCGCCATATGCGACCGCGTTGTGAACCGCAGCTCCCTGCCAATGAGCTCCTGGAGCACCCGTCGCTATCGCACATCGTTTTCCAGTTGGCTTCGGCGCTCGACGTGCGTGGTCACTTCTCCGAAGGGCCCGAGTGCGACTGATGATTTTTTATGGTCGTAGTTTTAGTTATAGTCGTAATAATCTACATTAGGCAGCAGCTGTATCAGATCTTCAATTGGTACTACCACGACAGACAGTTTTCATTTTCGCATTTCGTGTACGATACTTTTTCACAAGGCTGGGACTGGGGCTGACAGAGACATATGGCACTAAAAATAAGAGTATGTTTGAGTTATGAGTTATATGTACATGATGGAATATGGGCTGAAAAGCTAAGATCAGTTTTCACGATGTTGCTTGTGTCGGGAGAATCGCATATTCAATGGATATACCAAGAAGATAACATAATATTAAAGTACATATACATACATTCATATATGAAATACTCAAATAGCTAGTTTTCTTATATAGTGCGTCGCGCAATGGAAAGGTCCAATGTTAGTTGCTTAGCATATAATGAAGAAACACATAATTTACACGATACGACGAAAAAACGTATAAAACGAAACAGCAACCGAAACAAACGTGAAAACATGTCAAACAACCTATGAAAACTGCCAAATAGAAGCGGCTATAAAGCTGAAATCAAATTTACATAGTTTGGGATGGAACTGTGCAGAACTTTTTTTAAATTTAACGTTTTTAATAATTAGAAATCAAGTCTTTGTCATACGCAGCAAAAACGCTTTAGCCTTTATATTAAAAATAAACCAAAAACACAAAAACCCCTAAAAACCAAATAGAAACCAATTTGAAATTCGAACACGACACACTATATAAGAAATGCGATTTTATGCATTGAACACGGCGCCCTATGAAAAAGTAATATATTGTACGTATGTAATATTGAATATACAATATTATTATTAAATGATGACTGAATGTTACTGTTTCAAAACGCAAAGTTTAGCAGAAATAATGAAATAATAATGAAAATAAAAACCTATTCATACAACATTTTATACGAAGCAAGCAAAAATGTATACTTAAACATACAACTAACGAAATAAAAGTATTTAATAACAGATACCCAACCACACGAGTTCTAGAAATAACAAAACAAATAAACAAATGTCATATACAATCACACAATCGCAAAACATTTTTGTTCGCTCAGTAATTATTGTACATTACAAAATTGCATTTAAACAAAAAGAAATATATACACATATATATATATTATATATACATATTTAGGTATTATTAAATTAAAATCAATCCGCAATTGATCAGCAACATTAGCCGCAAATACCACACATGAAATAATATCATTAACAATTTGTTCAAAGTCATTTAACGACACGCAGCACTGTCGAATCACACATAACAATAAAATGAACAACATTTTGCAACGCCACAAAAAATATGAAAGCAAACTGCTCATAAGGTTTATATGAGTTATGAAAATAAAGCACACGTTTGAGAAGATAAAACATATATATAATTCATGTGTTATTGAAATTTTGGATAACATTGAAAGACGTTTCGGCACGCAAAGATCAATTAGATAGAACTAGGTAGTTTATTTAGGTGTTATAAGTATAAGGAATTGAATATCGCGAAGAAGATGAAAATGGTTTACTACGATTTTAGAGGATCCATTTCTTAGGGTTTAGTGCTTGCAACAGCCGCTCTTCCGGAATATGCCGAACTTATAAATAACCTCATGCCCATATATTTCGCCAGGTCTTAGTATGACCGAGGGGAAGTTCGAATGATTCACGGCATCTGGAAACTTTTGAGTCTCCAGACAAAATGCACCTTGCTTCACGTAGGAAGCTCCAGCCTTGCCAGTGATAGGTTTCTCCCCCCGACTGGTATCAGGCATAAAGTTTGATGTGTAGAACTGCACACCCGGCTGATTGCTAGCTACTTCAAGCCAGCGTCCAGTCGGTGGATGCGTTGCCTTGGCAACTTTGGTAATAGCCTGTGGTGGAGTCCACTTTACACAGAAATTGTCGTCGAAGCCGTTTGCTGGCAGTAACTGCTTGAGCCGCTCTCCTAAATTGGAGGGGGCGCGCAGATCGAAGGCGCTGCCATCCACTGCCGTAATTTTTCCAGTGGGTATTGAGTCCTCGTCCGTTTCGGTGATGCCATAAGCATTTATCTCTATGGTGTGCGCGTAAATTCCATCCGGACCGGCATTGTGACCAGCCAGATTAAAGTAGGCATGGTTGGTGAGATTAACAGCAGTTGGTTTGTTGGTTACAGCTTCCATGCGGAGATGCAGGCAATTGTCCTCGGTTAGAGTAAAGTGCACCGTTGCTTTTACTTCACCAGGGTAACCTTCGTGACCATCCGGATTTGTGTGTTCCATACTAACGCCATCTTTTCGTACCGCCACCACCTCCCAGATGGCCTTGTTGAAACCAATGAGCCCGCCATGCAGCTGATGTTTATTGTTCATGTTTCGAGTTACCTGCACCTCTTGACCGTCTAGTTCGAAACGACCATTTGCCACACGGTTACACACGCGCCCAACTGTTGCTCCGAAATAGGGATTGCTAGCGCTGTTATAGCCGGCCAAATTATCGTAGCCCAGGACAACATCCTCGATCTGTCCACGATCATCTGGCACTTTAATACTGGTAATAGTTGCTCCCAGAGTGATCACTTGTACGCTCATTTGCTCGCCATTACTAAGTGTGAATCGACGTACAGACTCAGTTCTCCTTGTAAAGGGGTTTTCTGAAACAGTGTGGATTTGACATATTCATTACAAATAAAATTCTTAACCTTGAGCTAGAGTTTGCACATCGGTGTGTAAATTTCAGATCAATATGAATAATATGTATCACAAATATCAAATTTACAAAAAAATATAATATACATACATATGTATGTATATCCATAATATATCACAAAGATTTAGGGATTCTTGAATGTATTCTGCGTTTAATTTTTTTTTATATCTCTTTTCGTTTAAAAGTTATACCATTTAACATCTGTGGACTGGGTCGAATAAGCTGTGAGCAACTGTAGATACATATTTGTACATACTATATGTATATGTTTGAATGTATTAAAAAGATACCGGACTTATGATAACGTTTCAAAAATTTTAAGCAAATAATATAAGTGTTGGACGCCTAAGCGACTAAAATACGCTTTTAAAATTTTTAAATATCGTCCTGCTACGTTCATAAGCTATCAAAATTAAAAGTCGTTAATTAAAACCAAACTTACCCGCCGCTGTCGCGAAAACATCCTCTGTGACGCGCACCATAATGAATACTCTGAAGCTTTTAAATTGTGCGGTGCCCTTTTATTTGCTTTGGCTATATTTGTTTACTATATTTTTTATTTGCTAACATATTCACACGCTTATCTCAACAACCCCACAGGCTCTTGAACCAATCGCGATAAGAAAAAAGGTTTTAGCGGTCAACAGCTGATATGCATGCTAATACGTGGCTACCACATCGCCGGATAACCAATCTGGTAGCGCTAATAGGGCTGCCAACTCACTGCCCAGCCAGCGTATTTGGTGAGGGTGAGAGTCGCACTTGTAGCTTGTTGTTTATAATACATACTTTCATAAATTTACATTTGCATCCGGCTTAGCAATTAAAAAAACACATACTCTAGAAGTGAAGTTACCCTCTAACCATATCATCCAGGACTTCTAGAGCGCTGCCACTTCGCAATTGGCGCCCACACGTTTAAACACCAAATCTAGCCAAAATGCGATTGACGTGGCAGACTGATTCCATAGCGTTGGCCGCGTTTGTGTTGCTGAGCGTCTGCTTCGTGTTAAGCACAGGCCAGGTCCCTTCCACCGACCCCCAGAGACCATGGTATGAGAACCTGCCAGCTGTGGCTATGGATTACAAAGTGAGTTGGTAGCGGGTTTCACAGCAATACTTTAAACATACGTTAATTTTACAACAGGTTCACATAGATGCTGGCAAAGAAGACTGTTACCACCAATATGTGCAAGCAGGTGCCACATTCTATGTCTCGTTTAGCGTAGTTCGTGGGGGCGACGGCATGGCCGGCTTTGCAGTACGCAATCCTGCTGGTGAGGTCGTCAAGCCCTATCAATGGCAAGCCACGGCCGATTACACCGATCAAGTTTCCCCTGGTGGCTACTACTCCGTCTGCATTGACAACCAGTTCTCGCGTTTTGCCGGAAAGCTGGTCAACATTTACATTACCGTTGTAAAGTATGATGCATGGGACAAATATGCAAAAGAGATTGAGCAACTGCAGCTAAATATGCAAAACTTTACGGTTGGTATATAAATGCTTAGTTCCTTTCACTTTTTTTCATAAATCCCTACTTTATAGGCGACGATTGGCACTGTTGAGCGCAACATTAACGACATGCTAGCCTATCAATCGCACAGTCGGCATCGAGAGTCTCGTGATTTTGCTCTTCTCTTGGACAACAATTCCTACATTCAAACATTCTCTATAAGCCAAATTTTGGTTATTCTGATAACATGCTCTGTGCAGGTATGTATGAATATATTCGTAATTGTCACTTGCTCAATGATTTCTTTTCTTTAGGTATTTTTCGTACGTAAACTTTTTGAAGTAAAGTCTGGCTCCAAGAATCGGATTTAAAAAAACCCATATATGCCGCAATTTCTCACTGACGTATTCCTTTCTTTCCATTCTGCTGCCTTAACCGTCTGTCTGTACGGACTGTTTTGGCTAATCTTTTACTACAATCTAACAGAACAAGCGCAAACTAAATAGACTTTTTTATACTTGTGTGTTTTGCAAATTAACAATTCGTTTTAATGCAAGTACATACATATATGCGTAGAAATTTATGTGATAAGTGTGTTTAGTGTTTTCAATAAAAAACAAATAATTGGACGTTATGTATATCATTGGTTAAATTGGAAAGCCACGTAATGCACTGTTAAGCCAATAACATTTGAGAAACTTTTAAACACCACATTAGCGTTTTATTATTGAAATATTCAGTTCAAGATTCAATATAGTATATATTATACATATTATTCAATATAATATTTCAAAGAAAACCCAACCCATTCGTTTAACTGCCAATTAAGTTACATTAAAATGATTATATATTATAAATTTTACCTTCAAAATGAACTCCTGAAATTGTGTTTTCAAAGCTATAGTGGTTTAAAAAATCATCTTGAGTTCTGTTAGATAAGAAATACTTTGAAGTTTTAGCACTTATACCAATGCAGGTCCTAATCTGCCTAAAGAAATATTCAATTAATATTTGGTTTGCTGAATGAGTTTAAATTTAGTATATAGTGTTCCGGCAATAAGATGTTAATGTGAACTTAAAAGCTATTTCTGGGTTTGTGTCTTTGCTTACCATTTAGCTGCTGCTTAAGTTTCCATGTAACTTTCTTATTGTCTTCAAAGGCAGGCATAAAGGAACTACTTAACTGGTGAGGAAAACGATGTTACTTTATATGACAGGAGAAAAGTGCATACAAATATTATAAGAGAAGAAGTGACTTACGAGTATAAGGAGAGAAAAAAACGTAATGTTGTTCTTTCCCATTAAACATAGTATATGTAACATTAATTTAATTGAAATTAAATAGCTTATCTGCTTTGGCCACCAACCGCAAATCTTGTGTGTTGCCACAGTTATTTGATGAAATTAAATAATGGTTATTATGTGTGCGCTTATCTCTGCCACAGTCCCGGTCCAAGCACCGAAACCCCATCGAGTCAGCAGCTGCCAAACGGCTGTGCCTTAAAGTAGGCAGCAAGCTGCGGCCTCCAACTAAGCAACGAAGCCTAATGGCTTAACCCACACATACATATATACACACTCATCTACACATACAAGGAGGTACTAACAGGCAGACAGACAGACGTGCACTCTGGCCGTTTGTGAGTGTGTATATGTCAGTGCTCTTTAACTGTTTTAAGCACCATTGTTCAAATATTGCTCATACGCACTTCCGACCGAAATAAGGTCTGCAGCACTAATGATGCCGCACAGTGTGCCAAACAATTGCAAGGAATATTATTTTGCTGCTTGGAGACCACTGTAAGGATGCGAAAGCATCGTCTCTGCTTGACTCCGCCCACAATGGCAGCAGCCGATTATGGCAGATAAAAGTCGAGTGCGGGACAGCGCGTGCGCATCAACTCCAACTGCCAACCACAGCAGCCGCAAACACTCACACATACACACACACACACACACACACACACATACATGATGGGGTGACAGAAAGTAGTAATGGGCCTCATGATTATCACCTCTGCTGCTCCAACAAGCGAGCTTGTGTTTGTGTGTGTGTGTGTGTGTGTGTGTGTGTGTGTGTGTGTGTGTGTGACTGTGGGAGGAGTATGCGACCATTTCGAACCGCAAAGGCAACATTGCCGCCATCTTAAATACGCCTCGGATGATCTGTATATGGATGGGTTCGCTACTAAACGACATTAACTTCGAGTGCACGTTGCCGTACAACACGTCGCGGACAAGACGGACTAGGAACGTCGCTTCTGCGGTTTTAAGTCGACGGACACGTTGGCACAGTTTCAACAGACACTGTTGACTGGACTAGCATCCTGGCGCTGGACGCCAATTGGACAAAGTCGTGTCAATAGATCAACATTGTCGCAAAAGAAAAAACAGAAAAAAATACGAAGACAACAAATACACGTAGATAAAATTTTGGACAAATATGGCCGCTTGTTGCTTGGCATGCCACCTCCGTTGTGTATGCGTGTGTGTGTAGAATACACTTCCATGTGCGACTAGTGTGTGTACATTTGAGTGTGTGTTTGGAAAAGTACGGAAATTATTGTGCGGAAATTATTGAAATTTCGCTTTTCATTTCATTTGCGCGGTGTCTGTGGTGCCGAGGCGGTTTCGGCAGCGATCTGACTGGACGCACCTGTGTGTGAAAGTAAAAATACAAATAGGGCCCCAAACCATTGCCATCCTTTTTGCCCTCATCGCTTCCTCTTCCACCGACACGAATAATCCGGTATTGTATTCGCCGTCGCGTTTTTCTGCATATCGTTAGAAACTTGGATTGAACACGTAACGCGTTCACCTGTCGCGTATCCGCCGAAGTTCCGCATTTCAATTTGTGGACCATTAACATTCAAAGTTTCCCACATAATTTGGGTTAACGCATCGCACTTAAGCCAAAATGCGGGTCTTTGATAAAGTCCGTTAAAAGCTTAGCTGTAATTAAAATTTTTCTGGATAAGATAGTGTTTTAAAAACAACTACAATCCTGAGGTAAGTTTTGAAAATATTAGCGATTTACTTGTACAATTAAAGTAATAAGTAAAGCTTTGTGTGTAAAAAGCCAAATCTAGAGAAGAGCATTTTCAGAACAATTTCCAAATGCTGTTGTTAATCTTTAAATTTAGTATAAATAATACTTTTCATAAATTTTGTTGATTGCTTACTTCACTTTCACGGCTTGGGATTGATATATGTTCGATAAAATATATTGGGTTATGTACATCAGTAACCCAAGAACAGTCCAGAAAATTGAAAGTTTACAGTTTCAGGTTTATAATTTGCAACAGAAATGAATTTTTTAGTTAAATTAACGTTCACTTACAATTAGCTCAAGGTTACAATTTATTTTCAAGTAGGTTTGCACAACTTTATAAAGTACTGTGAAGTAAAGTGACTGAGATTACAAGTATATGATTGAAGGTTGAGTTATCTTCTCAATTGTAAAAATAACTATAATACCTCAGAAAAAAGTGGGCCAATTTTGCCTAAGAGTGCATATATGAAGTCAATTATTTAACTTTTAATAATGACTGATATATGTTTTCTAACTAAAAGCAAACCATTGTGAAAAAGTCAACTTCAAACTGTGATGAAAATCTGTTAGCTCGAAAAGTTGTATAATAAATAAAACGCCTTCGTTCTCAATATTGAAAATCAAATTTATAGACTGTACTTTACTTACTTTAATGTACAACTTTAATAAGAGATTTCATACTTTTATATTAAATTCAAAATATAATTATTAATACAATCCATCGGTTTTTTTATTTTAAAAACGCAATTCGATTTCATACTTTCGAGAGATGTCTTATGATGATTTCGATAGCGCTCCTCTATTATTTCCAAAGTCTGCTTACCACGTAGTTGATTAATTAATTTCGAATGCCTTTCTTCCTTTGATTTTCCTTCAAATAATTTAAGTGCAAGTCCATACCAAGTCAAAGCCCGTACGCCTAGCACACTCCACATTCAATAATTAATTCCGGCCTGTATATTAGCATGTCAAGTTTTATCATTAAGCATACACATGATTTAGTTAGTACAAACCTTAAATGCTTTCAATCAAAATTATAAAATGGATTAAACTATTTTGAAGCTATTGATTAACCTATTAAGTGTAAGCCTAACAATCTGTCAGTTACATATATCAAATATGATTGAAGGTTTCATGTAATTTTCAACAGTAAATGGATGACACTTTAAGGATTGCAGTCGAAGATATTTTCTACTACATTAAAGCCAAATTTAAAAAGTTACTCCACACACACACGCACTAGATGACTATTTTTCATCAATTTTATATACAAGTATGTATAAGTAAAAGGCCAAGTCATTTTCCAAAAGGAATGGTTCTTATACATTTATGTATTAATTTGTTTCCGAATCAGAACCAAATTAGTTAGTTAGAACCAGGTTAGTTCACTATTTCTTAATAACAACCGTAGTTTTCAGCAATAATTAATTGCAATCATGCATTTCTATTATTAAATGTGAAAGTCTATGTTGAATAGTTGCAGTGTGTAGAAAAAACCTTAAATATCTTACCATTATAATTGTTAATACACTAATATATTGAAAGTTTAGGGTAACTTCGTTAGTAAGAGTTCAGAAAATGAAGAGTTATGTAGACAGTTATCATCAGTTTGTGGCGTTTATATGTATAGCAGTGTGTTTCTGAAAATGCCAAAAATTAATGTATTTTCAACACTTTTTACCACAATTTGAATTGTTGCACTCGACGAGCATACCCGGACCTATTGTAGCTAGAAAGAGTGGGAAGCGCGCATTTTGCTAATCAAATTAGCAACATCAGGCGGAAATATTAATAAACGTTCATTTGATCTGCAAAAATTGTAATGCTGGTCTCGCCAAGTAGTGCCATATAAGCAACAGTCAGCGCTGGTAGCTAATAAAGTGTATGCGATGTATATAATACCATCAAGGAGAACAAACCAAAATCCATTTACGATTAACCATTTTCCAAATATCTTACAAGCCATTAACGAGGGCGATAGGAATGAGTGGAGACGGGCGCGTGTGGGCTTTTAATTAAAAGTGATTCGCGGGTATTATGCACATTACGTCATTAACGTGCCGCCGGGGCAGCAAACCAAAATAACAACTGTGTTAAAAACATATTGCAGCATCTCAGCAGCAGCAGCAGCAGCAGCAACAGCAACAGCAACAACAACAAACATTTCACTCAACGCAAAACACGCGTCAGCCAGCTCTCGTATTTCCGGCGTGCGCGCGCTCGACGGCTGCGATAACTTCAAAATGGCTGCGTGTGGCGTTCGTTAATGTTGTTGGCTGACTGGCTGGCTGGCCTTCATTTTTTGGCAGCACACACATACACGCACGCACTTACACACAATTTGCTTATATGCTAAAAAAAGTAAATAATAAACAGGGCGTGTGCAGGCAGTTTATTGTATGCCCCTCCTGATAATGTTTGTAATAGATGAGGCACGGCTGATAACAATGACAGAGAATATAAAACGATGAAACGGCGACGCTTATCATTTTTAGCAACATTAAAGTCGGCAGGCTTCAGTTTAAAGAGTATGGCACGCAATCAGCGCTTACATTTGTGCGTGGCATAAATTTTTGGTAGCATAAATCAAAATTTAGCAACTTCCGGCAGGGACTCAGTGCGAAAATCGGCATTGCAAGGGCTTGGGCTTCGGCTCTGGCTCTGGCTATGGAGATGGCGGTGGCGATGGCTGCAACGGCCCATCGGTCAGACAATAGACAATGGGGGCTGTACAAAGAGCAAATGTGTACATATGCACGTGCTCTTTATATAGTACGTGAAGTCGTTGCGAGCGGTCTCACCCCCCCTCCCTCAACTACACCCATCCCCGAACACTGAACTCTCTCAACACTCATACGCATCGTAGGCCGGCCCGTCCACTCACATACTCGTAAATAACAGCGAGATAATTATGCATGTCGTGCATTTTGCTATTGTTGGCTTTTGGCGCTATTAATTTTATTAGATAGCCGCCTGCATGCTTCGTATGGCAATTAGAGGGCAATTTTGGAAAGATTGTTGAATAACAGTAATTAATTTTGTAGGCGTCTGTATTTAAATAATCCAATATGTATGATTTATTAAGAGCGCTGTAGCTCGAAATGAGGTGAGCAGATTGCAGTCCGTGCACCATTATTGCGCATCCTTTAAAAAAGCCCTTCTATCCGTATCTCTTTTTCAGAGTCAAGTGGAGTCCGCTGCTAAATAATCAACAACAGGCAAGTAACGGCCCCGAAGAGCCCAACGGCCGCGTCATGTACGAGAACTCGTGTTCGTATCAAACCGCGCTGGACTTGAAGCGTGTGTCGCCGCCCACACTGGCCCAGGTGAAGACGGAGGACTGCCTGACGTTGGGACAGTGCTCGCCCGATTGGACGTCGTATCGCTTCCATCAGTCCACGTTCGAGCAGTTGAAGCAGAGCGTAGAAAAGGCCAAGGCTGCGCTACAGGATCGCAGCACGTTCTTTGGCGCTACCAGTGCGTTCAGGTGAGTAAATCAAATAAATACCATTTAGTTGACGAACTACAACCACCACTCAACTCTTGAAACAAACAACCAAATTATAGTATTCCACTACTTGACTTGCATATATTTAAAATCAAAATTTAGGAAAAACAACATCAAGTGTTGTTTAAGTTGTTGTTTAAGAAAACAGACAACAGCTCAAGAAGAAAATGAGGTATTAGAGTAAATTATTGGCTAGAATTAGAATGTTTTTTAAGCTTCGCCAAGAACATTTATGATTTAATTCGCGCATTTCTGAAATACTAGTTATTTTATACCACACAAAATCATTTATATTATGCTAAAAATTCCGTACGCTAATATGTTATTTAAAAAAAAAACGAGCACAGAATTTTATTGTCCGACTTTTGACTACCATATGCTTACTTTTAATCCCGCAACATCCATCAACTAAAATAAACATTGTTTTGCCAATCGATGCTATGGTAATTATATAATGGGGTGTACCAGTTATGATAAAACTTTCGATTGTTGGAGGCATTTATGAATTTCGCTTAATTTTGTTCGTACTTTTAGCAGCTATATGATCAAATGATTTTCATGAATCTGCAGAATATCACGGGGCACATTATAAAACTAATTAAATGGAAGTACAAGGGATATATATGGTGTGTAATAAAATTGCTCTGCATATGAATATGACACCTGTAGATACCAAGTTTGGTGTCCGTAGCTATTATGATTCAACAATTCTCGGTGCTCATACGGACAGATATATCGATCGCTATTGGGTCTACTACGCCTACTTCTGCCTGTTACCCTTACTTGGCTTTTAGTTTTACAGGAATACCATTGACCCTAATTGCACAGGTTACAAACAAGTTCAAGCCCATGTTTGGTAGTACATAGCTAATGAAATTATTTAGCTAAATATAGCTAATACATATGAATGTCTTACATTTGCAGCCACATTTTCAACAGGAACTATATTTCTATAGTTTGTTGTCACATTAAAATTAAATGGGTCACTTTTTAGTATAATCAGTTGACTATTATGGAATTGATATTAATTTAAATTTCAATTGGTAAATCTAATTAAGGAGGGATTCAGGTACTGTTAGTTTCTCAATGTCATGTTTACAAAATATATAAGTTCAGAGCAAAGTTGTTAATATCCTAGGTGATTTTTAGGCAACTACATTATTTTAACAAATTGCTGTTTTCAAAAAGCATCTTCAATAAACTTTGAATTTAATTAATTAATTCTTGGACTTAGTCGGGTCTTATCGTCAGTTGTCTGAGATAGAAAATGCAGTAAGCCTTTTAAATAAAGAGAATGCTGTAAAACGTACATAACAATAACATAACAAGTATATAACAAATGTTTACTATTTACTTTTCAACATCAGTGTTAAAGCTATTCTTTCTCTTCATTAGTGACATCTACTCCAGCCAGCGTTTGAGCGACACACTCGACACCTTGCCCAGTGCGGTGCAGAGTGGCAATGGCGCCGGAAACTGCATCGGCTTGACACACAATGCCCTGCAGAGCTCCGGAGTTGGTGTGGGAGTGGGTGTGGGCGTGGGCGTGGGCGTGGGAGGAGGAGCGCCTAGTCTTGTGATTAACTACAATACCAGCAGCTTGGCGGCCGTGAGTAGCAGCGGCGCTCCCACAGGAAGCGGGGTGCAGCGACATCGGCTGGACACATTGCAGCCACCACCTGCAGGCTGCTCACCCGCCGGCACACAGCACGGAGTCATCACGTCCAGTGCCGCCCAACCGACTAGTGTATCTTTGGATGCGGGCACATCAGCGCCGCCCTCGGTGGCATCCTCCTCATCGCATATTGAGCACAAAGTAAGAGGTAAGTAGCTAACAGGCCAACAACAACAACAACAATAAATAAAAAAAAAATAATAAATCGCTGACCTTCTAAATTGCCCGCGAAATTGTTGGCACGCCAAATAGCTGGGAATTTTGTACATCCACAGTAACAAATACTTTACATCCGGCGAACGAGACAAAAGTGGAAAAATATTTATTTAAACATCCTCAACATATGTTGGCGAATAGGCGGTCTCGTGCAAATAACGCCACAAATTTCAATTTTCCACCTCAACAAAATGAACACAAAGCACACAACCCGTTAAATTTAATGCCGGGCAGTGAAAATAAAAGCCTCGTGCAAATAAAATGAAAAATAATAATATAATAAAAAAGTTTGGCAAGCCGCGGTAAGGCATGTACATAATTTTGCTTGTTAGACAAGAGCCGAAAAGAAATTAAAAGGCAAAAATAAACTGAATGAAGTCTGCCCGAGCCAGGTCGGCCCATTCGTACTTGTATTTATCAATTTGAGCCACAAAAACGGATGTGGATTATAACGTATGCTACACGAAAAGAAAATGAGCATCCCGAATCTATTTTCCGTAACTTTCCATTTTAGATAACAGAAGCAATGGGAATGTACTTATTCAAATACATATACTACCATTATGAGAACTCTTTATCTTCAGCAATTTAATGACTCAACTTTTTATAAAAGTTGGTTCGGTCGGAGAAGTACGTTCTGTGAAATTTCACTCCGAAGGGATCAGGTTAAAAAAATATTAATAGTCTTTTGAAGTAAATCCGTTTAAGGTTATCTTTCGCAGACACCCTGAAGGACATATCGTGTGACTAGCGATGCGATATAGGGAAGGTTAGTGTTTTATAGCTTACTCCTCTAAATTGAGGAGTCGTGTTCGTTGAATTAAATAAATGTATTATATATCTATAACATATTGAAGATACTCGTAAAAATAATTTTAATACCAGAAACTAGATCTTGTCACTTATTATTTAGTTATTCCTTTAACTTGTATAAGGTAAACATTTTTTAATCAAATTAAAAATTAGAAGAAAATGTGGAAGAAAAATACTCCTTCACTCTTCGATGCGATATAGTTATGGTTATGTATGACGCGGATTTAAATGAAATATTGGAAATCTTTGTGTGTTTACGTTTTCCGTCCTTACAGATGAACTGTTGGGAGAGAAATAAAATAAACAACACTTATCGAGAATTCCAATACTAACCTGCTTTATCTAGAAAATGAATATCTCAGGAGGATATAAAATAACGAACATGGCTTAGCCAGAATTGATTCAATTAGCTTGCAGTTTTGTCTGAAGTATTTCTTGTACTTGTAATATTGCACCTATCTCTAGATTTCTCCAGGTGTAGCATTGAGGGTGCACAAAAAATAAGGGCAAGTAAAAAGTGGCGCAATTCAACAGCGTCCTTTGCAGACCCTTTGATAGAAACATCACGGTTAAGTACACGCTGTCCAGTTTTGTGTTCAACTTCATTTCCACTGCCATCGCGTGATAATCCTGTGTTTGTTACAGCCGTCCATTTTGAAATAAAACATTTGACTGGCAAATTTCTGCGACTGACCAGACAAAATGTCTAAAAGCAATTGTCGAGCTTTAAATTGGAACTTGGCAAAAAAGAGAATATCAATATGACAGGTCATATTCAAGTTGTCAAGTAAAGCGCAGCCAAATACCAAATGCATGGGTGGGGCTGAGGCTTGACACAAAATGGCTGCGAGCTTCCCTAGACTGGGCTCGCCCAAGCAAAGATGAAATGAGTCCTTTATGTTCTGAGTCCATGGGTGTGTGTCTTGCGTCTTGAGCTGCTGTCAACGGCTCTTTATTGCTGTTGACTGCCTTGGCTGAAAAGATTTTGTCATGCGTAACTCATTATTTTTGCTGAAAGACGTTTGGCGCACAAAGCTCGGCAAAATACACAAATGTGAACATTTAAAGTAATTACATACAGTTATTTGAATATCTTTCATATGTAGCGAGCGTCTACTATGATCCTACCCCCCGCACACCGCACCATCCCTCCACACACAATTCCCACACAGACACTTCTCTATGCATATCAGTGGCCTCGTCCCTCTACGCTGACATTTCAATTGGAAGCATGACAAATCTTTGGCTTGGTTTTGTTTACATCTAGCAAAGATTTACGCCAATTAAACTTTTTTTTGTTGTTGTTATTATTGTTGTTGTTGCTGCTGCCAGGCAAAGTGACAACCCTCGCGATTATGTCGTGTTCATTGCGGGTCACTTGCCTGGTCCCGGAGGGGTGGCGCAAAAGCGACGTTGCGTATCGGCTGCGTTATGGTCCACTGGCGGTGGCAGTGGGAGCGACGGCGGCAGAGCAGCGAGAAAGGGAGCGTCGGCGGCTCTATACCAGTAAACCACCAGCCATAATTTTGGCCATAAATAAACTCCTCAGTTAGTTTTGATGTCGAAGTGTAGACAAAGCGTTGACAATTTGTATACTCTATGCTTAAAAAAGGGGAACTTAATTTTATAATATGGCATTAAATCTCCAGAGTGAAGCCAGAACTATTTACATCCTTAGAGAGTTCCCATGGATTTGAAAAGAAAATTTAGCAATTAGAACGTTCAAATATGATTATATACTAAACAAATAAACCAGTGGTTACATCATTCCGTCATTTACCAGATATAGGACACTTTGAGAGCTTCTTGACTTAAGCACTGACATCATTTTTCGGAAACATCTAAATACGCAGAAAATTAGATAGAAAGGAAGAATGTACGTCAATATCTAAATAGATGAACAGAAAGAAAGATATGAAGATTAGGCATAATTAAAATGGTTTCTAAGCTAAGTCCTCAGTCTAAGAATAAATATTCCTAAGTAAATACTTAAATGATAGTATGATTTTGGTTTTATATAGAAAAAAATTATAATTCATTCATTAATTATTATAAACAATCTCTGGTGCTTAATGACATTAAGTTTGAAATTGCACTTGAAATTTTGATTGGTTGGGAAAAGAAGTATAAAACTTTAGTCAACAAATAGGCTTGTCAATGGGATCAGCAATCATAGAACAAACGTTGTTTTTCTTATCCGATTTTTAATATTGCATTTTAGTATAGGATTTTGTTTATGATCCGATCCTATAGGTCTTCGAGCTAGTGTTTCATAAATTTTTATTAACCTTGAATTGCGACCAGAAAAGAATTTGTTCATAATAAGCACAACTTATAATACGTAATCCATATCTAAACTAAAGGGTATACTGTAGTCGAACACACTGGGCTCTATAATTACGTGTACATTGTGTCCATGTATGCTGAGATTTATGAGTTAGTTTTTTCGTCGGGACACGTTTTGGCATATCGAAAGGCAAAGTGTGCAGTGCCGAGTGTGCAAATTTGCCTTGCCTGACAATTAATGTATTTGCTTTGGTTTTTTCGCAGACAAATCCACACTGGATTGCACGTCATCCACGCATGCCGCCGCTATAGCCGCCTCCGCCTCCTCCACCACTGAGCATAGCCGTCAGAGTCTCAGCAAAGGCAGCAGCAGCAATGCACTGTGTAAGTACGCTGTGAAAATGTCCTTTAAGCTTTGAGTCCATTGACAGCTTTCATTGTCAGTCAGGACATCAACCAGACATTCAGCTCTTGAGCCAAGCGCACAGTAGAGGGCGCTTGAAATGAATGTCCTTTGGGGGGTGATTACCTTGAATTTCGTTAGCAACTTTATGATTCTCGAAAACAAGAACATAACTTGCTCGGTCTTTCATCTTACTGGCCGCCCGTACTCTTTCTTCACCCTACCTCCTCGGCTGATGACTCAATTGAGACGGCCACTTAAGCTAATGCCTTAAGCCTGACTAATACGCGTAATCCGTGCACAGTGCCGGGGACTACTCTTCAGGGCCTGGACAGACATAGCAGTGGGAAAGTTTGTAAACAATTGTCGGATCTTATTTGTGCGCTACCGTAAACATACAAAACGCAACAGTCACAACACGTTGGTCCTCGCCATTGATAATTTGACTCTTAAGTGCTCTTCAGCGGTAATCCTATTAAAGCGTGTCGCTCACACGCTCACACGCACACACACACACACACACACATATATATCATCGTCATGAGCAACCCCTCTAGAGTCCAACTGGTGGCTGCAGACAGAGTTTAAAGGCACGAGGGCGCATCAGCAATCGACCACCAAGGGCCACACATTCTGACAACAATGAGGCTAATCGACAGATCATAAAATGATCAAAATGTTATGTGTATCGCATTAGAGCGCACGCGTCCTTCATGAAGTGGTGGGGGAGGGCGCCTGACTGTGTGAGATATTTTTATTGAAAGCTGTTCGGTAGGTGGTCCGCCGATGCAAATACAACGCAGTTGTTCCACAGGACAACCAGACAGTAGTTGAACATACTACAAGTATATATGTCTATGTGAAAATATCATATTCAAATTTATAAAGGGTGGTTAAGACAAAGTATTACTTTTTCGTTTGCTTGACTGCAACAAGAAGGATTTTAGACTCCAGCGAAAACGAAGAGATTTCTATGCACAAAAAATCTTTGGAAATTACCTATGACAAGTACTTATTTATTGTATTGTCTAATAAATTCTGTCGGAAATATCTTCAATTTTTTTAATTTGGGCATGGATAGTGCTATGTTCGCAGTTCCTTATTTGTCATTTCAAATATATATATACTCGTACTTAAATAAAACAGTTTGTCCAGACTAATTGGTTATCAACGTACAGATCAAACTATAAGAGCAAGAAATTATTACTTCACAGTGCGGCTTTGGAAAAATCAATCTTCAAGGGGGGAATAGGGGATCTGAAAGGGTTTTGAAAAATCGTGGTCTTTGTGGTCTAAGTTATTGGGGTTAAACAATTTGTTATGATTTTTATACCCTGAACGCAAAGGATAAATGGTAAAATGGTGAGTGTATGAGCCTTCTGTTGATTAAGCAATATTTAATTTGCATTTAAATTATAGTTTTCATGACAGAACGCATGATTGAACAAGGTTACCATATAATTTAATAATTGTCCTTCATAGGACAGATCTTAAATAAACAATAAAGAATTAAAGGACAACAGTTATTGTTGTTAATGACGCGCCGGCATCTCTTTTCTAAATAATTTATCTTCTAATTTGCGAAGTTAGGGGCTAGTCCATATTTAAATTGATTGTCAAACACACTATAGCAGACAATCGCAGTTTTTCCACACTGGAACAGTTTCGTAACTCGGAGAAGGAATGTTAAAATTGGTATTAAGTAAAAATTATTATAAAATAATGCAGTCATTTATATTTGAAAAGGGGCATAAATGAAAGGCTACCACCATCTGTTGCCTGTCGGGAGTCGCGCGTTTATCATTCAATCTAAAAAATAATAATCTCATAATCTGACAGTATGCGCTTGGTTCGTGGCTGGAATGAAACACCCAGCGGGAGTTTTTACTGGCCCAACCGCCCAACCGCCCAACCACCCACTCATCCACTTTATGTGCCTCATTGTCACCCAGGCACCGTATGTTTAGCACACTTCAAATTTAATTTCTGATTTCATTTGCACACAGTTTTTCCCCTCTTTCCCCGCTCGCTCTGCAGGTCGTAATTGTTTCAGACTGCGAAATAAATTGAAATTGTTGCTGGGCTGCTGGCTGCTGTTTGATGCTTGTAGCAGCAACTGGCGCCCAGACCCAGTCGCCGAGTTGAATCGCAAACAGTATTTCTACCTATGCGGGGCCGGAATAAACATTCCCTTGAAATCTCGCATAAAATGATACGAATCAGCTAATTGTCTGTGGATTGAAAAATACATAATTGGAAAACGATTTGTAAAGAATATACTTGTATGTATCTGCAATGCGTCTTAAGATACGAACTTTTATCCTTTTTAATATAAAATTAAATCAAGGAAAACATGTAAATTTATATTCTTAAAAAAGTACGCCGAAAAAGGAATGTAAATGTTCACCATCGATTTTGCATCAAGGGGTGTTTTTTGATTATTTTGAAAATATTAATTATGGATATCGATTTTTAAAATTAGATTACATTTTGAATAAAGAAAGAAATTGGAGAGTTTTCATCTTACTTAAATGTACTTATTTGATATTTTGCATGCTTTCGGAAACATTCTTTTTTTATGATGTTAATACAACTATATTGACCCAAAAATGGAAATTGAAAATATTCATATCTTTTATATTATTTTTTAGTCTATATGTACGTAGCTTTTATTCATTTCTCTCTAATTTCATATTGACATACCGTTTATAAACAAACAAATTGTGTAAGGAAATAATTTTGAAGTCCTGTTCGATATGATAGACCGATTTTGTTCATCCCCAATTATATCTATATTGCAACATTATAAAACCGACTCATATACTTGTAGGAATATATTTGTGTGCACTCATAACTTGCAACTTACAACAAAAGAAAAACATAAACTAAACTGTTGCAAATTCTCAAATGATAGTTGGGTTTGAAAAAAACAAAAACAACAACAAAACTCGCGTCATTTTAGTTTTGCTAGTCTAGTCCTTTTTTTTGTAAGTCATCGGCCACTAATAAATCTATAGTCATGAACCATATGTGTGATTCTACGTAAGGCGTTTCTGTTACTGTTCTTTAAAACAACTTTAATACAGGAAATTTATACGCTATGTGAAATGTTTTATTATTCTGCCTTCAGATATCTGAAGCTGACCAGGACGATGGCCCACAAAACTGGTGTATTTCGCAGTTCGCGGCCCTTTTTGACAGCTTCGCGGGCTAACGCTTGGACCTCAATTTATGCGCGTATATTAATATTTTTATGCATTTTTTTCGCTCTCTTGCAAAAGTTTTTCTTTTTCTGCCATGCCATTATGGCGGAGTGGCTCAGTGAAAAATATTTTCCCATGCTCTCTGCCCATGTGCGTGACTGTGGATGTCTGTGTGTGTGTGTGTGTGTGTGTGTGTGTGTAAGTGTGTTAATGCGTGTGTACTTTTTCGCCCTCTTCGCAATTGATGTCCAAATATTTTTATTCATGGCCCTTTTCGCGGTTCACTTAACTGTTTTTCAAAGTCATTATTATACGTACTATGTATATGCTCGTACACCCCTTGAGATTATTTTGTGCGCTTTTATAGTTGTGCGTTGAGGCTTCGCTGAGCTGTGCGCGATGCCTTTATCATAAATCATGTCATTGTTACTTTCTTGGCCCTCCTCCCTGGCTATTTGGTGATGCTAACAAGCTGGAAAATGTTGCTAATTTAGTTGTGCATTGATTGTGTGTTGATAGGAGGAGAGTCGTGTAATTTGTATGTAAAAATATATAAAAATAAGAATGAATCCAAAAATAGCGTACAACTTTGTAAATAATTAAAAATCTGTCAGCGACGCAACAAGTTGCTTCCGTTGGCGTTTTGCAATGTCGTCGTTTTTCCTGGCCCGGCAATGGTTAGTGATTTATGCTACAATGGGGCAAAAATGTGGAAATGACCCGCTTCCGACATGAAATATCAAAAATCACGCGCGCGCTCCAAAACTTAAAAGCTGATAGAAATGGCGAGGCACTGCTAGACGACACGACGAGCTCGACCATACACAACTTGCCGGTAAGGCGGGCCCCACAGACCCCACAGGCCCCACAGGCCGCCCCGACACCATCACGGTGCACCTCGCCGGAAACGCAACGCAGCCAGAGCCGGAGGTAACGGTGTCGAAGCGTCTCCGGTGGCCATCCAGCAATTGCAGACTGCCTGCCAGTTCGCACAGTTTCTTTTTTAGCGTCGCCCTCTCTAAGCGAATGCAATTTAGTTGTCAATTGAATTTATGACGTCAGGCCGCACCCGAGTCGACAGAGGCACAAATTCATATTGCGACCGTTGCAGGTACACGTACAAGTATAGGCATGGATGGGGTTTATCGCAAGTGACACAATTCACGTGCCCGCCAGGGTCGGGTTGGATTCGGCTCGGTCGCGAACATATTGCCGGTGTCGCAGGACCGTGAGAAGTGACCGCGCCCGCTATCGCCGAAAGTCAATCTGCGCTGTCAATTGACAGCGAGGGTCGTGCTGTCGACGCAAGTCAAACCACAGTAATTTATAGCTACAGGCACGTGAACCTCAAACGTGAACCTCAACCTCCAACTCAACCCCTTGCACTGCTTCATCTCCTGCTCGCTCGCTAGTTTGTATGTTAATTGTTTGTTTGCTGTTTGTTGTCATTGTCGATTAAGTGGCGGGTGCAGGGGGTGGGTCTGCCACTGTCTCCGGTTAGTGTGACTTTTTGTGTGAATATGCTAGCTGCCCATTAAAAAGTTTAACAAAAATTGATTGTCAGCACACGCAAGAGTCAAATACGAACCCTTGGCCCGTCGCGACGCGACGCGTCGCTGCCCTCCCGTGTCAGTTCAATTGTGCAATTATATCGCGCATTGTTTAGATAGACAGTTAGCACGACAGGGGCAGGGGCAGGGGCAGGGGAAGGGAGAAAAAAAACTAACATAATGATTTGTGTGTGGGTTTCCTAATTTTTGCTTCGTACAAGTAATTTGACTCCAACTCGATTTTTTTCACGCATTTCATATTACTATTTTGGTGAGAAAATTCTGAATTGTGCGTAAGCTATAATCATACTCCTACATACATAAGTATATGTATGCGTGGTATAGACGAATGAATAAAGGATATACTTGTATAATGCTCAGCTTTACACTCATTTCAGTTTAGACGAATACTTGTATTGTTTATTTATTTTGGACATTTTTGTATGAACTAAATGTAAGCTAAACAAAAAACGCCAAATTCTTGTACACATACAGAAATCGATCGAGAAATATATAGTATATTAACTAAATACGTACTTATTACAGATAAGAAATTGAATGTTGGAGAGGCTCAGAATAACTTTTTTTTAATTAAAAGTAAAATTAATCTTGTCAAAGTCAAACAAAAAAGCAGAAAATTGTATTGTTTGTTTCATTTTGAAATGCCGACTCGTACAATGCACTTTGAAAAGCCGAATTGAATTCTATTCGACTATGATGCTAATTTTTCGAAAATACACTTGTGGTCCACCACTAGATCTAGAAGATCTAGACTAGTGAGAACGGACATTATAAGTACCAAAGTTTATTACTAACGAAGCCACTTATGTTGCCAGATAAATTCTTATTAATGCAAGCATATTCTGATATAAACAGTAAATAGTTACTTTTGCTAAAATTGAATTTATATATGAAATTATTTAATTCAATTCGTATTCAATTCAATTGATTCAATTATAAGTATAACATTAGTTGTGAGTCTTTAGGTTTCCTATACCTGTATTCCTTTGTATTGCCCAGCTTCTTGGCTTGGGCATCTACTAGGAAGTCGTCAGTAACTAGACCTGTTATAAGTTTACACTCCTTTCTATGGAGTTGCAGAAGAAATTGGGTGAGCTCATTATCTCTATCCTTGCACATTTTTTGGGCGATCCTGCAATTGGCAATGTTATTCGACTGCTCAACAGATTTCGCCCAAGTTCGTGAATAATGATTTATACATTTATTTGATCAGTAGTTTTGTAATTGCAGATATCGTATCCCACTAACAGTCTGAATAATTATTTTTCCATATATTTTCCATAATGTTGATGACCTTTTACTTTGTCGCCCCCCATTTGATAATCAAACAAAATCTTTAATTTACATACATACACACAAATATACATACATATATTCCAGTTTTCTTCTTTCTACTTATAATAACAATAAGTCTTTTGGTCGTAACAAAAAATGGGTAAAATAATAATGCGACGCAATCGCCGTAGGCGAAATGAGCAATCCGGCAGGGAGCACATTAAAGACCCGCAACGAGCCGGTTCTTCAGTTATGGACAAGGACGTGAAAGGAGCAATCGACGGGTGCTATATAAAGCGCTGTCATGCCTCGAACTGGCAGTTCGCTCGCCTGGCCACGTGCCGAGTCGCGTGTTACATCATTCATACGTCATTAATGGCCACGTGTGTCGGGCGGCAGCGGAGTTGAGTTGTTGTTATTGTAGGCTGTTTTTGTTGCTTGCACACAAGCTCGCGTTATTAGCAATAGACAGGCAGGACAGTCCTTCTTGGGCGGCTATCTGACTATCTGACTGTCGACATCGAATGTCGAGTCGAATGTCGCATGACGCTTTATTGAACTTGAGAAAACAAATCGCAGTGTTGATTGCGTTTCTTATTAACAACAAACGCTGAAGTTGTTGTTGTTCTTGTTGTTGTTCTTGTTGTTGGTCACGGGGGTGTGCCGTACAATATGCTTCGTGTTGTGTTTGTCTTGACGCTCCGTTGACTTTTGCACACAAATAAATGGACAGGATAGTGTGATGCATTGAAGCAGACCAGCAGCCGGAGGGTCGGGGGGTCGGGGGGTGCACAATGTGCTGCGTGCTATGACGCACTGAAATACAAACATGATGGTTAAATGTAATTTTTTTTGGCCACAAATACGCTTGACCCGATTTACTCCCGCACAGGCGTGGCGGTTCAAGCGGTTGCATTTTTCACGGGCTTACACTGGGACAACACTGCGTATGAGAAATGCGGTAGAATGGCAAACTTAAATACTTGCCTACTTAACTACCACAAATTCCGTCAATGGGGGGAATGCGCAAAAGTGCTCGCAAAAATGGCGGAAACATGCCAACAAAAGAAATTAATTTAAAGTTTCGGAAAGCGTGAAAATTAAATTACATAATGAATGCAATTAAAATACGCTCACACTCTCTGAAGGAACAAAGTAACGCACACAGACACAAACACACACACACATACAGACGCAGGCGCACAAGTTCAAACACACTCTTACATACTTTCCATTAGAAAAGTTTCCATGGGCTTTGCTTGCTCTGCTTCGAACGATGACTTGAAGATGTAGAACCTTTTGAAAATCTCATGAACATGGAGCGGAAAGTGGGGATATGCGTTTAGCAATAGTTGTTCGCATTTATAAGTACAACATCCACTTTTCGAATCAACTGAATTGCTGTAGATCTGATTCGATTTTCTGTATTCTAGTTTAAAGACTAATTTTCAAGTTTGAACCTTTTTGCGGCTTATTATGGATACAAATATATAATATTTGAGCTATGTTTGAACTACTGTACCGGAATGAAAATGGATGGCTGCGCACAATACGTTCTGTATATGCTTTTTTATCATCATATATAGTACTTGGAGGTTTTCTAATCTGTATATTCTATTAAGTCTGAGAAACGAAAAAAATTCTGTTTTTTCCGATGCCAATCCGCTACAATTCACACAATGGATACATTTTATTTATTTTAAAGACAAAGTTCAAAGAATAGTTCAGTTCCCCATTCACTTAAATGTACTTTCTTTATAAGCTTAACTGAGAAAATAATGCTGACAAACCATTGACGGAATAAACATAATTTTTTATTAATATATTTTCTAGCATTTACGGAATTAAAGTACATGTTAAAAATTCAGAAAAAAGACTTTTAAAAATATGTTTTAAGCTTTATTTCAAGTAATATACATACATATCTTTTCTTGTGATAAACATAAAATATTGAAAAATTTCATAAATATAAATTATACGCCTATCCGAGCTGCTGTTGACTTTCGATAAAAAGATTGAAAGATCAACAAAAGGTTGTTTTCGTCACGTTCTTTTTAAAAACTTTGTTTGGTTTAAATTTTAAAACATTTGAAACTATTTAAGTTCAGTTTATTAAAAATTATTATTATTAGCGCTTAGAAAATATTACAAAAAAATAATTGCACTCCAAATAATTTCCACTCTGACCCCTTTTTGATGCGAAATTTTAAACATTAAAAATGATAAAAGTATTATTTTCAATTACTCTATTTCTGCTGCCGTAGTTTTGTCTACATTATGTTGATAGCAAAGTTTATTTTATAGCGTTTTAAATCACGACTGGATCAGTCCTAGCATAGACAAACACGTAGACACAAACACACGAGGGCAACTACATAGTGCAGCCGAAATATGGAAAGTGTTAATGTTTGAGTGTTTGTAACAAGTTACGATTAGTTTGTTGTCGCCTGTGGGCTAGAACTCAGAGAACTCATCGCGGCCCACACCAACAGTCAGACCCAAACGAACGAAAAAAAAACACTTTGCCTTGATTCTAAAAATTAATTAAGTCAGAGAAAATCTAGCTGTGTATACTCAAAGCTTTGGCCTCGCGTACACAATGGCGGGGTCTGGCCGGGGGGGGAAATGCTTAAATTATTTGGTGTGGGAGAGAGCCGTCGTAAGAGTATACACACATACTATATATATATATATGTATACGTATATATGGGCGAGAGCAGAAGTGCCCATTATTGCACTTGAGTCTTGCAGTCGTAACCCCACACCTACTACCTGCCTCTCCTTCTCCCTTTTCCACCCGCACAGCGACCTGCTGTACAAAGCCTTCATAATCAATGGCATGTTGGTAACAACTTTTGTCGATTTCTCCTTCAAGTAACTTACACTCCATGCTGTTCGGAGGTGCACCTCCATATACTATATAGTATATACGTACAGAGCGCGTCTTGCATTGTTTTCGTGCCCACCCTCTCGGCGCAAGGCTTGTCTAAGCTAGTTGGAGGGAGCGTTGGGGGCGGTGGAGCCATGGGAGTGTGTGGGTGTATGTGAAAGGCGAACAACGAAACGGTAATATCCTTGTGTTTGGTGGAAGGAAAAAGGAAGTGGATAATACATCCGTCCTTGTTGCTTCGTGTCACCCACTAAAAAGGCAACGCCATTTCTGGGCGCTTGCTGCCGTTGTTGCCAGTGTCAGTGCCGTGGCCGCCGACGCCACATCGATTACATTTGGGGAGAGCGAAACAGCCAAAACGAAAGCAAGATAGAGAGAGAGAGAGAGAGAAATAGAGAGAGAAAGTGCGCCGCTTTCAAACCATTCTTTTGTAGAGGCAGGGAGTCCTCCATAGTTGTGGCATGATTTTAGTCAAGTGGAAACGGTAACGTCCTACTGCGCCACAAAAAGAGCGAAGGAAGAGATGGGGACAGAGAAAGAGAGAGAGGGAGAGAGTGAGAGAAAGAGTGGAGCGTGCATGGGAGAGCGTGCATTACTGTTGACAGAACTTTTTGTTGCAGCTGGCAATGACTTGTGTAGGGGTCCGTCCGATTCCTATCCGTGCATTTATCGCAAAACTTCCTCTTCGACGTTTCAAAACCATCAAGCCACAATTTCATCAGCGCCGTGCTCTCTCGCACTGCATGCGCTGCTCCATCCTGGCGTCCTGGCGGTTCCAAAGCCATTTGCAAAATCTTTATTGACGCGCCGGCAGCATTTTGAGCATTTGAATGAGAGTCGGCGTGTTTGCATGTTTGTGTGTGCGTGTCTCTGTGTGTCTGTGTGTTTGTGTGTGTATGGCGAGGCCACACCTTGTCTCAACGCTGATTGGTCTGTCAGCGGAAAAGGGGTGGTTGTATTTCGGTGTGGATTAAAACCTAAGTATATCCTGGCGCATAAAGGACGATGGCAGCGACACCGTTGCCAAACAGAGCCAGCAACATTGGGCCAGACAGACAGATAGATACAAAAAAGCAGCCAGCCACAAGGCAGGCGGCTCACAGGCAACCACCCAACACCCAACACCCACCACCAACCTGCCACAGCCACAGCCACTACCACTTCCACCCGCCCATACAGACAGTGCGTGGCACTGTACGGGGGTTGCAAACGCACTGCCTGGACTGCGACTTTGGTTAGGGCTATGGCTTGTGGCTGAGGCTGAGACTGAGGCTACGGCCCGGTAGCTGGGCAGGATATGCGCGATTTGACGATGGAATGAAATCAATTGTTACGTTGCCGTGCCACAGATCGGACGCAATCCGGTGTCAGTTCAGAAAGCTCGCTAGTAAAAGTGATTTACGTTTCGTATGTGCGATTTTGTTCTCTACTAAGCCAACAGATTGACATATACTTGTACTTGTATAAATCAGACCGACGGTCAGACGACCAGATGGTTAGACGGTGCGCACACACATATAAGCACACATAAGCGCACACGCACACACACGCACACACACTCATCAAAGCCCAAAGTACATTGAAAAGTTCGCCCGGAAGTCGAGGTGTCCGGTAACGGTAACCGGTTCCGATCGTCACTTTTCCCGTTCCTTTTCCTGTTCCGCCGTCGCCAGCGTGAGTGCGGCTGATATTGTCGTGGTTGTCGCATTTTTTAATAAATTAAACTGAATGCCGTCGCGCCATTGGAGCCTACGAGGAGCCACAGTCCGTGCCGCCTTCCTTTGTGTGTCCGCTGGTGTTATTAGCTTCCGGTCAGCGACCAAATTAGCGCGTGCCTAAACATTTTTCTGCCTGCGACCGCGAACTATAATTTGAATTTTATCAAGCGAAGGAGGTTCACTTTTCTTTATACTGAACGTTGCGCGCCTCCGTTGCAGCTTGAATTGATTTGTGCACCGCCGGCGGTTGTCTAGGTCCTCTGGGCCATCGTATCAATACAGACGCTTGCTGCCCTCTCTCACAATGCTTGACATTAAGTCATCTGCCGATTATTTGTCACGCTCGACGGGAAGCTTCAGCAATTTCTCAATGCTTTTCGCAGGTGAGTGACCAGGATATTTGAAAGGCCAATACACGCTCATTCAATTTCAAAAACTTGAAATGAGTATTTTATAAAAGTTCTGTTAAAATCGTGATATCATGAAATTAAAGCCAAGCTAAAAGGAAATCTATTAAATGCGCACCATCCGATGACAACCAAACCAGATATTATTAAAAATAGGAACTTTTTATAATGTTGTTGGTTGGTACTGATATACAAGTTGATGCCAATATTTTACAAAAGTGCATTTTGATATTGCATATTAAATTATTTTCATAGCTGGGGAACTTAATTTATTTATATAGTGTGTATATCTATAAATAATACATATGTGTACGTGTTGTGAAAAATCTGATAATTTGCTATCTTACCTTCTCCTTTACAGATTCTTCGTACAAATCGTCGTGGGGCTCCCACAGTGCGACGCAATCACAAGGTGAGTTTAAAACAAACCTAATATACTCTTGTACATTTCATGTACAGAGTATAAACAATAGTACGACATATTCTTTATAATATACTATTTAAATCAAATTATGATCAAGACTGATACGAACGAAGACATTTATGGATTTCGCATCAGAACAATATTTAGATAAATATTGACTGCTTTACCAAAAATAATTTCATCATATTCAACCAAATTAATTATAATTTCCTAAAACGTAAAAGAGATTTATAGCTTAACGCACAGAATAGGGTATGGTAGACGCAAGGATCTCGAAAAGGATTAGAGCTGGACTAACCAAACTTGGTACACACGTTCTCTTAGATCGTAGAATGGACAAGGTTGTGTTCTTTATCCTATTGGATATTAAGTGAAAGACCTGCTAAGAACTTGCGATGAAAGCTTTATATATTTTTGGCTTACTACTCTTGCATATGTATTGCATTTTAAAGTATTTGTACCTTTTTCACATTTTTCACTGAAAAGCTTAAGGTGTATTGTAGATACATACAAGTATGTATATGATCACTATGAGAAAATGAGTTATGAGCTATGAGTTTTAGAGGTCGTGACGGACACAAATAATGTGACGAGACCATGCCAGATCCCTTATCAAATAATAAGCTATCATATAAAGGATAGAATTTAGAAACACTTTTTAAAGCTTTGTATACCTTTTAAGGGTAAAAGGGTTATAATACTAGAGACATTGTAAATATTTTTGACCAACAGGACGAGTCGCGAAAGCGTTGTCCGTCTGGAATTAAAGGTGGTATCATAACAAAACTTTCTATTCAGGATCTCTTAGGTTCAAGAAAGGAGAAGCTAATGTTTTCTTCGGCTCACTCCTCTGCTATTAGTGGTCTTATATAATTATTGTAATTTTTGAATAGTTATCCTAAAATTATAGCTCTTGGTGCCTTTATCTTATGATTCTTCTTGTCAAGTTTCATTGTGAGTGATCAATGGATGTTGAAGCCATACAAATTATATTTGTACGTGATCTGCCAGCAGCTTTTATTGCAATTGAAAAAAAGATGTCAATAAATGCTTGTAGGTACGTCTCGTCATACTGATCTAGAATATATATACTTTAGCAAGTTACCCTTTTGCTACAGGGTATAAAAATGTAATTAAAATGACAAATTAGAAACAAAACAATTTCTTTTCAAGACTCTAGCATTTCACCCAGCTTCAATGATGCTTAGATGCCCATTTTTTTTGTTTTGCATAATCTCTTCATGACTTTCATCAATTTAATAAATAAACCAATATGGATTTGAAACGTAAAGTTAAAGGAATTCCTCAATTAGACGTTATCTTCGCCTTTTTTTTTCATTTTCATTTAATTCTTCTATATATGTATTGAATATATTCTCTATATACAATACAATACACAATAATGTGTTGGTCCAAAATTAGTAGGAATGTTAGCAAGTTACGAGATACAAATCGGTGTAGACTGTAGCCAAGAGATGGAAATAAGCATTTTCTGGGATATTTTATAGCGTAGCGCTAGCTTATGCATAAAACACTTTTGAAAAGAGGTATAGCTTCCACTTAAATAAGAAATAAAAGTTGAGAACTATGCTATTTTAATTTTCGACAACTTTTAACTGCCATATTAGACAACGGTCCTCAGCAACAGGCAAGAGCTATACTCGTATCCAATCAATGTTAAGACGAAAGCTTACAGGATAATAACATGAAACAAGCTCCAATAAGTTGATCATGTACAAGTTTTTCAAGTCAATTGAAAAGCACTCAGAGGCGAACAAAAATTGGTTAACATGCAAAACATACACGCCACGGTGACGGGAGAAAGGGCTAGAAATTCAATGAAGCGCGTAAAATCGGGCATGGCGAATGGAAAGTTTTGTAGGCATCAATAGATATTTGAAGGAGTCGACGCATCAATGTGTGCGGACAGACAGGTAGAGATAAAGCCGAAAGGTGTTGCCCACACGTGTTCCTCGTCCTTTTAGTATTGCAGCAGAGTCGCCAGTGAGGCATGAAGTGGTATTTTAACTTGTGGTGTTGTCAGGCTTATTTGGAACCCACGGACAAAGTCTTTAATTGAAATTACCCGCCCGCGTCTGTCGCCTTTGACACTCACTCTAAAATGGCTTGCGGCATTCGAGTTCAAAAAAATCTCAACACAATACTCAAAGCGCTTTTAACTTTAAATAAAAAACTTTCAGCTCGGTTGCGCACGTTTTGCTGATGGCCATTGATGTCATCAAAATCGTGCAGCTCGAAATGCCAACTGACACGCCAGCCCACAGAGCCACCCAACCCCCTCCCCCACCCCCACCCTCACCAACGAAGCCAAACGAAATGCAATCGGGCGCCTTTTGTACTCTTCGCAGTTGAGTGGCCACGTAAAGCCGAAAACCAAAAATGTCATAAAAGTTGTGTTGCTGTTGTTGTTTCTGTTGCTGTTGTTGTTGCTGTTGTTGTTGCTGTTGTTGGCCGCGGTGTTGTCCTGATTGTTCTGCGCGTTGCTGTTGTTGCCTTTCTCGCACAATGCACAAATGACAACGAAAACAACAGCGGGCGGTACACTCGCACACACACACACTCACGCACACACACACACACTCGCACACACACACACATACGAGCACACAACCCTGTTGTTCTGTGACGCTTTTGCGCCTGCGGCTTTAATTTGTATTGAGCGTGAAGTTTGCCACAACGGCTTTTAGATGTGCGATGAATGTCCTGCCTCCGAGCCACTCCGACCGCCACTCCATTAAGATTTCATCATGTAAAGCATTTTAAATTGAATTGCCAGGGGCATTGTTTTGGTTCTCCCATCAGATTCCATTAGAAATACTTGCGCCAGCGTTGCTCATCTCGCAGTCTTCGCCTCCGGGACTGGGTCCTTGATGACATATCTGTGATAATGTTAGTTTTGTGGTTGAGTTAACAATTGCCACAGATTTCTTGCGCTCAGTGTAAGGCTTGTGCTGGCAGACTTTTTGAAACAGAAAAGTTGGGCATTGTTAAGCTCTACTTGTACTTGTATAAGGATGAAAGTAATTTATTGGATTTGTCACGATTTTGGGCATCATAGAAGGATAGGATATTTGTAGAATAAAAATGGAAATAATTTGTTGGATTTGTCACGATTGGGAGTCATAGAAGGCTCCTTTAAATACAAATAGGTGCGAAAATGAAATTATCTCAGCTCTGTTTCCAACCTCACGAGCAATATGTTGCATAGTGCTGGGGTGGATCAATAATTTTACATGATTTAAACATGCTGGGGAGGGGGGGGGGGAAGAGGGGAAATAAATAGGTTAAAAGCTTTGTTTGGACTTACACATGTTCCGCATTTATAAAAAAGCAATTTCCAACTAGCATAGAATTAAAAGTGAAGTTGCACGCTGTCCCATTCCTACTGGGATCCTTCACCATCTATGACAAAAACACAAACATAGTTACCGAGTAAATCGCCGAATATGTCCATGACATTGTTTTTGCTTATCGCCGAATGGAAGTACGTTAAGTAGTCAGCTGTAGGTGACGCTAATGGAACTGTAATCAAGATTTTAGATGGTATGAAAGGTGCGAGAAAAGTGTCGGTCCGATGTTTGCCGCGAGTGCTCACGGTGGAAAGCAAATACAGTGAAAACTGCCTTAACGGACACCTCTTTTATCCGGATACTCTCTTCGGCGGACAGTTTTTCTAAAACATTCGATCGGTGTATAAAGTATTCAAGTATCCCCTTAAGCGGACATTTATAATTTATATAATTTTGATTATTATTTATATAAGTACAGATTCCATACTGTCTTTAATTTTTAAAAATAAAAATAATCTTCTTTTTCAACTATTGGCCATCAATGTTCGATAGGCTCTTTTTCCTTTCATGACTTCCAAAAGCCTCTCACAAAAAAATTCCTCAATTAAACAATAGATTAGATGTGGTCATCAAGACACTTTTTATGTCAGCAATCAATGGTTATTATACATATCAGCAAAAAATTAATTCATATTTGCAGCACTAGCCTCAACCTGAAAAACTACATCTACATATCTTGTATTATTATTATTTCTTTTTTTTAGCGACATTTGTATCATTAACATACATAAGTTGTTTGCAAAGCAAATGTTAACTCGTAGTTTATATTATTAAGAGTGCAATTAGAAATTACATATATGCCTCAACTCTGTTAAATGATATACATAGATAGTTCAGGTAACCCCATGTGATCCCATCTGAATGATTTTTGCATATTTGCCAAATGTTATTGAATATCTTTTTCTTTTTTACAGGCTACAGTTCGAATGCTTTGGGTATTAAACATGATCCGCACACACAACTACGGCAACCTGGTAAGTGGAAACACAACTACACACATACAAATATTATAGACACACAGATATATAGGGGTATGTTGTTGTTATAACTTGGCACGTTGCTTGGGATAAAGCCCGAATTCAAACACAGCAGGCACTAATCCGCCTTTAAATGCTGTTTGCCAACACTGGCAGAGTTCCTCATCGAAACACAAGCACCGCACAAGTGACACTTGAGTTTCATTTCGAAACAAATATATCCTCTTGGTCCACTCGTCGTCCCCTTCAGGCGGCAAACGTGGCATTGTGCATTCCGCTTTAAAATTTATTTCAAATTCTGTGCCCAACAACAACAACAACAGAACAACAAGAACAACAGAGCTACTGAAAATACTGTCGCAAATCAAAACCTTAAATATACCACTTGAGGGCAAAACTTGCGCATTGAGATGAAATGGTAACACAAAGGAGCGGGGCAGTGGAGTTGTAGCGTAATGGAAACAATTGAAATGCTATAAAGGATTCTCAATTAGAGTGGCTGATGCCTGCCTCCCCTCCTTTCCTCTCCCTTTTTTTATATTTCTCTGGGCTGTCAAAATTGACGGCTGGGCACGAATATGACGCGTGCCATAAACTCAGTGCTTCAGTCAATTTTTTGCTTCTTTTTCGGCATTAAACTGTTAAGAACAATGCAGTCAACGGCATGTAGGCAACGAAATGTTGGGTAAACAATAGGCGACGTAATGTAGACGACGCTCCTGTCCTGATGACGAGGACGACATGATGCGAATTATGGACAATTGTGTGTGTGGCCGCGCAATCAGCAGTCGCTCTGAATTCAGATGCACACGTACACAAAGAGAATTCCTTATTTACTATAGATACTGTTCAGGTATAATGAGTTATATAGTATGCAAGAAGAACATTTCACTGAAATGATTTCAGTGTTTCTACAATTGACGTAAACCTTTAATATTTTTGGTTTAAACAAATATAACAACTATTGTAACAAGTTCAATATATCATTAATTCTCATTTAATCTCAATTTTAATTAAAATAAATTTTTTCTTAACGTAAAAATGTACTCTAAAATACTTGTAATGCACGAACTTATATAGGACAGCTTGATCTCAAACGATTGCCGGCATGAAGGAAGCAAAAGTGGTTCAGAATTATATTTCAAATTGAACGATTAGTTACCTTAAGAAGTCGAACGATTTTACCAGGATTCTTATATTTATTATTTTACGATGTTAAAATACAAATGTAGTTTGTTTACAATGTGAATAATAAGATATAGGTAAAATTTATATTTTTAATAAAATATATAACAATCTTACAAAACAATAGTAATATAATCATATAGACTCGGAACCTGTAGCGCATTTACTTTCAGATGAAGGCAATAAGACTGAGTGATAGGCAGAAAGAGAAGGAAAAATACAATGAGATATAGAGTGGGAAAGAGTTTGATCATTGGGTATAAGAGGGTGAAGGTTATTATTCTTATCGACTAAAATACTAAGATGAAAATTGTCAAACAGACTTTTCTCTCAGTGTAGGTGAGTGCATGTATGGGCCCATAATATACTCATAATGTAACCTTTTGCCAACGCCTCAGAGTAGGCTACAAAGCTCTTTTAGCTTTTTTTTGTTTGCTTCAAGCGCACACCGGATAATACGAGTAATGGATATTCGAGTGTGCGTGTTCGTGTGTCTGTGTGTGTGTGTCCAAGTACACTCGACAAATGTGCGCAAATGAAGTGTGTATGTACTACTATACTTGTATGTATATGTTTGTCGATCTGCTGCTACTAGTGTTCTTGTTGTTGTTCTAGCTGCTGTTCCTGCTGCTGGATAAGTGCAGTTTTGGTAATGCACTCCATTTGGAGCGGAAACTAACGCGCCGCTGCAAAGCCTGCTCACGATTTTTTGTACATATATACTTAGTATGTATATATAAAGCATTTCCCGTTTTGTGCAACCCTCTATAATTTGCGCTCCACTTTTTACAGCATATATTTGCATATATACTATACATACGTACCCATATATGTATATAGTTGAATAATAGTATTTATGGGACTAGAATAATGTGATATAAATTCCCTGCACCCTTGCACTCTCTTACAGATCCATATCAAATGTTCGGACCCACCAGCAGCAGACTGGCCAGTTCAGGTGAGTACCCGAAATCACAAAAGCATAAAGATACAGGTGCTTAGATTAGTTATAGTAGTAGAAGTCGCGTGGGCCACGTGTCGAATGGCTTGTCAAGTCAGTGCGCCCGACCGTCCTGCATTTCATTATCATATCAATTTCTCTGGGAGCAAGGGGCGTAGGCGAATGCGAGGGCGCGGGTGCTGGCCAGGCCAGCCGAGATTCACGTTAGTCATTGCTGACCGTGCCGTAAGCTAACAAATTAACCCCAAGCATGCAAGGGGTTAAATTTGCGCACTGGGGTGCAGTTTATTTCTTCTAATTTATGCGAAAGGTGTTTTCAAAATTTATGTCTGACGTGTGTGCGCTAAAATGGGCGTTCCCTGAAATTGTTTTCGGGCTGACTTTTTGAGTTTCCTCTCATGATGTCATTTCATTTCTGAACTGTCCGCCACGTGATTAAAACCCTAGAATCCATTAAAAAATGCTCCATCCAAAAAAAAAGGGTTAAAAGTGGGCGTGAGCCTATGAATTTGATAAATCATTCGAGTCTTTGTGCACAAATTTTTCACACAGTCTTAAAAAAATCAATAAAACCTACTAAGTATTGTCGAGCTTGCGTAACACTTGAATTGGCGGCCACCAAATACTACGGCGCTGAGCTTACCGGCGAGCGGAATTAGCATAAAAACCGAATCGCCCAGCATTTTCCGGCGCGACATTCAAATTGCAGACACAAACAAATACACATACACATGCACATGCACACAAGAAGAGAGCTACTTCGCCTCTTCGAACCATAAGCTTAACTATAAGAACGTGAAAGCTTAGCCAGGACTCGCTCTCACACATGTGGAGAGCGACGGGTCTGCTGTCGTGCGCCTTTGCTTTTTGGGTGGCAAAAATGCTGTTTCTGATTAATTATGGTTTCCTTTCGACACGGAACCGCTTTGTTACTCAAGTCCGGTCTGCAAGCTGCAAGCGACGCTGACCGGCTGCATGTTGCATGCAACCCAGCTCTGTAGACAAAAAACAATTGGTAGTAAAATAAATGAAAAAATGTTTAGGGGTAGGGCCCCGAATCCCTATGTGAGCAATGAACTGCCTTTTTCAGAGCTAATATAAAAAACTGGATAGACAACCTGCTTCAGCAACAGAATTATGAAAACTTAAATAGATTATTTAAGAAATATATATGACAAAAAAAAAATTAAATTGGGCTATGTATTAGAAGTATGTATAAGTGGTTTGGTGAAAAAGAATGTTTGAAAGATATGTTTTTAGGCTTTTTTACAAAGCTCACGCTGTTAAGGAGCGGGATCGAAATACAAGAGCAGGTTGATCCACAATTAGTTCGCTTTGTTGAAACGACTTATCTGACTAGTATCCGGCCGATTTTAAGTTCTTAAAGTTTCAGATCATAAAGTTTCGGCCATGTTCCCGTTTTCGAAAAGCACAAGAACTTGATCTTGAAACAGACATGTATGGCATATACTTGTATATTGTAATGGATGCACGTATAGATCGCAATATCATTTGATTCACCATTGGCTTCAGTTAATATTTTAATTTTATTTTACATTTCTCGGATACTACTTACAAGTACTTATATATGTCATCAGTATGTTTTAAATGTTTGCGTAAATATTCAAGTAGTCACAAGTTTGAATCCAAGTTGGTCCTAAATGTTCCCGAGTATTGAAGATAGGTTGAGAGAACGATTTATTGGCCTTTTAGAATCTTTCTAAAAACGACAGAAGTTTATTGTGAGATATAAGTACATATTAGTATTAAAAATGAAAAAAATTTATCATTGGTAAGACTATGTCTACGTCAATTCATTTTATATCCCAGTGTATGTTTTAACTATCTTTTGCTGCAGTTGTATTTCTGTTTTGTAACCAGATCTTAGGTGATGTTTTGATAAATAAAAAATTATTGATTTTATGTAAAATAATTAAAGTAATTAATAGACAGGGCTTATACTGAATGTTGCACATTGTATTTTTTTTTTTATTGTTTGATACAGATTTCAGAAATAAATTGATTTCTTTTTCTTCGGTACATGAATAACATTAATATTTGAAAGTACAAAGTGTAGATATTTGATTTGTTCATTTCAAAACCGTTCATAGCATGGTTAATTGAGTAGCTGGGAATTGGGAGTAATTTAATTTGAAAAGCATTGGGACCTGTGCCAAAAACCTAATGCCTATAATGTGCTCATGAAGCCGTTAAATGAGAGCTGTAGAGGGGAGAGTGGCAGTTTTTGTTTGTTTGTCCAACGACTTTGCCACTGTTTGGGCGCATATACAAAAACTTGGCATAAGTAAAAGAGTCTTATTTGAAATTGCATTAGAAAGAAAGCAACGTTGCAACATCAAAGTGAGGCGCTGCTAATTACTTCCGCATTCGCTTTTGCTATTAAATTAACATTTTTTGCGGGCTTGAATTAAAACAAGTTGGCTAACTTTTCGCCAAAGCCGCCGCCGCCGCCGCCGCCGGACAACTACAATTCAAACGCGAATTACGTCAAACACTTGCCAGCTACCGCCGCAGTCGCCTCCTCCACCTCCTCCACCTGCTGCGACTCCTGCACCCTCACGCCTCGCGAAAATGGCGCTGACGGCGGAAACGCCACAAGAACGTGGGGCGCAAACAAAATGGCCGACGGCTTGAAATTAGTTTGCTGGTGGGGAGTGCGCGGGGGAGGTGGTGGTGGTGTCGTAGGGTGGGGCAGTAGGGGCGGCCTTAGCATGTGCCGAGTAGCAATTAAAATATTACGACATGCGTTTGCAATGCTAAATCATTTTCCGCCGCTTTATTTTTTGCGCTCCTTAGGCCAACTGGCAAAACAGTTAGTTGGGCAGGATTACCCATCATTAGTAGCTTTTTGTTGCCTGCGACACTTCGGATGCGGACAATGGTGTCTTTGTTTTGACTTAATAGCGTGTCGATGTGTGCGAGCCACGCCCTGGGATGCGCTCACAAAATGGGCAGCAACAATTATCATTCATCAGCGTCATCGCTGGCGGTGGAGGTGGCGGTGGCGGTAGCGGTGGGAAGGACAACGGTAACAGTTTCGTGTTGGCACTTAACACATTCACTTGAACATGATTTGCAATTAACGCAATATTCATGACGTTCTCACACATGACTGCTCCACTCTGCTCAGCTCTAAGCCGCCACCACTACCGCCGCCACTGACATTTGAGCAGCTGTCAGACAGCCACCACCACCACCATCACCACCACCTTGCCGCTGCCGCCGCTGCCGCCGCTGCTGCCACCACCGACTGCGTTTTCGTGGCGTGTGCCTTTTGGCTCTGCTCGGGCTCGGGCTCGGGCCCGGGCTGACAGCAAACAGAGCATTTGCCGTCCGCTTGGCCAACCTAATTGCCAAATGATTAAGCGATTTATGATGTCGTCGCAACGCGTGTCGAATGCCAAGCACAATGAATGGGAATCATTTCTTTCGCATACATACAATGGGAAGAGTGAATCGTTTTCTTATTTGACTAAAAATATATATTTTATATTTGTGTTATTAATGGCAGCAATACTATCGAATAAGTGCAAATTACTGCAACAATATTAAAGCTATCTAAATATTAAAAGCAATAGGTATTCTATATTTGGTATTCTAAATTTGCTTTTACACGAACTACTACCATCTATTCTTGTTTAAAGTACTACATGGTTTATAGAAATAGAAATACCATACAATTATTTCAAATACTCAGCAAAGCATAGCGATAATAATAATAAATAATTTTACTCAAAAGTGTAGAGCACGAAAAAATTGACACTGAAACAAAAAATGCTGCTACTTTGAAAGAACATAAAGGAACGTAAGGAAATTAATATTTTATTTTACACAACTGCGATATTGAACGAATTTATCAATTTGATCACCTGTTCAAGAGCTGCATTCTTTAATGAACTGGCTATTGAAGCCCATGTACGTTTATTCGTTTATTTCTTTCTTTTTTGTATCACAGTTTCATTTCTTCTATTCATTACTAAATAGAGAAATATTTACTGGACAAGTATTTTAAAATGAAGCCATTAATAAGGAAGAGGATTAGTAATTTTACTTATAAATCGAAATGAGAATATTTTTGTACATTTGATGACATTTTGTGAAGAATTATAATTTCTATCTAAAACCCTCTACAGTTATAGAGTTTTTGAGATAATTGGGGGCCACATTTGAACTTTTTTCCTGTGTACATTTCTTTTATAAAGCATGATATCCGCAACACGAATGGGTAGCGAGTCGCCACACTGCCTCATATAAGTATTTATTTATCATATATGGCCCATAATATAAATGAGCACAACAACTCCGTGCTGGCCTCTCAGCCTTGTCGGCCTGTTCGCTGGGCGGAAATGCTTTATGGCGTGTTTGCATGCCACAAAATGCTGCGCTTTCGGTTGGAGCTTAAGCTAATTTGATGTTTGGAACAGCAAGCGCTGGAGGATATGCTCTTGTGATGGACACTTAACGTTTTATTTTCAGCAGACACAATACTATACTAATAGAAATATCATGTTCTCTCTCTCTGTCCGCACAGGCTCTGGCCAAATACAATTATGGCAATTTCTGCTCGAGTTATTGTCGGACTCGAACAATGCTAGCTGCATCACCTGGGAGGGTACAAACGGCGAGTTCAAGCTGACCGATCCCGACGAGGTCGCTCGACGCTGGGGCGAACGCAAATCCAAGCCGAACATGAATTACGATAAGCTGAGTCGTGCCTTGAGGTGAGTACTACAAGTAAATCGGTTCGTATTCGGTGCGGGGTAGTTTTTCCTCACCAGATCTCTTGTGCTGTGGGTCTCTTGGTGATTTGACGATTTGCTGATGTTTATTAGCCCAAAAGAAATGCGAGCATGTGGCCAATTTGTTGTCGCTCGCATCAGCTCATCAGCTCATCAGCTCATCAGCGCGCTTCATTGATTAACCATTAGTGATTAGTTGCTTTGATTTCAATTGCCTGTGAAATGGGCACAAAAATGCCCAAAAAACTAAGCCATAAGTTGTTCCTAATATGCGAAACATTTGAGTTCTTTTCAACAATGCACTGTGGGCTCAGTGATATATACTTGTAAATTATTAGCAGACCAGTCTAACATTTGAATCTGTAGTGTTTCTAATGGAAAGTGTGTTTTGTTCTTTGTAGCAAATAAGAAGAACAGATATGACATATTCAGAAACATTTTTCCTATCTAAAATGTAATTCAAAAATTATTTCTATTTTTTAACCGATTTTCTAAAATCATCATTAAATATTTCTCATTGACTTTTGGCATTGGTCCAAAAAATTACTAACTATATAGCATTTATTTTTCAATTATCATCGTTCGTAATTACTTAATGCACTCAATCCATTCTAATCAAATCCCTGGTGGAAAATTAGAATCCACAGATGTTATTTGCTTTATACCGCTTGGTAGTTGTCAATAAATATTAGACCCATATAGCTACATAAATGAACAAGGCCAGGGCCTGTTTTCGGTCATTTATGCAGAAATAGTTTCATTGACTTGCACACCACTGTTGGGAGGCCTTTCTGCTCATTGCAGGGGCGTGGCTCGGCGACAAGGGCGTGGGCGTGGACTCAGTCGTTGGCTTCGACCGAAATTCAACATTAAATTGTTTGCGTCTGTAACTTGTTCGTACGACCCGCCAATGTGCTAGTAAATGTAATCAAAAATCCAATAAAACTGTCGTGGTTGTGTTTTTGTTGTTTGTTTGCCTTTGTGCGGCAATTTGTTGCCTGCCTGGCCAACAAACGAAATGAAAATAAAAATTGTGCCATCAAATCTAATTGGAATTGCGAGCTAGAATTTGGGTTCGAGGTAAATGCGATTTGCTGGCATTCGACGACGGGTGGTCAAACCTTAACCCTCCCCTAACCCCTAACCCCTAACTGTCGACCCGCTGTTCCAGATCCAAAGCAGTTGCCAAAGTTTGCACAGATTTGACAAAAACATATGCAACTATACTATACAAGTACATATATGTATGTATATACTCGAACTCGTGGCAGTACAAATGCCAGCTGCAACGGTCAATTTGCTAAGCACACAGCAGAGTCCTGCAATCCTTTCAGTGGCGTTCAGGCCCCATTGAGACTGTCACTTGCAATCAGAGGCAATGGCAAAAAGGCAGGACAACTGTACAAATAAGCCAATGATGCGTGTGTTGCTGACGACTCGAGTGGAAAAATCTTGCCAGCCAATTTGCGCCTTCCCAGAATCAACATGTAAATAAATGTAAAAAGTGTTGAAAAAAGAAAAGCAGCTCCCAAAAAGAAGGCGAAGAAGAAAAGGCAAATTGTCAAAGGCTTTTGATGTATGAGTGTGGAAGCAAACGGAAGCCTTGACATGTCACAGTGGCTGTCTCACTGCCTATATCTCGTGTGTAGGTCTGTCAGTCTGTCAGTCTGTCTGCTAGTCTGTCCCCGTTGATGGTGTCACTAATGCGCCTGACGTTCTTGCACATTTCAACTCAATTTAACACAGATACTCCTTTCTCTCCTGCCTGTCTCCCCGAGTGTGTGTGTGTGTGTGTGTGTGTGTGTGTGTTTGGCTTTCATGTTTGCAAAGAAATGTGAGCATCATACAAGTAGAGTATGAGAATGGGCAGGACTATGAGAGTGTACGAGGATGGGGTGGGGGCGTGTAAATTAACACACAGGCCCCACAAAAGTGCAAAGACAAGTGCTTTTATGCTTCATTTGGCTTGTTTATTCATGAGACGGCTGCCCTTTTGTTGGCCACTACAACTGCCTCAGCTTAAATGGTTTACTTTAATCCTTTTTTCATCCTTTTGCCGCCCTGATTGTGTGCTTTGTTGTCACACCAATTGTTATTGATTGGCTTTGATTGTTCATTGGACAGGGCGAGGAGTGCTGCAAACTGCAGTTGTTGTTGTCCTTTATTGACTTCTTTTTTTCATCTGCCTCTTAATTTATCGCATTAATTGCCATAATTTATTGCAAAATTAAACAAATGCGCTGCTGCATGGAATGAGTTTAATGTGTGCTTATTTGTATGCTCTGCTCTGTTCGCTTTGTTCGCTTCGTGAGCGGAAGTTGCCGTCGACAAAAGTGCCGGACCAACCAACATGATTGCAGCTCGACAAAATTTAAAGCAGACAGCGTACAAAATTGCAATTCGATTTAAGCAAAATTCTTACCAAAATATACTACTATCCTAGTCTGTCCCTGTTTGTCCTGTCCAAACAGACCAGGCCACCACCTTCCTTCTAACTTCCCTTGTCCGCCCCAGTGATTTGCGGCGCCACGCTCTGATTTCTATTTGAGTTTTGTGCTCAAGGCGTTGCCATTTAATTGCTCAGGGGCTGAAAGATAGCACTAAAATCGCCTAATGTCAGTAAATTAACTTAAAACGCATAAAGCGCACATTATTTTGTAATTATTTATTGGCTTCCCCTGTGGGTGAAGACGAATCTGTCAGCTAGAGATGTGCGTCCGACTTTGTATCCATTTATAAGTCAACACAAACTATTTGATGTATTAAGTTTTGGGCGAACATTTTCTTCTTCAGAATATTTTGATACTAGAAAGCAATGTACTATGAGGATACTTCTCAACGAGCCGCATCCCACAGAAGCTGTTTCAGCAAAAAGTAATTTGCAGCCGGTAGATTGGTTCATTCTGTAATTCATTTTTTTTATACAAATTATAAAAGCTGGCAATAAAGAGAGCATACAAGTATAATTAAAAAAGAGGAGAATGCGAGCTCAAGCAACCGTCTAATTTGTTTCATAACCTCTTTGGAATATGCCATAAGTGTGTTCAATATTTGTATTTTTCAATTAAAAACTATATGGCGGCTTTTGTAAATATAAAAAACCATTATCAAAGCAATATTTTAGACTCCACACTTAATATATACTCGTTGTATGGATCTAAATGCTACGACCCATAGAGTACCCTTCCAATCTTATTGCTGATCAAACAGTATACTTTTTATTGGGTCGAAGACAAATATTTTAAAAAATTAGTAAGATCTTAACCCTTTTCCTGTGCTCACATTTTGATCTTTGCAAGATAAGAGTTTCATTTTTGTACTTCAAATTAAACCCAACATTTCGAAATAATTTTTGGGAATTTTCTTTCCGCCCAGAAAGAAGTATTTGAATTCTTCTTAAAAATCAAATGTGAAATGTCTTACGATAGGTTTTTGAGAAATGCCTTCATGATTAGTCGGCTGTGCTCATTTTGTTGTTAATATGTATCCTCAGTAAGGGTTTCTATCGAAATGTATGTCTGCAATAGGAAGTGTCGATGATAACTGAGAAATACTTAGATAAGTGATGCCAAGGATTCCTTCAAAATTTGAAAACTGTCTAAAACAGGTGAAAATAGACAGATCGAGTCAACCTTTTAAATAAATGTGTATTTCCACTAATAAAAATATGAGAATTTCATTCTGTTGTTATGCTGTTTAACAAATTTATAATGTCACGATAGCATCTCTAACGAAGTCAGCTTTTGTTTGACTTTCCCAGATGCGGCGCGCAAATAAAATAGTAATAGCAATGATCGAGGGTGGTTTTATGTGAGAACAAAGCCTTACAATACGACTCTTTTGTTTATTTATAGATACTACTACGACAAGAACATAATGACCAAAGTACATGGAAAGCGGTACGCCTACAAGTTTGACTTCCAAGGCTTAGCAGCGGCCACACAGCCAGCCGCCAGCGATCCCACCTATAAGTATCAGAGCGACTTATTTATGACACCATATCATCACAGCGCCAAACTAAGCTCCTTCATGAGTCCACACCATGGCATGACTTCATCGTCTGGTGAGTGCAAGATTAAAAAGAACCTTATACCTTACCTCTTTTAAATGCTACGAATATGGAAATATGAAAGGATATTATACTTGCATGCGTTGTTTATTCAAGACTTGAAAAATCCTCATTACTTGATTGAGGAAATGTAATTAAACAACAAATTATAATGCATGAAATACCATTTCATGTTTTCATTTCAAAATCAGTTAATGCTGACAAGTATTTGTAGCTCCAATTCAATAAAGGATAAGAATCCAAATGGTAGAAAAAAAACAAAAACAATCTAATGATAAGTAATTGTAACCACTTCGACTAACACTCTTCCATTTGTCTGTTCTCTGCAGCTTCCATCTTTCCCTCGGCGGCTTCTTGGGGCAACTGGGGCAGCCCGGCTACAAATCTTTACCAGCCGCACTCGATGAGCCACGTGACGCCATCGCATGTAGCGCCGCACCTGAGCTCCTATCCCCACTACGCATGACCATCATCGTCCGGTGGCGCCTTCTAATATGAGAGCAACGCCATCGCCGGAGCCACAAGCCTCGGCGGTGGCGGTGTGAGCGTCAGTGCCCCGGGGGCCGTTGCTGTCGGCGGCGGTGGCAGCAGCAACACCAGCAGCAGCAGCATTGTCAGCGCAGGCGGGGGCGGAGGTGGCGGTGCAAGCGTAATGAGTGGCTTTGGCAACGGCGGCGGCGGCGGAGGCGGAGGCGGTGGTGGCAACAACAACTTGAATGGCAGCCATGTGGGAGCGGGCGGCTCGAGCATCAGCGTGAGCAACAACTTAAACATTGCCACGGCCACCTTGACAGCTGCGCCGGCGCATGCGAGCGCCGGCTTTGGAGCAATCGGAGGCCTGAGCGTGGGCGTGGGCGTCGGCGTCGGCATGGGCATGGGTGGCAGCAACTCGCTGAACTCGCTGGTGGTCGGCAATCGCCTGATGAACAGCTCTCTGCCCACGCTGCTCAAATGATGCCACTTTGAGAAGTTCGGCTTGACCATGTGTGCAGGTCCGCCGCCCCCTGCAGCCACACCTGCTGCCACGCTGGACAGCTCGAATGCCAACTATGCGAATGCCACCGCCACAGGCTACGCTCCTGGCAACTACAGAGCCCCCTTTGCGGGCGCCAACGAGCGCCCCACGGCGGGCACCGCACTCTACGAATATCTGGACATGAAAGGCGAACAACCAACATTTTTATTGTAACCAAACCACCAGAACGTAACTGTAATCGAAAATTGTAGACAACATCGTATTTTACCTATACATAGAGAATAGCAGAGGGTTTCTCCAGAGAGAAGAGCCCCCAATAATTTTATGCAAACCTCAGCAGGTGAGCAACTTAAACCGTGTGCTAGTGTGGTTGAGTGTATCGCATGTGTTTAGATAAGATATTGTTGCAGACCAAGGTCGCACTTTAGCTTCCACTAAGGTCTAGCAAAACAAATACTTTCCATCTTCATTCAATTGAATTTGTATGCGCGTTGTTCTCTGTGTGTCTAATGGAAATGTTGAAATTGAAAAAAGCCGCTTCTGAAGTATGACTCACAAAAATTTCAATTTGAAACTGGAAATGTTCCACTTCTGAGTGCTTGCTTGGGTAAGGAACAAACAAAATATATTGACAAACCCGATTAAACTCATAATGGGATGCAATATTGTAATTAATTATTAACGAGCAGCAATTAACAAACTGAACATTGATAAATTACAAAGGCAAGTAAGTATATAGAAAACGTGTTTGATAATTACGGTGTCCATGTTCTATTTACAAATGTCGAGTTTGTGAGCAAATTATTTGCCTGTCTGACCGTAGCATGATTTCAACATCAGCACCATCCTGAATCCTATACTTGTTCCCACTAAACTCTTGCACAAAACAACTACAGAAATCGATTCTCTTTGAGTTTGTTATTCAAATTCCGAAAGTTTCCTCTCAAGATTGTGGGGTTTTCAGATAAAGTCTTCTCCGCTCTACCTCATGCCTTTGCCAACCAAACCGCATCCCGTAGTGAAAAAGAGGCGGCATATAATCATATTAACATTGCCATTGAAGCACCACACGGAAGAACAACAATTTGCAATTAATTCAAGTATATAATATCTAGTATAAATATTTGATCGTCACGCTGGCGTATGTCAAGCGATGGCAGGATCCGTTTTACAGCAAATCTGCAATATTGTATTGTACTTTTTGCCTATACAAGTACATACTTGTATTTCTAGCTAAGTAAGTGTGTAAATGTTCTAGCAGTGACGTAGATTTAAAGAAGGCGAACAAATAGTACAGCGACCCCAAGTTGTTGAGGCAGCATGTGTTTGAGCGAATGATGTAAATATTTAATGGATACCTACCTAATATAATAACTTAATATATCGAATATGTATGTATAGTATATGATGGCTTAAATTCCTTTCCCAAACTATGTTTGTTATTTATTTTGTTTCTCCCCACAAGAATATCTGGTTGTTACTTTATATGAATGTGTTATATCATGATCTGTACTTAATCGAAATGTCCCTTACACAACCACCTACAACGAAATTAAGTTCCACTCCTTGGTGTCCAATTTTGAAAGAACAACAGAAGTCGTGCTTCTGTTCTACCTTTATTATTTCGAGATGATTGACTGTGATAGTTGATTGTACAGTTAAAACTCTTAACAATGTTTAATAACCGAAAAACCAAAACCGAAAAAAAAAGAGAAGAACAAAACAAAAAGATTTAATACACACAGCAAAGCAACTAGTGTACGTGCACATGTACTTGTAGTTGTGTGCGTGTGTGTAAATCACTTTGTTTAAAAATTGAAATGAATAGTAAGTCGATAAGTATTTATTATTGTGTGCATTACCCATAAATGTATGTACGTGAGTATTTAATAATTCAATTGAAATCTAAATGTATACAATTTTAAAATTCTGAATGTAACTCTACAAATACAGAAAAGAAATAAACAAAACCAACAACAACAACAAGAAAAAACACCCACTAACTGATTCCCCCCCTTAAGAATTTAGTTGATCTACGCGCGAGTAGAAACTAACAATTTTCAACTAATTAAATAAAATTCAATAAGAAGAAAGCGTGGCAGTTTTTACTATTATTTTAATTTTTCATTTGGGATAGGGTAATAATTATATATTTACACTAATTGGGCAGTGGATGTGGCGGATGGGCTCACGGGATGCACTCACTCGGCACTCTTGAACCACTTGAACTCATAATCCTTGAGCGTGTTCTCCGCCGGCAGCGCCGCGGCGTCCACCTTGCGCCAACTCACATGGGGCTGGAATCCAAACTCGTTCGCTATGTACTCGATGGTGCGCGCCACCGAATCCTCCCCAATGGCAAAGTAGGTGCCCTGCTTGTAGCCATTCCGTCCGCCCGTCTCCTCGTGCCCGTTATAGTCTAGCAGATACTTGAACCTGTACAAGTCACCCACGTCACTCGCCCCGGCGGCCACTGAGCTGCCGCCACCAACACTGCCATATGTGGCTGGCAAAGTGGCTGGTGGTGAGTTTTGCGCTGTTTGCAGGAGTAGTATAAGAGGCAATTTGGTTGTTGCACAAACTTAAGTTCGCCCTATCTGTCTTACCTTTTCCACCCTGCAGCGTTGGTGAAAACGCTGTGTTGGTTGTTGTCTTGACTTCGCCTACCCCCACACCAACGGCGTTCACTGTGGGCGAGGCAGCATCAGCTCCTGCGCTTCCTGGGCTTCCTGGGCTTCCAATACTTCCAATACTTCCACCTGGTTTCGAGCTCGACTGAGGCGTGCCTGTGAACATAGAGAGGTGAGAAGAGAACGAAGCTTAGGGTTGGTGCATGAAAGGTGAAAGTTTGACGGCGCTTACTGAGCCGCTGACCCTGACCCTGACCCTGGCTGAGTGAGTTCAGTGTGTTCGGTATAGAGTTTTGTGTGCTTGGTTTGAGTGTGTTCTGTGCGGCCGGACTGGAGAGGCGAGTGTTCACAATGTTGCTGGCTGCGCCCGCAAGGAGCGGACGTTGCTGATTTATTTGCGAGCCGACAACTTTTCGCAGATCATGGGTCATGGGCAGGACCAGTGTGCCAAGCGTGCCTTCGACCACCTGCGACGTTATGGGCGAAGCAATGCCGCTAGAAATGCGCGATGCTGGCCCCTGCGACGGCAAATCGAGCAATGCATAAGTAGACTGGCCAGCTGGAGTTCCGAGGATCGTGGGGTTCACCAAATTGGCTCCGAAAATCTTCGGCGAGCCATTGATTTTGTTAGTTTGTTGACCGGCAAAGGCCGTGCCGGTATTTGACTGCTTTCCGTAATTATTGGCATTGGGCTGACCGGCCAGTTGTTGCTGCTGTGGTGCCGTTGGTGACACTCCCACATTAGCGTTAGAGTTGGACAACGATGAGAGCGTAGGAATGCCGCTTGAAATACGCGATGCTGGACCATGTATCGGCAAACCGACCAATGCATAAGTAGGCTGGCCAGCTGAACTTCCGAGGATCGTGGGGCTCACCACATTGGCTCCGGAAATCTTCGGTGAGCCGTTGAGTGTGCTAGTGGGTTGACCCACAAAGCCCGTGCCGGTATTTGACTGCTTTCCGGCCAGTTTTTGCTGCTGAGTTGTCGCTGCTGGTACTCCCACTTTGATGTTAAAGTTCGAGTTGGGCGACGAGCCGAGCTGTATTTGTGACTTTACTGTGCCTGTTATACCCGTCAAGACGGGACCTTGACCATGTGTGTTTGGTGTTGTTTTGTGTTGTTGTGACTGTGTTGGTGTCTGTTGGGAGAGTGTTGGGATGCCATATGTGCCCACCACCGCTCCATTTTGCTGCCCAAGGGCGTCGAGGAACGGCAGCGGCGCATAGGGACCTTGTCCGATACCTGCAGAAGTGGATATGGTGTCCTGTGGTGGCAGCGACTGAGAGAGCGGGCGTATTTCGGTTTTCGTATTGCCCGGGCTGGACTTCTTAAGGAAGCACCCCGAGCAGGCCTCCGTGTTGAAGTTGTGCTTCGGCAGTTGGGCAGTGGGGACCGTCCTGACTGTGGTCGTCGTCGCCGCCGTCGTCGCCAGAGTCTCTGTGGGCAACAGTTGTTCTTGTTATTATAGTGTCGTCTTGTCATTACAGTACTTTCCCTTTCGATGCATACTTGGCGCTACTGGTCCGGCATAGGGATAATTTCGCATTGACAATATGCGGAACTTGCCATCCTCGTCCGTGGCATAGACCGTTACATGATAAATTCCATCGGCTGTAATGAAGCCAAACTCGCCCATCACAATTCCACGTTCATCTGCGGATTAAGATAAGCAAATTCGGTTTAGAATCACTTCCACTTACTTATTATGGACAGATTATCAATGTTTTGTGTGCCAAACCTGCCAAACAGGCGCTGGCAGTCTATAAAGATAGCGATCTAATAAGCTGTATCCATAATGCCGCCAATGACGTGTTCACTGATTTCATGCTGCGCTTAACCCACACGGCAAGCAGCCTACGGCTAGTTATGTTGTTCATAATAGACACGGATATCACTTTTTATTACCCCCAATACTTAAAAATGTTTCCATCTTCCACAGCCCGTTCGGGCGCTCATTTTCGTACACCCACCCGCCTGTTTGACATTTTCGAACTATAGAAATCGGTGATTTATAGCAACGAATAAGCTTATGTTCCTGTTTCTTCTTCTGAGACTTGGGGAAACATGAAATGCGAATGCGGCCAGAAAATGTATTTCTAAACAGCGAATACTCCGAGCATCTCAATTGAATCAGATAAGCCAATTTTAGGAATAAGATGCTGTACGTGCTTTTGAAAATGTACACAATATTTGTTTGCAGGTGTTTCAACTCTGGCATTTTATATGAACAAACAGAAAATAGATCTATAAATATTAAAATTCTTATTTCATACCGAATTGGACATTAAATTCATAAATAAGCCATACTGTCTACTACGGCTACATGTTATGCAAATTGATCGCTTTTCGTTTCGTTTCGTTTCGTTGTTTCTGCTCTCTATTTTATAGCCCAGCCAACATGCATAAATATGTATAACTATAATTTTATATCTACATATATATGTATATCTGTGTTGAAAATTTATATTATTTTATATAAATTATTAAAAACAAAGAAAGAATGGGACGCTTGCTTTTAACTTTTTAATGCGGAAATGCGAACGATTTGGCGACAATTGTGTTTGTATATGGTTCTATTTTGCAACTGACTTCAACTTAGGCTTACATGCTAAACTAAGCCTAAGGCGGCGAAAAAAGGGCGCGAGGCGACGTCCGCAAACGGCCGCTCTCGCGCTCTCTTTTCGCCCTAAACTAAAATTCAAATAATTCTCTTAAACTATCTTAATCTAAAGCAGCATCTGCGCCAACACCGGCCCCCTTGGAGGTACATCGTCCTTCAACGGGCAATGGCGCCAGCCGATGAATAGCCCTCCGTAGATTGCCACTACTCGTGGCGACGTCGGCCACCCGCACCTTCCCGTCTGTCCCGGCGTGAGTTGTGGTGACCCTGCCAAGTACCCACTTTTGTGGCGGCACGTTGTCTTCGGCCACCACGACGAGTTGTCCCACGACGACGTTGGGTTCCTCCTGGAACCACTTCGCTCGCACCTGGAGGCTCGAAATGTACTCCCGGGACCATCGCTGCCAAAACCTGTGCTTGAGACACGAGGCATTGCGCCATCGCCTTAAGCAGGTTTGGCTGTCGATGTCCGGGAGCGGTGGAGCTGGAGTCGCCAGAAGAGGCCGTCCGATTAGAAAGTGGGCCGGGGTTAGCGCCTCGCCGTCGCTGGGGTCCGCGCTGAGTGGTCCCAGTGGCCGAGAGTTCAGCACGGCCTCGACGCTCGCCAGGAGTGTTCCGAGCTCTTCTGCGGTCAGGAGCGCATTGCCCACCGTCCGTAGGAACAGGTGCTTTGCAGACTTGACACCTGCCTCCCATAGACCGCCGAAGTGAGGCGCTCTGGGTGGTATGTACGCAAACTCGCATCCTTTTCTTGATGCGAATTCGCGTACGCCTTCCGCCTCCTTCTCCCATCTCGCTCGGAACTCCTGCAGCTTCCTGTCGGCTCCCACGAAGTTCGTCGCGTTGTCGCAGTAAACTTTGCGAGGGACGCCTCTCCTGCCGACGAACCTTTCAAAAGCCAAGAGAAAAGCATCAGTGGTTAGATCTGACACAAGCTCTAAGTGAACCGCTTTCGAGGCAAAACAAACGAAAAGAGCCACGTACGACTTATACGGTGGCTTGCCACGGATGCGGAGCGTTGTGCTTATAGGGCCACAAAAATCAACACCACATACTTCGAACGGGTGAAACGGCTGGAGCCTGTCTGCCGGAAGATTCCCCATTACTTGGGAGGCCAACCGGGGCTTCCATTTGAAGCAGAGGATGCACGAACGTACTGTTCGGCGACACACTTCCTGAGCGTTAACCAGCCAAACTCGCTCACGAAGCAGGCTCACCAGCGATCTAGGGCCAGCATGGCAATTTGACACATGCAGATAAGATACGTAGGATCTTATGAATTGCGACTTTTTAGAAAGCAACAACGGAAACTTGGCTTCATACGGGATAGGAGCATTTAATAATCTTCCCCCCACTCTCAGCAAGGAAAACAAGAAACCGTCTTCTCTAAACTCATGTAGAAATGGACTCAGACGCTGTAAGTTGGCGTTAAGTGTTCTCTTTTTTCGAACCTTGTCGATTTCGTCACCGAACTCATTGTTCTGGATGACTTGAACAATTTTGTTGAATACCAAATTGAGTTCGCTTGGCTTGGCTATAGGATCAAAGGGCTTCGAGACCTTTCTGCACCTTTGTATAAATCGAAAAACCCAAACGAACACCCTCAGCAATTTTGAATGTGACGAGTAGCTTTCGATAACTTCGAGAATATAATTGGCTTGCCGATCTGCGAGTAAAACTACAGCAGACTTACGAATCTCTAGGGCAGCTGAATTTTTAGGCGGCTCAAAGTGAGCATTCACAGGCCAATTTTCTTCCGATTCCATGAGGAAGGCTGGCCCTGTAAACCAAATGGAGCTACGCAACTCGTCTACATTACATCCTCTGGACACGATGTCTGCTGGGTTGGACTTCGTTGGGACATGTCGCCACGTTGCATTCTCGGACCACTCTTGGATTTGAGAAACCCTGTTTGAAACGAAAACTGACCATGCCGACGGATGCGACTTGATCCAGTGGAGCGTTATTTCCGAGTCAGTCCACATAACTATCTTGTCTATTGGAGAATTAAGCAACGGGCGGACTTGACGAAAAAGATCTGCGAGAAGGTGAGCTGCACACAGCTCAAGACGAGGCAAAGTTTTCGTCTTGAGTGGAGCTACTATGGATTTTGAGGTCAAAAGTGACACTTTCCAACCATTCGCAGTCGAAACACGAACATAAATACAGGCGCCATAAGCTCGCATTGAGGCATCGGCGAACGCATGTATTTGAATGGGTGACTGCGTATCTGTATGGACGAATCTAGGGACTTGAATACCGCTGAGGTTCAACAAATTCTGCTTAAATGAGTCCCAAACTGTATGAAGATTCTCAGGGATGGATTCGTCCCAATCTAGTTTTTGTAGCCACAAATCTTGCAGCAACATTTTTGCTTTGGTGATCAGCGGGCAAAGAAGGCCCAGAGGATCGAAAAGCCTGGCAGTCACCGATAATATGTTCCGTTTTGTCGAGCGGAGATCTAGGAAGGAATTTTCCAACTGGAACTGAAATACATCTTCCTTCGGCAACCACATAACGCCGAGCGTTTTGGTTGGGTCTGAGTCGACTGTGGCTACTGGAATAACTGTGCTATCAAATGCGGACAGTTCCGAGCAGTTCGAAAACCACTTTGCCAATTCGAAGCCTGCACTTTGAAGAACGTGCGACACTTCTGCTCGAAGCTTTTTTAGCTGTTCAACGCTTTCAGCACCAGTTAACATATCGTCGACATAAAAGTCGCTCCGAATAACTTCAGCAGCTGTTGGATGTGAGGAACGGACCATTTCACTCAGCCTTGTTAAACACCGCACCGCCAAGAACGGAGCTGGCGACGTGCCATACGTTACAGTGTTTAACCTGAAGATTTTCAAAGACTCAGACGGATCTCTTCGCCACACTATGAGCTGATAGTTTCTATCTGCTTCGTGCACCATCACCTGACGGTACATTTTTTTAATGTCTGCCGCTAAGGCGAACTTTCGCAAACGAAAACGAAGCAGCGTAGAATAAAGCTCCTCCTGAATTGTTGGACCGACCATTAAGGTATCATTCAACGCAATCTGAGTGGACGTGCGGCAAGAGGCATCGAAAACGACACGCAACTTGGTCGACGTGCTTTGAGGCCGCAGGACACACTGATGCGGAATAAAATAGTGTGGAGTATCTGGAATTTTGTTGTCCGTTGAGGACATGTGACCGAGCGAAACATACTCGTCCATAAATTCCAGATACATGCTTTTCATTTGAGGGTCTTTTGACAACCTCCTTTCAAGCGACAAAAAACGACGTTTCGCAATTTCATACGATGAGCCAAGATTTTTTGGGTCAGATTTAAAAGGTAACCGTACCTGATCTCGACCAGACGACAAGATTTTTGTATTATCAACAAAGTGTTGTTCACAAAGCTGTTGCTCAGGTGAGAGAACTTTCGAATTATTAGGCAAGTCCTCAATGGACCAAAACTTTTGTATCGTTGAGTCTATCGAAAGTAATTGTTCTTCTTGGCAACTTAAATTCGCTGCTCCTTCTATACTCGTTGTAGGTTGAGTAGAGCATCTGCCTGACACTATCCAGCCGAGAAGCGTTTTTTGTAATGTGGGAGACTCAGGGCCTTGCTTTATTTGGCCTACCGACAATAAGTCGAAGAATGACTCTGCTCCAATTAGCATATCAATTTTTTGCGGCTTATGGAATTGAGGATCGGCCAATTGAATATTTTTGGGGACCCTCCACCCGCTGGTGTTCACCGCTTGATCGGGATGATAACCAGAAATCGATCCCAAGATCAAAAAATCTGCGGAAAACTCGCTACAATTGACACGCGACTTCACCACTGTATGAATTCTTTTCTTGGCACGCGCATTGGTGTCTCCAATGCCGCGCAAGACCATACACGTATCCTCTCGTCTGAGCTGTAGCTTTTGAGCTAGATCCTCAGTCACAAAGTTGACTTGTGACCCAGAATCTAACAATGCTCTTGCTAAAACGAAATCGCCACTTTTCGTTTTAACGCTCACGACTGCTGTTGCAAGAACCACTCTATCCGAAGCAGTCGCATGCATGGCATGCGAAGTGGAAGAGCTATCTTGAAGATGTAGTGGCTGAGAGGGTGGTGGTAACGCAAGATTTGTGCTAGCAGTATAAATATGTAGCAGTGTGTGATGAGAACGTTGGCACACGCTACATTTCTTTGCCTTACACTTCGCTACTGTGTGGCCTCGTCGAAGACAGTTTATGCACAAAGGCGCACCTTTAGCGAAGTCAAACCTTTGCTGCACTGACAAGGCAATATATGCCTGGCAATTGCCAATCGAATGGTCAGCTGAATTGCAAAATTGACAAAGGTTATTCTGTTCGTTTTTGGCAGCAACGAACGAATGATTTATCCTGCTAGCATTTTTTACTTTTTGAGTCTGAGTGTTATTGTTCGACTGGCTGCCCTTCGCTTGAGCTTTACTAGCTTCTTCAGCAACAATATGCTGGTAGCGTCTGTTAAGAGCAGTCTCACAATCTCGCCATAGTGGGAGCGTTGTGTAGTCGAGCTGCTCTTCCCACTTCTTTTTTGTGGTAGGATCGACTTTGCCCATAACTAAATAAATTAAAATGGCATTAGCGATTTTCTTGTCGTCACCAATTGACAGAAGTGAGTCATAGGTGGCCGACACTGTGTCGATCAGGCTTCTCAAAGCTGACGCAGATGGCTGGGAAATCTTTTGCAGATTGAAAAGTGACGATATGTTATCGAAAAATATTAGGCAGTCATTATCGTACACCCGCTTTAGACTTTCAAGGGCTTTGCTATAATTGTCTTCCGTCACTTGGAAGGCGCGAACTGTGCCTAAAGCGTCACCAGCCAAACATGATATTAAGTGATTGAATTTTTCAATATCATGCAGTGTGTCATCATTGTGAACAAAAGTTTCAAAAAGACTCATGAAATTTTTAAATTCAGAATGCTTGCCGCTAAAAGTTGGAAGAGCGACCGCTGGCAATCGACACCTTGGCTTTTTTGAAGTGGGCGGTGCAATACCGTTTGCCGAACTTGAATTGTCGATGCTTTTTCTTCTTAGTTTTTCCAGCTGGCCTTTTAATAAGGATTTGGTCATAATGCAAGTTTCTTCCAACTCTTCACGGTAGTCATCTTCTGTATCTTTTGCTTCAATTTTGCTTTGCAATATATTTGCAGTTTCTATATGAGTTGTTAGAAGCTCTAACCTGCATTCTAACTCGATTGGCTCTGCTGTTCTCAGCAAGTGTAGGGGAGCGCAACAGATGGTCGTCTAGCAGTGCGAACGAAAACGAGAAGAACTGCAGTTGACTGACCGTCGAAGGCAATACTTTTGGAAGCAGCAGCGAAAGTGGCGACAAACGAAAAGAATAATTCTAATACAAATGCCTTGTGTGCGTTAGCAGAACAGCTAATTCTTATGCATGTATTATGCGAAGCGCAGGCAAACAAAAAATGCAGCAGCTTAAGCGCGAACACGACAGCAATGTATTAGCTATGTTATGTATGCGAGTATGTCGGTATATATTTACATATGTAATAACGACAACGGCGAATTTGATGAGAACAACGAGAGCAAGCAACAAACGAAAACTGCCGACGGTTGGCTGAGATTGACGTGGGGGGGATGCCGTATGTAAAAGTGGCTATGTATATTTATGTATGTATGTATGTATAACAAAATCAAACGACAATAAATTGGCACTTTAAATAATTGCCTATAGCGGTTCACTTTTATTTAATATTAGTACGACATGCGATTTATATTTGTGTTAATTATGCTCAACTATCTACCGTATTATATTATGGTCACGTATGTGCCAAAGGTTGAAAGTTGAAGGCCGAAATAAGCAATTCGCTGGTTAAATTCCACTTTCAAACTTTAGCACAGTACCTGTGAAGTCGACTTTGGCTCAGGAACTTCCCTTTGGTCGACTTGACTCATCCTCCAATAATCCAGTTGACGTGACAGCAACACACACAATCCCCAGTGCAGCAACAACAACACGACCGACGCGGTTCCGCACAAATTAAAGTTTTTAATTAAAAAAAACAAGCAAGTCCCTGCTCGGGCGCCAATGAAAATTTATATTATTTTATATAAATTATTAAAAACAAAGAAAGAATGGGACGCTTGCTTTTAACTTTTTAATGCGGAAATGCGAACGATTTGGCGACAATTGTGTTTGTATATGGTTCTATTTTGCAACTGACTTCAACTTAGGCTTACATGCTAAACTAAGCCTAAGGCGGCGAAAAAAGGGCGCGAGGCGACGTCCGCAAACGGCCGCTCTCGCGCTCTCTTTTCGCCCTAAACTAAAATTCAAATAATTCTCTTAAACTATCTTAATCTAAAGCAGCATCTGCGCCAACATGTGTGTTTCTATTGTCACACGCGCCAGGGGACTAGCCGTTCTCAGATATTATTTGGAAACAATTGCCGCGCATGCTGTGGACCCGGACCCCATACAGAGATTTGCCAGCAAATTGCAGCATTAGTGCAAACGCAAAATATTTCTATTTATTTCAGTAATTTGCCGAGGCTGTGACCCGGCCGACGTTTTGTGTCAGCTGCAGCGCCAGCGCCAGCACCACCAGCAGCAGCAGCAGCAGCAGCAGCTGCCGTCGATGCCATCAAACTTGAATTGTGCCTCAACATACTGCACTAAGCATCATCCACATCATCATCATCATCATCATTAACATCAACATCACCACGATAATCACCGATGGCTCAAAAGTCAAAGGCAATTGCCTTTTTAGTTGGTGCTGCTGCATGCTGCTTTTAACTATTGAGGAATATTTGTTTTTGACGCCCGACCCGATGACGCATCGCAGCGCTCTGTCACGCGTAGAGTCTATTTAAATAACTTATTTCGGTGCTCACGAAACTAATGTGCAGTAGCGAAGATTTGTTAATGGCGTGATTAGCAAACGTCAATAAGAATTTCAGTGAATTTTGACACCTGGTGGCACACGTACGAGTGTATGCGCGACTTAAGTGAACCATTAATGCCAACTAATTTTAGAATTATCGGCTTTTCATTAGTGTAGCTTAATAGCGTAGTAGTAGTTTAGAGAAAATAATGCTGAAAACTTTCTCAAAAATAAGCAGTTTTAATAGGATTTCACTTTTTGATTTCATAAACCCTAATTAAATCAGCAGATTTGAACAATTTTCTCTTTAAATGTTTTTAATTACAATAACTATTAAATATATTGTAAATTGTTTGCTATATAGCACACATACTATCTGATATTTGAATGATATCTTTATTATATTGAAATAATTGTCCTTTGAAGCACACCAAAATATACAAGTATATACCAATATATTATAATGGCAATAAATAGCTAAACAACATTTTTTAAAACTACAACATTTTCTTGTTATAGCTTTTCCTTAGCGTCAATATTAGAGCAAATTGATCTTTCATATTTAGTCCTTTTTTTGTTTTTAATTCCACTTCTACGTTACTTTAAACATCATCAATAAAGGGAGTATTGTTACAGCACTCTACAGATTATTACGCCAAAGAAGTGCGAAACAAGCATTTCACATTCTCCAGCACATTTCGTAAACAATTTCTCTATATATTTATAAGCTTTTACCGCCATTTTGTTCTTTCAGCACTGGAGTGTCATTTTAAAAATATAATTTGAATTTTGCGATCGTTTTATAAATACCAATAAATATTGGCAACACCTTAATCGGCTACTGAACGGATGCACGAATTACGTCAGCATTGAGAAATCTAAATTTGAAAATACTTGCAGGCAGATCTAATAATTAAATGCTTACTCCAACGCACTACATGGTATACATATTACAAAGATCTTAGTTTTCTAAAAGTACAACGGATTCTTGCCTTCTCACCCACCTTTTTGCTCAGCGCGATGTTGCTGCTCGTCGATGGTGAAGCCGAATTTGTAGGGTCGTACTGTGGTCGCACAGAGCACATAGTTCAACCACAGGGGTAACAGCTTTAATTTAAATCGAATTTTGGTTTAATAAGTTTTGTGTTACTTTCAATATTTGCATTTATTTGGTAGTATTAATCACACTTACAACACAAATGGTGAGCACAAATTTGGAGCACATTGTGCTGTGGTTTTCTAATATTCGCAATAATTTCAATTTAATTATCAATTTATTGATTTCAGGTTCTTATATTTATTTTAGCTGCTGCCAAAAGCACGCACAAGCACACTCACAAGCACAAATTCATTGAATTATATTTGTATTAATATTTATTTTGTACTACAGAAATTCGGCAAACAAAAATGTCAAGCGTGTCTTCACGACGCTGGTGTTAATTTATTTTTTGCCAAAACAAAAACACACACTGCTCCGACAATTCAAACTGCAACGAGCGCTGAAACAACACACCCCACGAGACTCGGCGACGAATTGACAAAGTTCGTTCTAGTAGGTAAACGTTTTAAAACATTGGAAGCTACCAACGAGCTGGTGGGCGAGAAAGCGCTCGTTGCCTGCCTGACAGCCTGCTAACAACCTGGCCAGCCATTATCGCCAGCTTTTAAGCTACCATTTTGTTATTGTGATGCTGTCTCGTACACACCCGATGTTGGACACGGTCTCTAACGTGAAGTTTATGTTTTTTATGTAAAGACAGAACATTCTAATTAGAAATTTTACTTCCTTGGCATTGTAATTTATTTAATTTCATTTAAATTAGAAAAACTGATTGAGCATTTCAAATTGATTTTGCTGCGGGCGTTTCGCATTATTAATCACTGATAGATGAGTAAATCGAAGTGCCAACATGACTTATGCTCAATGAAATGAGGAAGATATGGCAATAGAAATGTATTCCAAAACATTACCGATTGTTGCGTTCAGTGGGTGACGGGTAATGCACACATTAACAACAATATTTGCATATTTAATAGAAATATTGTTGTCAATTGAAGCGCAACAATGAGTGATGCTTTTCTTACAAATTTGCATGTTGCCTGCAAGTTTCCGGGGGGTAAGCAAACGCATGTCAGACATAAATATGCAGTTAATTAAAATATCACACAGAGCCACACACACACACTGATGCAAGACTTACTTGAAGGTGTTGAAGTGTGATGTTACGGCCACACATATCAACACATCCGTATACGCATATTCACCTACACATACAAAAACTGTTCGAGAATGCTGAATTATTAAGCAGCTAAAAGTATGCTACGAAGATTTATACACTGACAAGTTTCTTGCCTAAGTCATTTGATTCCAATTTTAAATACGTGATGCCGCAAAGTATGCTTCAATTTATTGTAAATCAAATAAAACTTAACAGTTTAGCTAAGGATACCAAAATTGTTTATCAGGAAAAATACAAATACACCTAATTCTGATTTTACACGGTCTTTTATATATATATATGATTTAATAAAATAAACATAAATCCTTATAGTTTTTACTGATTAGGTTTTAGAGATAAGAAACCAATTACATATTTGTGCATATGATCAATATTAGGTGTAATTATAAAATTCATCAACTTCGATCCGCTATATCCTTATTGTTGAGCATTATTGAAAATTATTTAAATTGTTCCTCTTGTAAATGATTCGCTTTATTACCACGCAATGAGACTGCGTTTGTGTCGATCAGATCCGATTTTTAAAGACATTAGACATGCTAGACAGGTAACAAAAACTGAAAAAGTGTGACCTTATGATCTGAGAATACAATTATTATTAATAGTATGAACAAAAAATTTATAAAACAATGCCATACAACTATAATTGTATCTTTGCTTTTTGTCTGCCATAAGTTTTGCAACTAAATTGCTACGTTTTTTATCAAAAAAACCCAAATGGATACAGTTAATGAGGTTGTGCAAAAACTTAAGTGAACTTACTATTAATAAGCTACACCCATGGGCGTAGCCAGAATTTAGTCCAGGGGGAAGCAAGATTTTTTTGGCTGATTTTTTACTATCAAATTATTTGCACTATACAAAAAACACATGAAAAATATGGAAAAATAGGGAAAATGAAATTCAAGGTAATGCAAATTTGAAAGAGGCGTGCAAACGGAGAGAAAAATATGTCATTTTTCTAAAGGGTGCTGCTCTCAGTTTGAAAATCAATTTATAGTATCAAGTCTAGTTAATTTTCTAAAAAGAATTCGTATGCTTCTCAGTTGAATAGAATTTTTTACAAGCTAGCATGGGGTCGGGGCAGTTATCAAAAGAAAGGCAGCTGCCCGCTTTGCACCCCCCTTTGCTACGGCCATGGCTGCACCATCAATTAAAGATTGCCAAGTGAACAAATTTTTTGTAAATGCCACTTACACATATTTTTGGGTAATTAATTTAACATTTGTAAATCACACGTCAATTTTCAGATGCCATTAAGGCACATTGGACGAAACCTATAAATACCAAGTTAAAAAGAAGTAGAACCGTTTAATGCTCATTGCGTTTATTACACAAACAGATTTATAAGCTCTGAACTGTAATTGTAAGTATGCGGCTAGGCGACTAGCTTGAATGTCGGATGATAGCCCGTCTCATCGGCGGTGAAGCTTAGTTCGTACTTCTTGCCGTCGGGTGCTGTCCAGCTGGTCGTACCTTGTACAGAAATATTTCCCTCACCCTCGGCGCCGCCACCCTTCAGTTCGCCCTCTTCACTGCGAGAGATGCCATTGCTGGTCTCATAGCTATAAGGTAAACGATGATAAGGGCTTGGGAATGCCAGATCTGAGACGCCGGACTTACGCGAAGGAGTACTTGTCCACGCCATTGTTCTCACTCTCCAAACGAGTAGTCTCTGCTTTGGAATCGTCTGACTGAGGTGCCGGCACGGCGAAGCTTGCGGTGATGAATAACGCGAGAAATAAAATTAAACGTTGCATGGTCGACGATTTGGAGGTTTTACTTGCACTTTACTGATTCCAATGACGCCGTGTACTTTGCTTTTATAGCATTTTATTGCTTTGCAAAAAATGCTACGAACATCTTTCCGATGTCCTCATCGGCAAAAAATGCAGTGCGATACAATCACACTTAAGTATAAACGAAATATTCAATAAAACACATTTTAATTGCACGTTAACACATTTTAGAAACGTAAAAACTTTATTGATAGACATACCCCCCATGTATATATATATATATATATATATATTTGTAATATTTAGCGGCTTCTGTGCTACTGTTTATATAATTGTATTTCCCCATGTAGGTGCCAAAATAGCAGCGAATAATTAAAAATGATTACGAACTCGGTAATGACTATTGATAAATGAGTGCATAATAACTTATGAGGACCCCAAAAATATGTATTAATATTCGTAACAATAGGTATGTGATTAGACTTAGCACTAATTAACGTATTCTTAGGCGCCCACTTCTGACGATATTTGTGAAAAAAACAATGACATTATGTTATATGAATACTGTTTAGTTTTATTGAAATATGTAAGTGGTTTAACACTAATGAGCTGTGCGCTGCCTTCTCAGTTGTGTGGCAAATGATCACCCTGTGGCTGGAAGCCATTCTCATCGGCAATATAGTTCAGTGTATAGGTCTGACCATCAGGGGCCACCCAGCTGACTGAGCCGCGCACACTCAACGCTTCCTGGTCAGTACCAGCGTTCTTCAGCTCAGCTTGTTCCTGGCGTGTGACGCCATCGCTGGTCTCATACCTGAAATAAACAAAAGGCGATGTTATTTCAAAGGCTCTTCTTATTCAAGCACAGCCGATTAAAAACTAATTAGTGTTCAAAAAAAAGTTCAAACGGTATGACTTACTATTAATGTTACAGTTCAAATATATATTTAAACTAAACAGAACAGACTAAGACTCTTCAATGCTATTATAATTGAAACTGAATTGATGTTAAGTTAAAAACAGTTATAGTAGTAATAAAAGTCCTTATCGTGCTACTAGAACTATGAAAATACTTGGAAGTGTGGTAAAGTAAACAAAAAGTAGAAAAGTATTTCTAGTGGCTGTTAAAAAGTAGTTGTAGAGTAAAAGAGGAATTGGAGGAATTCACAACTTTTGTTTCCACTGCAGTAGTTGCAAATTCATGAAGTTGTGAAAGGTCTTGTAACGTTTTAGTAAAAGTGAGTAGTAGGATTAGTAGCAGTCATAGTAGTAGCTCTTAGAGTTGAAGTTTCAGACTAGTAGTACTTAAGGAGTTGCATTATTATGGTCAGAATGTCAAATAATTGGCACGTGAATTGTCGGATTTCGCGAATACGTTATAAATGTAGTGTTAATTCAATCGAAATCAATAACAATGCTAACGAATAAAGAGTTATCACCTCTTTAAGGTGCGGTTCTCACTACTTGTGCAGTAATAGTAAAAGTAAAAAAGTTCTCTGGAAGCTATTCAATCCTTTTTCTTACGCAAAGTTGTATCCGTCAAGACCGCCATTGTCGTTGTCGTAACGCAAAATTGTCGCCTTATCCGAGTCATCCAAAGGAGCGCCACACACCGAAGCGGCGAACACTACGAAGCATACTCCAATAACGTAGAACTTAGCGGACTGCATTTTTAATTTGTGTGTTTGATTTGTTTATAAAGTCAAAACTAGAAGTCGAATTTTAGTTTAGGGTTCGGTTTCACGGGACCGTGTACGCAGATGTAGTTATCACAATTACGCGCTAACGAGTTATGTGGGACCCTCTAATAAGTGTACTGCTATTTATACTTGGTCTTGCCTTAAATGTAGCCAGACTCGGGCACATCCACACGCCAATATTAGCACACCACTACCTGTACGCACACGCATACAAACAAAAACAAACCTACAAAATTACTAAAGGCTAAGTAGCAATAACAAACACCTTAAGTGCACAAAAAATTATATAATTGAAGTTGGGCAAGCATTGTGTAGCGGGTGTGTGTGTGTGTGTGAGCGAGAGGGTCTTAAGCTTTTAATTGAACAAGCCAAGACCATTAGGCGTCGGATTTGCGTGTGCCGTCCGATCATTTACGAGTACGTGTGTATCTCATTTCAATAGCCCACATGCTGGTCAAGCAGAAGTAGTCTTGAAGATGATGCGAGTGTTAATGAAATCTGTTTACAATAGCATATTTATACAAACATGTGGATATATGGCAATAGGTCAATGCCTGACTAAACAAATTAGACACAACTGATTAAAAGCCAAAATAAAATAACTTCATTAACCTGCACACACGACAAATATAGAGTGTAACTAAGAGGCTGAATAATACTCCACTACCCGTAGTTACCTTTTAACTAAAAGTTGAGAAAGTTATTTGTTTTTACAAGTAGTTCCGATTTAAGGCTCATTATTGTTTTGTTATTATATTTTAATTCTTAGAAGAATGCTATCGAAGTTTTGAACAAACTGTAATTAGTGCAGCAATTTACACTTAAAAATATAATTATTGTGTAGCTTGTTTTTCGAAAATAGTAAAAACTGTGCTACGAGAATTGGGATGATCAAGTTCTAAACACTAACAAGCAGCATTTGCCTATCCTTTTTCACTTTTAGTATTCACTTATTTGCAATACACTTATTTATTAATAACTATAAATGCTTTTCAATTATATGGAGGGATAACAAATTTGTTGAGTATATTTTACCTTAAATGGTATACTTAAATTTTTAGGATTATGTGGTCCATTATTATATTAATGTAAATTTCATTAATAATAATTTTATAGAAAATAAATTATTGTATAAAGAAAGTGTGGGAGGTTTGAATAAATTTAATATATTGTTGTAAAATAATTCTTATCACTAATGTTGGTATCAGTTCTGTGTTATATTTAATATGAAAACATACAGGCATAAGGCCTTTTAAAATATTAAGTATTCAGTTAAATTAAGTAACATTTGAAAATAGTTTTTCATTACTTCCTGATAATAAGTTGCTTATTGCTGAAATTTTAATACTTTAGGCATCTGTGAACTGGAAATACATACAAGTATATGCAGAAACTGCTTTTATATCTACGGTTTTTATGACATGGTTTTCATCGAAAAAGCTACAAGCTAGTTGAAGCAACAATGGTCGACGAGTTACAATTAAATGTTTTTCTGGCTTTCAATTCCAGCCCTGTGCGAACTCTACTAAAAGTAAATAGTGAATATTTTCAAGAACCACAAACTAATTATGAATGGTATGGGTGGTATGGAATGTTATGGGAACAGAGACATGTCAAGCATATTCGGGGTCACCCAAGTACTTCCTAGAGTAGACTTGAAATGAATCAGTGGGCTCTGCCCGATAAGATGGCAGAGTATTTATTTATAATTGCTGTACGCGTTGACCACCACAACCCAGACGATGTTTCGCAGACAACTAGATAAGTACGTACAAGTATATACGATTATGTATGTATGTATATATACTTGTATATACATTACCTATTAGAGCTACAAAGATGTGCGGGCGCGGCAATTTCAACACGGTAAGCAAAGATGCGGCACAAGATTTGAGTATCACATCAACCTTAATGGTTGCTGCTGAGATTGTGTGTGTTGATGACCTTAGTCAATAAATAAAGTCTTGTTTTCGTATTCGTATTCGTATTCGGAGAACTGCATAAGTCGAAAAGCCGAAGCAAAACAATAACAACTGAGGATCAGTCCGACTGTGTTTTTCTTTCTATTTTTAGTGGATCATCACGTGGCATTTAGTTGTAGCAATGCGTCCCGTGTCCGTGCTCTACAAGTGTCCAAGAGCACAGCGCATGCGCAGCCAATGCTGTCCCACGGATTGTGTTGTGAGGTCAATTTTTTGGATTTAGGGCTACGTTGTCTGGGTGCCGCATCGATTGTTTTGCATTGAAGCAGCTGAGAGGCAGCGGCAACCAAATGATTAATGATGCCCCAAACAAATCATTACTTACTACTGAAGATGCCACCGCTAATTGGCGAACAATGACGCATGAATATGTGGCATTTGTATTGTGCTCGTAGGTGGCAGCTATTGTGCAACAGTCTCTGCGCACTGACATTTACGCTTGAGATCTCATTTATCACAGTTCATAGAGCTGTAGAGCTGTTGTCCCCAGGGGAAGGTGTGAGGACGCAAACTCTTCAAAATCTGCCTCCGGTTTGCTTTCACGCAGTTCTTACTTTCGTTCGACAAATTCCTCGAATGAGTTTTTGCTCACTTTTTGTGATAACTATTACGGAACCGGTTTATTATAGCATACCAAATTAAAAATTTAAATATACTCGCTTTAAACAATAAAGTAAACAAGCAACGGTGATTTGGCTCGAAGCACCGAAGATGCTGTACTCTCCCCCAAACAATGCTGCATAACTGAATATTATTCAGAATAACTGAAGTTTTTCATTTCTGATCCAAAAGTGCTGTTAAAACTATTCTTCCTATTGCATTTCCAACAACAAATGATTCTAATTATAATTTCAGTTACTTGAGTTAAGGGCATTAAGATGCATTGTAGATAAGCATCTGTAGATGCAAAAGTTTACATTTTTAATTATTTATAGGTTTCAGTGTACTTGTAGTCACGAATCAGTCAACTAACACGCTAACACTTACTTAAATCTCCGGCTGTTAAAAACAATATACTGGCTCACATTAAAGCAGACTTGGATGATATTTACATATAATGACTTATCTGCATTGCAATTGATTTAAGGAAGTTAAATAGTAGGACTTAAACGTAGACTTCATTACTAGAAGAGTTTAGTCTCAATTAACAATTACGAGAAGAATTATCGGAAATTTGTCTTTTTTATATATTAAATAAAGAAATTGGAATAGTTGTGGCTTAACTAAAAATAACGAAACATGCAGCTTCTTATTTTTAGGAAGAAAAAGTATTTACTCGCTTCTCTAATCGCTCCGATTAAGAGTGTCCCAGAGCAGTGTAAAATAACTCAATTGCTTGTGAAATCTGAATTATATCGGAAATATCGCACAAACAACCACCAACACGCCTCAACAAAGCAAATCTGGTGCACGGAAAATGGGGGTAAAATCTGGTAGGTAGTGCTTCCATTGCTCCAGATTTGTGTTCCAAGTTTGAAGCAAAATGATTGAGCTAGTGTTTCGGGAGCGTTGTTGTCAAAGGTGTTAAAAGAACCAAATTCAGAGAATAAAATATCAGATTGAAATTTGTATATTTAATTAGCATATGGTCGTACTAAGCAGGAAAGATACTCAGAGTTTTTACGCGAACGCTGCATAATAAAAAATAAATATTTTTTCTTAAACATTAAATTTTGCAATTCAAGTTTTTTACGCACAATAGCCGGACTAATCATCGGCAACTATGGCGCACAGTCGGGTTGCACCCAATTGAGTATGTCCTTCACGCATACGACCTTTACGACTGTACGAGTGTATATACTATATAGTAGTATAGTGCCGGCATCTTTCAACTCGACCATCCTCTGGCACGACTTCTGGTCGGTCTCACAAAGCTGTGCAATTAAATTGAACCTACACAGTTGGCATTGTTGCATCACAGAAGATTTATTTCGCCCAACTCAAAGTAATGGTTTCCTTATTATATACGGCTTGGCTAGCTGCTAATCCAGTTCAAATCAGAAGAATAGAAAAATTGAAAAGGGTTGTCCCCTTTACTTCGATTTGTGTCGTGCTATTTGCACTTGAACTAAATTAAACTATGCTGTCGCTGACACCATTTCCAATCACCATGTCAATGGCCAACTTTACTTTATTTATATTGGACTTGTATATTTATTGTTTTCATCCGAGCATTTCTTGCAACTCATGCGCCGGGTCGGGAGTATTACGAGTGTGTACGTGTGTGTACGTGTGTGTACATGAGTTTGGCGTGGTCTATTGTTTTTAGCACGCATGGGCGAGGGGCTCACTCCCTAATCAATCAATCTCATCAATGGCCAAACACAACTATTGGCAATGGCTTGCTGGTAGACTGTTTAAGTGACTGACTGACTGACTGACTGACTGAGTGACTGACGCACCAACTGAGTGTGTATCGTGTACCACTAGTTAGCACGCTGACAGGTTAAGTAATAATCGAACTGTGGCACTGGCGCTCAACTATTGAGGCCAAAGGAAAGAAACAAGTTTCGATGTGTGGTTGCTGTTGTAAAAAGCTGTACGAGTAATTATTGCGCTCCGGTGCAGGAATTGCCGGCATCGTCGGCATCGTCGGCATCATCGGCGTCGTCGTCGACTTCGTGAAGACCTATAAATTGGCTGTGCAGTTTCCGAATTGTATGCATTAATTGAAAGTTCCTCGAACATTTAACTTTGTACATTGATCCGCCAACAACTCCAACAATCTCCAGTCATCATGAAATTCGCTTCTGTCTGCCTCTTTGCCTTGCTTGCCGCTTGCGTCTCTGCCGCACCGCCCGCTGCTCAGCAGGAGGCGCAAGTCTTGCGCTACGACTCCGATGTGCAGCCCGAGGGCTACAACTTCGCGTAAGTAACGTGTTCAAGTAACGCCACAATAAGTGGGTCACGCTTTCAGGGCCATGGCCTTTGCTCTACTATGAAACTTCACAATCGTTACAGTGTGGAGACCAGCGATGGCAAGTCGCACCAGGAACAGGGCGAGCTGAAGAACGTGGGCACCGAGAACGAGGCCATCGTTGTACGCGGCTCCTTCTCCTATGTGGGTGATGATGGCCAGACCTATACCATCACCTATCTGGCCGATGAGAACGGCTTCCAGCCAGAAGGCGCACATCTGCCCCGTGCCGTGCAATAAACTGGAATGCATTCACTAAGTCAGCCAACAGTCATTCAGTCTGTCTTGGCCCAATTGTGTTAACTATATTTTAAGTCTTGTCTGAAATATATGAGAATTATTTCATTTGTTGCAAATTTAAATTGTTTCACTTCTTCCCATTTATCATACCCCGTTTTTAAGAGAGCATATTATTGTTATTTATATTTGAAGGTGATAATTGGCTCCGAAGAAATTGGGATAAGAATTGATTGATGCGAATTTATTGAAGACTAGTCTTGAATTATTCGCCCCTTCTTCACATGCTACCATGTATTTGTGGATATCGTAGGAAATACGTACTCTTGTGGTCCGGTTGTCCCATTATTCATATTTATAACATAGAATATCTCAAATTAATAAAAGCCATATTTGCAAACAATAATGTAGTTTTGTGAATCGAAGTACTTCCGCACAAACATTCGGTCGATGCTGGATTTTACCAAACGGTTCTAAAAAACAGTGTGCTAGGTTTTGTCGCTGGTATGGTAATTACAAATTCTATACAAAAATAAATTTGTCTCTTTTTAAAGCAGTTGTGGCATATACTCATGCAAGTATATATAGTATATTAACAAAATTTCTGTTATCTGTTAACGGTTCTATTTAAAATTCATTATTATTTAACCTTTTAAGCAAGCCCATTTTGATTTGCAAAATTTAACCACGGGTCGACAGCCCTAGCGATCTTTCTGTTTGAATATTGCTAGTGGAGGAAGGGAGGCTTTATTTTCTACATTTGATTGTGTTCCTTTTAAGTTAATACAAATTCTTATAAATATTTTGGCTTAGTATCAGATTGTCACAAATTATCTTAAAATTTCAGTTAGTTAGTTAGCTTGATTGAAGGTCCGGCAAGATATGCCCCGACTTACAGCCACAAGTGGTCATAGATTTGACCGGAAAATGTATAGAGAACAGTTTCTTTTTAGAATAGAGGGATACTTCTCTTGAAGTTAAGTGAGGAAGGTCGTCATAAATATTCACGTAATCAGGTAATTAGCCCGTAAACGAGTCGGTTGTGCATCTCGACAAGACGAATGGAAAATAATTCCTAGTTGGTCTACAAGAAACTGAGAAGTTAAGTAGACCGAAGAGAGCACAGGAGTCTACATCACCAATAACCAGCTTGTGGAGAAAAACAAGACCAAGAACAGTGGTGGACCAAAGTGCTAATGATGGAAGGCTTATGAATCTGAACAGACTCAATACGTTAATGATGCTTTCAATACTGCGAACACCAAGCGCAGGGCGTAATTTTATTTACCTACAATAGTAGCATCACTAATTTAAAGAATTGTACATAAAATCTAAGAACAGTTATGAGATAGGTCATGGTCCATAAATGAATTAATCTAATCTATATACAAGGTTATGGAAACGCCCCAGATTTATTTATTTGAATTCATCCTCAAATACCTCGTTTCGCTTTCGATTTTCGGAGATATTTGTATGCTGGTAATGCGCCTTGTGGTCGACCCTTTTGGACAACTAGTTTCGTGTTTGCCTCCAAATGGTATTGTTTGATTGATTTACGATTAATGCAAATGCGACGCACAAAGATGATGATGAGCCATGTATTTCCTATAAGCCGCGAGCTAGCCGAATAAGCGTGGATTTTTGTTTATTTTTTAGAATTTTTTTGTATTGTGTTTGTTAGTGGCAGCAATTTGTAGATTCGACTGAAATCCAACTTGTCAGGTTAGGCGCTTGCTGGGTAATTAGTCATTTTTATTTTCGACCAAAGTCGTCTTGGGCTGCGGTTCGCTATAAAATAGCATCGACGGCACCACAGACAACACAAATCAAACAGAGTGCACTGTCAGCTCAGTCGTAAGATCAAAGATCGCCAAAAACAAAATACTCCTATAAGCAATATGAAGTACCTCATCGCTATCACTTTTGCCGCCTTGTTTGCCGTGGCCCTGGCCGCTCCTGCCCCCGACGCTGAAGCCACAATCCTGCGCCTGGAGTCGGATGTTCAGCCCGAGGGCTACAAATTTGCGTAAGCGAACATTCATTCAGACATTGATGATCAGTCATTAATTTTGGTTTCATTTATGATCTTGGGCCCATTCCAGACTGCAGACCAGCGATGGCAAGACCCACGAAGAGCAGGGTGAGTTGAAGAATGCTGGCTCAGAGAACGAGGCCATCGTCGTCCGTGGATCTTTCTCTTTCGTCGCCGATGACGGACAGACCTACACTGTCAACTATATCGCCGATGAGAATGGATTCCAGCCAGAGGGCGCGCATTTGCCAAATGTGCCAATTGGTAACTAAATCTGTGGACAATACGAAACCGAGAGCTGTTCTTTATTTAAGAGTTTTTGCTTGATATATGAAATATATATGTAGCAAGAAGCTAGAGCAAAAAAATCGTCTTTCTCACTAGCACATTAGGGGCTTTAAATATGCTTTTTAATATGCTAAGCTGATATTGATTTTTTTTTAAACAGACGGGGTTAGGAACTGATTAAAGTTTGCAAGTTCTATATCTTTATTAAATCAACACGATTTTTTCTGAATTTGGTCAATCATAAGAAGGTCAAGCCTTAGACGCGTGGAAGATGCTCGCCTTCAGGCTGGAAGCCGTTCTCATCAGCCACATAGGTGACCTTAAAGTGCTGTCCGGTCTTCTCATCCACCCACTCATAAGAGCCGTGCACAACAATGGAATCTTCATCCTTGCCCAGGGACTTCGCCTCGCCCACACCTTGGACAGCAGTGCCATCGCTGGTTGCCACACTGAATGAGAACAGGAATAGGAATAAGAACACAGGCCACCATAAGCTGCAGATTCACTTACTCCCAGCTCCACTTGTCGGGCAGTACATCCGAAACGCTCTTCAGAATTTCTACATCAGGCGCAGGTGCTGCCAATGCGCAGGCGAAGAGAGCGGCAAGAACGATAACGGCTGCGAATTTCATGTTGATTGCTTTAGGATGGGATGGTCTTAGTAGACTGCACTGCCAGACTCCCAGATCGGTCTGCTTTATATATCGCAGATTAGCGCATTTGCATACAGTATTTTGCTACTTAATATTGCATTATTCTGTTATCATTATTATGTGTTTCGCAACGAGTTATAGAAATGTTGCAATCAGAATAACTAGTTCTGCTCTTCAAATTAAAAACAGAACAAAACGCGTATATCTTAAAAATGCTCCCAAAAGTTCATATGTTTAACTTGATTGGCAAGTCACATTGTGCTTGTTGCTGCTCTAGCGACGAATCATTGGATTGCTTTGGAAGAAAGTTATATTAAATGAGGTTCCGGTTCTGGCTATTGACTGAACGAAAGCGGCTTATAGGGGCATGAGCCAATAATTTCTGCCTGTTTTTCAATGGAATGAGATACTCTTATGTAAGGAGTCGTTCCAAGTTCTTTACAACATTACAAAACAGACGAACTGACACTTTTCGATTTGCATAACTAACTAAACATTTTAATAGATTGACTTGAAGACCAAAGCAGGTTAAACTTAAATATTTAAATACGTATGTTTTGTTATGTCATTATAGTGAAAAGAAAATTTGAAAAACAATTTAAATTTTTCTTGAAAAATCATTTAAGAGAGTGAGGATGGAATACTCAAAGAGCTCGAACAGATTGTTTCGCTTAAAGGTCAAAAGAAAATTTGAAAAACATTTTAAATTTTTCTTGAAAAATCATTTAAGAGAGTGAGGATGGAATACTCAAAGAGCTCGATCAGATTGTTTCGCTTAAAGGTCAAAAGAAAATTTGAAAAACATTTTAAATTTTTCTTGAAAAATCATTTAAGAGAGTGAGGATGGAATACTCAAAGAGCTCGATCAGATTGTTTCGCTTAAAGGTCAAAAGAAAATTTGAAAAACATTTTAAATTTTTCTTGAAAAATCATTTAAGAGAGTGAGGATGGAATACTCAAAGAGCTCGATCAGATTGTTTCGCCTAAAGGTCAACTATAAAGAAAGTTTCTTTTTTGATGACATTATTTTATTGGTTGATTGAGGGTAGCTGCTGTCTTTTCGGATGTTTCATCTGTTTGGCATTGACCCCTTTGACTTATCAGATAAACTTTATGAATAACAAGGCGTGCCTGATTTTGCAAAAAACATATAGAGGGTATATATTTTGAGCTTCATTTCATAACAGTTACAATTGCTTAACAATACACGACACTTATAGACTGACTTTAAAACGGAGAGCACTTCACACGTCACAACATCGTCAGGATTTCGCGACCCCACGACTATGTACTTCATTCTCTACAGGCTAGTTGCAGTTTAAACAGATCAGATTTGGCACAGAAGGATTTCTCACTCTCTCCATCGCCATCATTCGCCTCACTTAGGAATGTGCGCGCCCTCTGGCTGGAAGCCATTCTCATCGGCTACAAAGTTGATGGTATAGGTCTGGCCATCAGGCGCAACCCAGGAGATGGAACCCCGTACGGAAAGCGACTCGTTCTCGGTGCCAGCGTTGTTGACGACAGCCTCCTCCGTTCTCGTAGTGCCATCGCTCAGCTTGTAGCTAAACTTGTAGCCACCAATACCAATGTTATCCACTTCGGACTCGAGGATCTCCACATCTCCTTGAGGGCGTGCGCTGCATGTGGCGGCCAGCGCCAGCAAGCCAACGACTAGCATCTGAGGATGTGAGGGAGGGTGTGAACGAGTGTCTCAAATGAGAGAATACTCAAATAATTTACCAATTTCATATTGTCGGGCGGTTATCGAACAATTCCACGAGAGGTGCGCGCTGGAGCTGCGTTACGTTTGGGCAAAGTACCGAGCACCTAATGGTGCAATTGCAGCAACGAAGATGCGTTTTATACTCTTCAACTATAGAATTTTCAAACATCATAAATTTGCGCAATTGTAGAAGACAAACGTTGTGGTCCGACGCTAAACTATTCAATTTACCACGACCAGTGCAGCGATGCGCCGAAGTCGCCGGGACAAGTAACATTTAACGTCGATTTGTGCATTGCATTTGTGCATTTTTTGGAATTTGTTCTTTTTCGTCTTAAATCAACTTGGCGCATGCGTAAACCATTTGCCTTTTCATATGCATGGGCAAACAATTCATATCTGTGTGTGTGTGTGTGTGTGTGTGTGTGTGTGTGTGTGTGTGTGTGTGTATGCTTGTAAACTGACGACCTTGTCGCGTGCGTCACAACGCCGAAAGATCAATAAACGTTACATGAATCAAGCTACAAACAGCTATAAAGTGAAGCACAACGGTTAAGCTCGCATTAAGGCCAATTTAAGCTGCATTCGTGCTTGACTCTTGGCATATAGATAGGATGACCTCTCCGCCGAATTAATATGTTCTCTTAACAAGCGACTGCAAAAGCCTCCAAGCAATTCAAGCACTACCCGCAAAAAAACCAATGCATCTGCCGTTTTTACTTGTATTAACCTATGCATCTTCTTCATCTACCAATTTTATTCCACCTCTGCTGACCGTTACAAGTCAAAGAAAAAGCAGACGTCGCAAATCTGGCAGCGAGCCGGTCAGTCGAGTTTTTGGCTTTGGTTCCATTGCTTGCCAAAGTTGGCAAGTTGTCCACATACTTATGCATATATACTCGTATGTGCTCGTACATATCGGCATGCAAAATAATGCAAAAAAAAAAAACGAAGCTGTTGAGAATTTTGCTGATATTTTTATTTTGCTTCTAAACCTATACAGCTTTTGAGCTAGAAGCCCGATAAATTTTATTTCATTTCTAATTCGTGTCTCTAAAAGCTAAAAAATTTCACTTAATTACAAAACAATTAAGAAGCCATTTGTTGCCAATTTTCGGAGGCAAATCGACAAATAACTATGGAATTTCCGCCCTTTAGATTTTTTTTCTGGAATGGGAAAAATGAGGGAACACAAAAAAATGACAGAAAAGTATTCATGAATATATATTCTATATAGTGATTTGTTCTATACCCAAAAAAAACATTTTATTTCATTCCTAATTCGTGTCTCTAAAAGCTAAAAAATTTCACTTAATTACAAAACAATTAAGAAGCCATTTGTTGCCAATTTTCGGAGGTAAATCGACAAATAACTATGGAATTTCCACCCTTTAGATTTTTTTTTTCTGAAATGGGAAAAATGAGTGGGGAACACAAAAACAAATGACAGAAAAGTATGCATGAATATATATTCTATATAGTGATTTGTTCTATACCCAAAGAAAACAACCCTTGTGAATATTTTGTATACTACTCTTCAATAAATAGTCTGACTTTATGTAACAAGCAGAAGGTGGCGTGGATGTTTTAATGCCTTAACCTAATCTAGGTGTATTTAATCATATATGTATATATCATATGATCGAGCGAAGCAAAAATATGTTAGTTATAACATTTGTATAGTACTTCATGAAAATCTGAAGCTTCATAAAATATATTATTCGGTTCTAAGCACAAATCAAAAGACAGGCATTTTGGGGGCATTTCAAGTTGTTCCAGCACAGACTGGTCGCCATCTTCTGAATTATAAACCATAGACAAATTTTGGAATGTTCAACAAACTAATTATCTCACAACTATCTGTTTGCGTCAACCAACATTAAAAGACAGAACAACTGAGTCCATAAAATATCCGTACGTTGCTTTTTCCCTCATTCTTTTGAAAAAGTGGTCGACATGTGAGCGGACCAGAACATTTAATGTTGCTGCTTGTATACTAATCTATTAAGTTAGCTAAAGGTTTGTACTGATCTATTAAGTTAGCTAAAGGTTTTTACTCTGTCGCTAACGATGATTGAGTCCAATTTTGATCTTTCTCTCTAACTTGCAACAACAAACTCACGTAGATATAATGTGAAGGTATTTACAAATTGGGTTGCTTTTGGTTTGATTTGCGAAAATTTGTGAAATTTCAACAAAAAACACAAGTTTTGTTTATATTAAGATTTTTAATGTGGAAACCACGATCATTATTATTGGCTTCCTCGTGCACAACCGCAACAAATATTCATTCATAGTTGACCTACGACCTTTCGAAAGCCACTGACTATATTTTTGTTGTTATGTGTGTGTGTGTGTGTTTTTTTTGTTTGTTTGTTTTGGAGGACGTCTGCAGCACGTTGCAATTAACAAATTGTGTTGGCATTTAGTTACGATATGTTATGGGATTTGCATACTTTACACTCTTTGATGCTGTGCCTGAGATATCTGTAATAAAATGTTTATGTGTTTTAAAGAGAATGTGGGTGGCATACACAGACTAGTTTGCTAGTAAATCAATAGCCATCAGAGCTCGCAAATGCATCGATTGATATTCAAATTGCACAATCCCAGTAGTTACTGACTGACACCTGCCCTTTACGAGTAGCCAGCGCCCCTTACTCAAATGACATAAATCAGAGTCATTACATCAATTTTTTTCTGTGCTGTCGCTTTCAATACACGCACACACTTCGGTCCGTAAAAAACCACGTCAAACATACAAACCACTTGGTACTACATACTATACGTAGCATTTAAGTGCGACTGTCGGCTTCGCGCTTCTCCTCATACTCGTATACCACCACGTCTTCAAGGTCAGCTCCAGCAGCTGTTCGACCGCTACCGATTGTGGTTGGGAGTTTAGTGAGCAGCTTTGCTGGGTCTTTCATCTTTGTCCATTTGTCCGACACTCTCAGTCTCATGTTGGCGTTCAGCTCTTCGGCTCGATAATTTCTTGTTTTAACAAAATCTTCAGCCACACCATCAGTTTCGTGTTCGACTTCGACTTCTGCGACGTTGACGGTGATGGCACTATGTGGGACCCGAAAATTAGCACCTCGATGTTAAAGGTAATGTTTTCAAAATTGTTGATGGACTTGTTTTTCGGGCCGAAAATACTTCTGCTGGCATTTAACATTCAGAATAGTGCGTGTAATATAATCTTATTGTTGCTTATGCAAATTTTTTTGCACGTATGCATCGTTTAGTCGACTGGGCTTTGTTTACGGCCTGGGATAGTTGCGTAATAAACCGGCTTAAAGCAATTTTAAATTCATACATATATATTTTTATATATGTTTGATTATTTGTGTTTGCTTATGCATGTTTATACACTTAAACATATTCACACATTTCTATTCATCTTTGTATCTTCGACATAAAACATAGAAAAGGCATTCAAATAATTGTGCTACCCCACCTACTATGTATAAGAACCTGTTTATAAATCTAATGTAGTTCATTGATCTATAAAAAGTAGTCCAGATAAGTTGAACTATTATTCTTAATTTAAATCGGTGCACTTCGCAATAGACTTTTATGTGGCGTATTTCCTTTTTAATTTGCTGGTGCTGGGAGAGTCTGCCACAGAGACGATGAAACGGGTTTAACAACTGAAATTAAATTAACATTAAATTTCGATGCCAACAAGTGCACAAATAAGCTATTTTACTTTTGAAATTTTTAAATTATAAATATAATAAATATGAATTGAGTAGAGTCCAATATCCCGCTCAAAACTAACAAAAAATAAGACTTTTTAACCAGAAAATTCACGAATTTAATATTATCTTTAAAAATATCCAAGTTGACCAATAATTAGTAAATAATGATGCAACAATCTTCAAAGCCATACGAATTATCTCGCTTAAACAAATGCCCCAAAATACAATAAAAACATGACCAGCCTCAAAACTCTTTTGACAGTTTCACCAGAGAAACCACAAACCCACAATTACCGACAATAAGAATGGTTAGATATACGCGAATCGAAATCTACTTACTCAACAGCACTCTCTTTTAAAAGAGAACAATCTGTACTAAATATTTGATACCTACCTTCAGCAAGAGTAAGAGCAGCAGCAAAAAGCAGAAAATTGATCGCATTGATCACTAAAAATGTAACATACAAAGAACTATCAAGACTGGAAAACTTACACTGAGACACACAAAATTCACAAACCCATATTATTCGAACAAAAACATTTTTAAATTCTGTGCATTCTATCAAATAAATACTAATCGAATGTCCCATACTAGCAGCCACTTGTAGCCAGTACATCCCAATAGACAACAATAACAAAAGACATGGATAAATAAAACTAATCATAAGCCACATAAAAACCAATATGAATCGCAAAATATATTTTATATAAATAAGTTAGATTTATATTGTAAATGTATATAGTAAATATGTAATCGCTTTAGCCATGCATAAACTACAAATGATCTCAACAAAAGTATATAGTATGACTAAAGGCCCTAATTGCTTTAAAACTAACAATTATATACTACTTTAAATGCTAATATATATATATATATACAAGTATTTTCTCTATGTATAGACAATAAATAAAAAACTTCTGCTCGATATACTCGTACTTTTATAGGTAAATAAAAAAGATAAACAAACTCAATTTTGAATTTGAAGGTTGTTGCGAATTTAACATTTTATTATACTTGTAGTCACATGCAAATTTTGAAATTTGTTTCATAATGGATGCAAAAAATAAATTAGTTTACTTTTTGCTTTGGTTAAAGACTGCTGATGAATGTGTTACTTTTTAGCGCAATTTAAGCTGACATCGAATTTATTCGACAGTCACATTTATCAAATTGTTGCTATGCATTTTATAATTATACAAGTATAGATATATTAATTATTTGTGTGTTTGTCTGTCGGGGGGAGGGGGCTGAAAGCATAGTTTCAAGCACGAAAGGTGATCAGTTTTTAAAAATGTGCAGCATACTTTTGTGCTGTAAATTAAAAACCATCAAGCTGATGTTGCACAACGATGTTTAGTGATAAACAATTGATATATTATATAGAGAGAAAAAGGTATGATTTATACTCTTGCATTTTATTATCACTTATTAGCTTTTGGTCTTGCGAAGGCGTTTATTTTGGTTTTATAAAAATAAACTTGTTTGCTTCCATTAATATTTTATATGTATTAACTGATTTACATGTTTTTATTATTTCGAAAGCAAAAAAAAGTTTTAATTAAATACAAAACTGCAATGTTTTATTAACTATATGTAATAACAATAACAACTCCTACGAAACTTAATTAATCAATGCGTAAACTAATAAATGCCAGTAGAAGGGATCGAAAAATTCGTATGATCACTGAAATGGGTTGGACCTCCATATTGGGGCTTAGCCTGCGAGCGATTGCAGCGACTTTGGCGCCAGCTTGCGATTTTTCACGCCCGGACGCTTCGGAGGACGTTCATTACGCTTATAGTTATTGGCATTGACCTGATCCTGTTGTGGAGTGTCCCCAGTGAGTATAATACCCACCTCGTCGCGCCTCGATCCATCTGCCAGTCCATAGCTGAACGGTTGAAATATATCAGAAAGTAAGTATACACGAGGAATCCAAAAATATTAGCCCAATCGACTATACTCACCCATATTTGTAACCGTTGCCAGTGGGTAGATAGATAAATTGCTCAACTATCACATTGCCCAATTGTATGTCCAAAACTGTGCCGGGTGGAAATGAAGCGTTGCCTACGGCTAAAGAACAGGCCAACAGTAAAAGACACTAGCCACAAGAATAATTGGTAACATCTATGAATTTCTCTCTCCAACTGCTTCAAATTCAACGCTTACCTTCAGCAGCATGTTGATGGCAAATGATTTAAATGTGCAACAGGTGTCAGACGATGCTACATTCGAAATGAAGCGCAGCTCTTCGACGGCGCTTTGCAAACCCTCCACAAGCCTGAGACATGGAAAACATAATGAGATTGGATCCAAAACAAAAAGTTGCTGCGTAAGCTTGCTGCGCAACAACAATTGGTCAATCGATGGATGTATTTAGTGTTGATTTGTGGTAGTCAGAGATTTGCATAACGAAACCGAAAAGAGCGAAGACGAACCAAACATACACAAGCTCTGGGCCCTGCTGTAAAAATGTTGATTCCACTTTATATGTCGAACACGCAACAAAAAGAAAACTAAAGAGTGGACTTATAAAATGCATATAAGTCGAAATGCCGAATCGTATACAAAAACTTTACTTGAGCTTAGCCTAGCTTGGGTTAGCGTAGCAAGCAACCATTTTGAGCTTAATCTAAGCTTAATACACTGAGAAAAAGTGTGCTTTGAATTTAATTGCAAGAAAGTAACGCTTCTATGTTGTTGGTGTTAGCTGTTCCTCTTCTTTGATAATTTTTTCCTGCTTTTCTGGCACCTTCTCCGACTGTTTTTCAGATTGCTTTTCCAGCTGCTTCGACGACTGTTTTTCCGGCTGCTTTTCCAGCTCATTGGCTGGTTTTATCTTATGAGCTGTCACATAGGGTTGAAAGCCTTTGCTATTCGCCTTGTAAAGCACTTGATACCTATAACCATCGGCTGATATAAAGCTATAGCCACCACGATATTCTACTGGTTTTTCCGAAACTTTTTCATCCTCCGCCACTTTTGATTTCGTCGATTTGATCATGTAGGTAATGTTCTCGGAGCGCTGATGACCGTTTTCAGTTTCAAAACTGCAAAGTTAATAATATTAATGACAAATCTATAGATGCTAAGCAATCGCTCTTACCCGAAATGCATTGTTTCGTGCTTCTCACCATTGTCTAATTGTCCTTCATTCGTCTTTTCTATGGCCGCTGATGATGCCGCCCATGCCAAAGATAGTGACCATAAGCATAGAGATAGCTGTCATGAAATAAAATTAATGTGAGTAACACCGCAAAAAGCTTGAATTCATTTAACAAACCAATTTCATTGCGATTTTGCGTCTTTTATTTGATTTCAAATGCGAAATAATAAACTGCGCTGCTTTAAATAATAACGATGTTCTCACAATCGTCTTTAAATTCCAACTAAAATGCGGACCGAAATGTTTGCGCCAAGAACTCTTAAAACTGAAAACAAAATCTTGTCTACCGGCGCGCTGCCATCATCAAGCTACTTGTTGTTGTCCACATAGGGTTGCGTCATAATTTATGGCACAACTTTATTCTAAACCGAATGCGAGCGCTACTTGACAAACCTTGGCTCAGCAATGCGGAGTGCAAAAAATTTACTATTTGTTTCAAATAGATGAGAATTAATGGTTCTTGCAAAGACTCTTTAGTGAATGAATTTTTATGATTTCTAGCTCTAATAATAAATCGCCATAGTAAATATTAATTACACTAGACCAAAATAAATTAATTTCTTTATTAGTTTCACAAATTTCAAATTCAAACAATTTATGTTGTTTTAATGAATGAAAAAATCAGAAACCGGTAGAACTTTTTACATAGGAGCCAAGCCAAATAAGTAAATGTTTGCTTATCGAAAAAACATGCGTTGTAAAAGTATTCTACGACCGTTAAGGATTAAAAGGATTATTGAAATTTATGGATCAGTAATTGTTGCTTAAAGTGCTCTATAGAGACAAAAAATCTTATTATTAACAATGACGGGCTTGCTAGCATGCCCAACTCAAAAATATTGATTCTGAAAGTTAAAAAACATTTTAAAAAGCTCCCCAAAATTTGGTATGTTTTCCACTATCAAAATATGACAATTATGTATGTATATGTTTTTTTATAAAATATTGTCCTTAAAGGAATTAAATTAATTGTATGCATATGTTATAAATATCAATTATACTTATAATCTTTACTAAAATTCTTGCGTTCGGTAGAAGAACGGACAGATATAAACAGCCACGCCATGAATGGCCTTTAGCTACATTTGCTCCAATCTAGAATTGCATTTGCACTTGGATAATGGATATAAATACAAGTAGGTACGTTTTCACTTAATTCTTTACATTTTAAAACCAATCAAATATGCATAGGAAAAAATAATATTTCTTTTATTAAAGCAATAGACATCAAATAAAACTACAACCTATGAAAGCCACCCTTATATTGTGATTAAAAACGTACTAGTTAGTTAGCAGAGCCAACAAGCCGAGCATTTCATGCAAAAACAATTACAATCCGTAATGCGCAGGGAAACACCTGCGCGACCGGCTCCGTGGCAGTCCATTTCAAAGCGCTTAATGCACTTTACCTGTCGTCTGCACAAGGGTGCTAAGCCACACGAGGGGGCGCCGGCTTAGTCAATCGTCTATTAACTTTTTGCCAGTATTTGGCCTTGTCCTTGTCTGCGGCCTTCAGGCTGGCTGGGAGACTGGTGGAAATGTGTGTGTGTGTGTGTGTGTTTATTATCGGGTTGCTCGGGCTCGTCCCTGACGATGCTGCTGCTGCTGCTGCTGATGTCGATGCCAATGCCACTAATATCATTGCTGGGGGATTGAGCGGGCCCAGGGAATCGCAATGTCGTTTGCAGCTTGTACAACTTGTAATGTGCCGACACGCAGCTGACGTCTTCCCAGGCTTGCGCGGATTTTTGTGGATTTTTGAACTTGAACCTGTTCTGCTCCGTACTATGCTGCGTCAGCTGCGACAAAATGCAAACACCGCGGGCTGAGGTGAAGGCAAATGATAGCCAGAACCACCACCACCACCACCATCACTACCGCCACACACCACCACCACCACGACCACTATCGACAATACTAAGCCAAACTAGCGCGCCACCAAACGAAACCACCACTGGCACTTGCTGTACACACCAAGCGCTGCACCGGCTGCGTAAACCAACAACTGTTGGTAGCTCTTCGGGCCGATCGGTTGGTCCATCGGTTCGCTACGCACTCATTGCAAATACTCTACCCTTTCCAAACCGCCCGCATTCGGCTTGGGACTCATAAAGTGAATTTTGACAGGGCGCCGAGACCTGATTGCAATTTTTTTCAGGGGATGTACGCAGATTAAGTTTTTGTGCGTGGCTAGGTAAACAAAAGCCAAATGCATTTGTGGGCGCATGGAAGCATTTAGATGGACATCGATGATAAATTAGCCACATGCATGGCTGGCAGCCTTAATATGGGAAAATGTGCAATTGTTGCGGGCGCCTGATCGGCCGATTATTAGTTTTTGCTATTGATTCTAAGGCACTCAAGCACTTAAGCCATAACTTGATGATTTGTTGAATTATTTTGCTTAACGAGTAAAAAGGAAATGGAAAATTAAAACTTGTTTATGAACTCAATTTAAAAACGCCCAATAATGTTGATTATTAAGCGTTGATAATCTTATGATAATATATAGTTGGGTATATAAAGTCTAAATCTCGCCAACTCTCAAACGAAATCTTCCTTTCTCTCCGTTGTTTAATTCCCAATTCCCGAAGTATCACATTTGTTATTAGTTTAAAATTTGTTTCTCTATAAATAAATAAATAGCCGCACCCCAGTAGCGCTCTAAATATAGTACTTTTAATGTATGATAGAATTCAAAAATCACTTCTTAAGGTCACAACATATACTTAATAGAAGTTGGGAACTTTGCAGAAAAAGTATTTATATTTCTTGTAAGGCAGGAGTTTTTCGCCACCCACCCGATAACAGCAGAAAATGCTTTTAAACCAAAAGCATTGCTTTTCAGTATAAACAAATTGGTATTTTGAATTTTGTAATTCAATGTATAATTTAATTAAAATAAATACACTATTAAGCCCCAAAAATGTTTCTACCTGAACTGCTATTCAAATTTCAATTATTCTTATTCAATTTTAATTTCTGCCAGTGCATTCGTACTGGCCTAGTTTTGCTAATTGCGCTTTCCGAGAGTACGTGCTTATTTGGTTCGGTTCAACAGGTCGTGGTCAAAATAAAATGCAAGCATGGACCGGACTGCGTATTTTATAAAACGTGGCAAAGAAGCAGCGCCTCAGACCATTGCAGTGAAAATGCAACGGCACACAGGTGTACTTCTTCTGCTCTGTCTCAGCTATGTTGCGGCAAAGCCGGCGGGATATCCACGCACGCAGCCGCCAGCACCAAATACTCCATCTGCGAACTACCTACCCCAAAGTCCACCAAAGCCACCAAGCAATAGCTATGGACCACCAAAAGCTGGCAATGGAAGTCCTCCGAAACCACCCAGCAATAGCTATGGACCTCCCAAAGCTGGCAATGGAAGTCCTCCCAAGCCACCAAGCAACAGCTATGGACCTCCCAAAGCTGGCAATGGAAGTCCTCCAAAACCGCCCATCAATAGCTATGGACCTCCCAAAGCTGGCAATGGAAGTCCTCCAAAACCGCCCAGCAATACCTATGGACCGCCAAATGGAAACAATGGAAATAGCAATGCTTACCTCCCACCAGCCAATGGTAATGGTGGCGGTGGGGCTGGTGGCACCGGGGCTATCGAGATCATACCCATCATAAAACTCGAGTCGAAAGTAAATACCGACGGCTCCTACAAAGTAAGCAACTACGCTATATTCCTTCCACAGACTATCTAAGCAACTACAACAACTTTTCAGTACGAATATGAAACTGGGAATGGAATAATGGTCGAAGAGATGGGCTACCTCAAAAATGCTGGAGTAGAGGGCTCGGAAGCTCAAACCGCTGAAGGCTTCTTCTCCTACACCAGTCCGGAGGGTCAACCGATAATGGTAACCTATATAGCCGATGAATTTGGATTTCAGCCGCAAGGCGATCACCTCCCTACACCGCCACCGATTCCAATAGAAATAGAGGAAGCACTTGCCAAATTGGCAGCCAGTGGCGGCTGTCACGACTGTGATGACAACCAGGCTTCCGATGGCGGTGGCTCTGCAAATGGGGGCTACGTGTATTAAGTGCCTTTGCCTTATATTGAACTATTTCTTTGCTATCGCTTGCTACTTTAAATAAATTTTGAACGCTCTTGAAATCATGCTGCCCACTTATTACGACTAGGAAACACCAAACCGAAATTGGCTTGTGCTTCTAATGCAATTTGATTGCCAATTGTCCGACCGGTGAAGACTGCGCATCGGTCCAACCCCTAAGCGGATGACGACGACGCGTGCTGTGTGACTGGCAACACATGTTTTTGCCGCTTCAATCCCGTTGATCGGAGCGCAATGATGAAAACATTAACGCTGTGGCATATTTCGAGCTTGTGTCAGTTCAGGGCCGCATTCAAAGCAATTATTGTTGGGCGCCCAGATGATTGAGATTTTAAATTGTGGATTTCTTAAGCTTAAGCCTAACTTACTTATATAATACAAACGAATATAATATACATTTATTCAATTTTAAAAGGGCCAAGAAATTTGATACTCTAATAATACTTCGTGTCTGAAGGCTCCTTTTACAATCCCTACACCTTTTACCGGACGCCGAAGCCAAATGGAAAATTTACTGACCAAAGCTGAAAAAGGCAGGGCTTAGATTCAGAGCTTTGTTATTTTTATTAAAACTATATGGGTTTTAGCGAGCTGTAGTATAGTATGATGTATTGTCATGTCACCCAATAACAACAAAATACAAGCCATCAAAATAGTATTGATACTTCAGATGAGAAATTCATTCTATTTTTCAGACATCCTCACTGTTTTCGTATGTTCTTTTTTTTAATTAATGGGCTATGAAATAATGAAATAACCGTAAATTTTTGTCGATATTTGTTCATACGAATATTATTCAAATTTAGTCAAAATGTGATTTATTATTTTTGCCTATCGTCACGTAGTTGAAGATCACAAATCCATTTTAATAAACGTAGTAGGTAATGCCGAAAGTTTTGAAAATTTGGGCGCCTGGCTACCTTGATACTGCACCGTGAAATCACGACCAACCCCAAACCACACATTCGTAGAGGGTTGGGGTGGAGTTACATAGACGATAACGAATGCGATTTGTATATGGTGGCATTACAATAATAATAACAACAACAACAGCAACAGTACCGCCAACAAACGATCGTTTAATTTCAATTAAAACATTTTGCTTGCGCCCTGCAAAAAGCCAAAAAGGCTCACAAATAATTGCGCGCTTGGCAAAGGATGATGACGGGGACGACGGGACGAACAGGAAAACGCACACTTGCTGCAGCTTAGCTTAGCTTAGTGATTGGGACATGATGTTGCACTTGCCACACACAGCAACCAACCAACCACCATGTGGACCAAAATCAAAAGGGATGTCAAGCCGACTGACTGACTGACTGGCTGGCTCGATAGCAGGCTGGTTGGTTGGTTGGTTGGTTGGTTGGTTGGCTGGTTAGCGGGTAAGCAGTGCGTGCGGGCGCAAAGTGCGTAGCTATGTTTGTTAGAACGCTGGGAATTCTTGCACTTGACGTCCAGCCCAGTATTGTGACACTCTGCAAGCCGTAACAAATCCAAACAACAGGCGAGCGGTATTGAGATAAACCCGAAAGGGGCGAACACGTGCTGCAGGACGCGCCGCCAGGCAGTGGTATAAAAGGCAATAGCGCCTTCCAATTGGACCGCAGAATCAAATTCGAATGCGACCGAGCAACAACGAGTCCAGTTCAGGAAAGTCTTTACCGAGCTATGCTGCCCGCCTTGCACACGCACACGGCTGCTCATTTGGATACTTTGGACAATCGAGATAGTGGGGAGGCACACCAGCCGCAACAGCAACAGAAACGAAGCGCCAGCATGATCTTTCGCATTGAGCAGTTCCTGCCCAGTGTGACGTCAACAATGACCAGCAACACGACGACAACGACAGCGGCAAGTGTAGTTGTCACCCAGGCGAGCAAACGCCAGATGGGCGGTAGTCAACGTCCAGGCGTCTACACCGCCCAGTACATGCCCAAGGATGCGTGTTCTTCTTGCGTGCCGCCGGCATCCCTACTCGCAGTATCGAGCCCACCAGCAAGTGGTAGCAATTCACGTGCCTATTGTGCGCTTACCGATGGTCAGCTCCTCATGTCCGCCACATTGATGCGGCAGTTGAAGCTATCAGAGGATATTTATAGCTTCAATGCACTCTTCGAGCTCCATGCGGGGCAGGTGCGCGTGCGCATTGTTCGCGATGTGGCGCGAGATGAGGAGATCGTCGCCTGGTTTGGAGAAGAATTGGTTCTGCTCATGGGCATACCATTTCTGACGCCATTAAATATACAAGGTGAGCCTCGTCGAGAAAAAAAGAGGTTTTTCTAATTATTCGTTGCATTTTATTTTCATGTCTAGTCGTGTCTTATGTTTCAATATTAGTTGTTCCTTTAGTTTCTTCACCTTTTCTTTTAGTCGTTAATTACTTTTCTTATTATTCCATACTGTTTCTAACATTTCTTATCTTTCTTATATCCCCAGACAGTAACCGTTACACCTGCAACCTCTGCCATCTCACCTTCTCACATCCACATCCGCTTAAAATACATCTAGCACTGGGCTGTGGTCACAGCGCCATTGATATACTGTGGTTTCGCCTCCACTGCGCCCTAAAGGCACCGCAGCCTTCTTCTGTTTCTCATGCGCTGACAGCCATCCAGCATTCCCCACCACATCCGGCATCATCAGCTTCCTCAATATCGCCCACACATACGCCTCCACCACCGCCTCCCGCCTCTGTAGCAACAACATCATTGTCAGCTCAACGTTTCTCCGCCTTCCGACCCATAGCAACCACACTGGCATCGCTGCCCGGTGCGCAGTCCCTCATAGGTCTACCAACGATCACCACCAGCGCGTCACTTCCGTACCTTACTCCGATTTCTATGTCAGCACCATTGATGAGCCTCCCCTCGAGTAATCCGATCAATGCAGCCGCACAAATCGAGGCCATTGTTAGCAATATGGGGGCCTCCAAGCAGGGACACCTCTGCATATACTGCGGCAAGGTATATTCCCGAAAGTACGGCCTGAAGATCCACATACGTACCCACACCGGCTTCAAGCCGCTTAAATGCAAATTCTGTCTACGTCCGTTTGGCGATCCCAGCAATCTCAACAAGCATGTACGCCTACATCTTCAGACAAACTCACCAAGTAGTGGAGCAATTGACTGTGGAACGGGCGAGCCCGATACAGCCGGCTATCAATGCCAGCTTTGCCCAAGGACCCTGGCTAGAAGACGCGACCTACAACGGCATATGGAGACGAGGCATAGTGGTGTTCAACCAGAACGGAATACAAATACAACTCGAAAAGACGATTAGGATATTAACTAGAATTGAGCTTCTCTATTGGAAAGCTGGCTGTGATAATTAAAGTTGTACGATACGAATTCAATTTCTGTTGCTTTATTCATAGTTTAATGATATATTTTTATAATCCACAAGTCTTACACAATTAACACTAGTACACTATTTTAAGCACAATTACATTCTATCTCTCTTTTTTGTTCCGACTATGAAATATTTCATTAAAATGATCTTCGATATTTGGCAATTAACGGAAATTCAAAATGCTTCCAATATTTACTTTAACATTCGATATTCTCAAATAACCTGATAGGTTCAGAGCTGAACGACATTTTCAGAAATTGTTTCATAGTCCAAACAAGTCTTCTCGGTTAGGGTACATGCAAAAACGCGTAAACAAATCGGAAAATTATTTAAATTGCTGCAAAAGCACTTCAATTTTTGTATTGTTTAAGGTTTGAGCAAAAACATATGTTTATAAAATGAACATTTTAAGGTTGCTGTACAAAACTCGTCCAAAATGTTTATGTTCATTAAAAAAAAGCAAATTATAGTCGCAATCAGAATGTAAAAAGTACCCAAGTAGGCTTCGAAGATAAAAAGTACACAAGAACGCAGGTAAAAGCACTGGGCTTTCCCAATAGCAACACAGGGGAAGAGAAGCATTATAGGAATACAATGGCTTTACATTTACTCGTAGATGATAGAAGTAGTATTACATTTTTCAAGAATTCCTGTTGATATCATTATATTCATTTGTGCACTTTTTTGTATTATAGAGCATAAGGTGAAAGTTACAGAGTATTAGTTAGAAACGGTTTCAGTGAAACAATCTTCCCTAAACTGAAGATTCTTGTTGGCAATTTTTACTTAAGCGTCGGCATTTTCTATACTACCGAGTACCATCCAATTAAAAGTAAAATTGACTTCTTGTACTATATATACCTTCTGCTAATCTTCGAAATACGTTTAGTAATTGTTGTAATATTTCAAAGGCATTCTCGAATCAGTTGGCATATTTTTTGCATTTGAAAGTCTTTATAAAAGCATTAGAAACTGGGAAACTCATAACATAACTCAATTTAATTTAATTGTTAGCAGAATCTACACATTGGTATTGGTTTCATTTCATTGCCCTCTAATGTGCATCGATATTGGAACTATAGTACAAGAAAATGAAAGTAGGAAATGTATAGTATATGTATTAGGGGGAGCTAAACAAATAAATTAAACAACGTATTTCACTCACTAGAGAAAGTCATTTAAGTTGACTTTCAAATAGAGTTTAAGGCACTTCCTCAAGAATTTAACTTTCCGGAGTGTGAGTGTCTCTTGATTTACAAACATCCAAGCGTATTACCTGTGGTAATGGTAGGATTTTACAGTAATATGTGTGTGTGCATGTAGCTATCACGTTAAGCACTTAATATGTATGTATATAGGTATATAAAGATGAAAGGTATGACATTTTTCTCAAAAATCTCGATAGCGGAATCCACATATTATAAAACATACCATTTTATTTCACATGTTGGATTTACACACACTATAGAATCTTTTCAATATAATATAGACACCAATAGTTAAGATTACTTTGCAAATTCTGTATGACGTTTAACTAGGAATACTTCAATCAAGAATGCATGGTAATGTTACATTTGTCCTTGTATATACATATACGTATATACACGTATCTAAACATAAATTCATACATGAAGCACACTTGGGTTCAGTTGACTATTTGCTAATTGTTCCAATATCTCTTATACGTGTCTCGCTCTCGTTCCCCATTAATCGAATACATATGTATGTATGTTGCATGTTAACAAGTTTCATTCTATATTTATGTAGTTATACAAGGATGTATGTATGCATGTATGTAATATAGTTGTATTACAGTTACGTCATCGTCGTTGTTGTTCCCGCTTGTTGTATGTAATATAGTTTAATTTGAATATTAATTACATTATCTTGTGGCTTGCAATCAGAAACCTTTTTAGTATGATTGGTTTGTCTACTTGTATACAAACGAACATATGCAAGTTGAACCTGTCAATTGGGCTTCTTAATCGAAATACTGAATTTCTGAACACAGATAGATAAAGAAGTATAAGCCATGGCCTACAAATACAATCATTGTTTTTCTAATTTTATTTTTTTCTAAATATGTTTTTAATTGCGCCATGAAAATTACAACCTCTCTTGTCCAGCAGAGCTTTCAAACATTATCAAAATACTTATTACATGTTCTTTTAATAGCAAACAATTGGTATATATGTATGAATGCATTTATGTATCTATGTATATGTACGCATATTTGTTTTGTTTCAGTGCTCAAAACAGTTTTGAAGACTTTTTGTTCACAATTTTTGTAAGTTTGTTTGCATGCACAACTTTGGACGTTTGGATTTTTATAAGTTTTACTTCTTATTGTTTATATGTAAGTATAAGTATGTATTTATGTATTCTTTTATGCAGGAAAAATGCCTAAAGTTTCGAGACTTATAATTATCTTAAGAAAATTATTAAGCATTTACAAGCACTTTAGTTGTGTCCAACCCATTTCACATATGCGTCGAATTGGAAAGCTTACGATAATTGCTAAATATTTTTTTGTTTTTCTTAATTATATTTATATATGTTTTTGCACGTGCAAGATAAATCTTGTGTTAAAGCAAACCCTTTAAACCTTTTTAGATATCAGCCATGCCATTGTTTTTCTCCATTTAGTTTGTAATGCTCACTGGTTAACAAACAAAACGGGATTCGATTATTGAAAATAATTTCGAGATATGTACATTGCACATTCGTATATGTTTATACTTGGGTTTAATGCGAGCAAACAATATAAATCAACGATTTATTAGTTTCACCCATGCCTCTGAGCCTTCCTTGTCCTATCACTTACTCGTATAATTCCATTGCATTCATTAGAGCTATACAATCTTTTAAGACTCGATGGCACAAAAGGATTCCGTTATATATTTGAATGAAGAATCAATGTACATACAACTATATAGACTAAGTATTAAATGAAATGCAATTTCAAGTCGTTGAATAAAAATATCTCAAAAGTGCTGCCAAGACAAAGAAAAAAATTTCTAGAAACTTGAATTTGATCAATTTTCTGTCTCAAGAGCACTTTTGTTTTAAGACTAAGAAGGGATTTAGACATAAATCTTTAAGTTCAAATACAAAATTTCATTATTCATAATGTTCATTGGTACAGATTAAAACTGCTTAAATGAACCATTATTGCACTCCTTTTTAATTTTATAAGTTTTATGTATGTCTGTTGGTAGTTGCATAGTGGTTTAATACATATTTAGTAGTAAATACATATTAAGTAGTTTTATCTCCGCCTTTATGAAATATGTGCCACTGCTGGCTATACTATATAGTTTTGTATCAACCAAATGGTTTTTTATTTAGTTGTTTGTATTTAAATTAAACTCGCCTTTTATCAAATACCCTGCAACTTCATTTAAGTATCACAGTTTTTTATTAAAAATTGTTTTGAAAATAATTCTAATTTTGTGTACGTGTATGTTTGGCTCTACAATTGTGAAGAGATGAGACAACTTCTCTACGGAAATTTATAAAAAGCGGAGAGTCATTATTTATTTGCAGGTGTCTTTTTCGTATTTTATTTTATATCATAATACAAGCTACATTTATTACAGGTGATACAAAATATATTTAAAAGAAAATAACTACAACACATACATAGGTGGCAAGGAAGGATGTGAGGAGTGCTCTTAAAACATTGAATTATCAGAAATATTTGAACTTTAGTTTACTTCTCATGAGCAAAGATTCTTTTAAAACCAACATAATTTTCACTTTAAATATATTTTATTTTTAAACATAATTAAAACATAATTATAATTACATATTTTGGAAGCAAAAAGATGGCAAACATTTTCATTCTTGTTTTTGGGTTATAGATTATTTTTAGTGACAAATTTGAAAGTGCTCTTTCAAAACACAAACAAACAATTAAATAACGCATAAAATGTCTTATTGGAAAGTCTTCATATGATTTTCGTTGTGTTAATTACAAAAATAGAAAAAGATAATGGGCGTTCTTTAAGTGAGTGTAAGTAGTCGTTTCGTTACAAATGCTTGTTGTTGTTCTTGTTATTATCATTTAAGAGTTTGTACTTTGGACAAAATATTTGGTTAAACCAATCTTAGTGCAATTTCTTGATCAATGCGTAAATTGTTAGTAAAAAATAATGGCAAAAGGCATTTACATATACACTTTGCTTACTTTGTGCTTGTAGCATGTATGTGTGTATCTATATGTGTGTGTGATTATTGGTGGCGTGCTGAAAACTTTCAATATTTTGGTTTCCGCTTTGTGTTATATAATACAATAAATACAAGACTCCACATTGATATTATTAAGTATGCTCTATGCTAACTAATATATCAATATCCTGGTCGCGGTGGAGCTCGATAATCAAAGAATATATAAAATAATGTAAATATAAACATAAGATAAATACGTTTGTATAATTTGGTACTTTAAATAATGTTCATTTGTTGTTTTACACATTGAGAGTATTGAAAACAAGTCTGTACTATAGGAAAACTAAAATACAAACAAATAAAGGGTTTTGTTGTTACACTTAACTAAGAAGTTGGCAATGCGAGCGAGGAGCAGAAGGAATCATGTTTTATGCTACACAAAACGATTTGCTTTGGACATTCGTTCATACAGGCTTTCTCTTTATACACAAATAGTTTGTTGTACTTTGCAGCCTTTGTGTATATATGTATATGTATATCAACATTATATTTAGTAAGTATATGGTATATTTATATAAATATGTACGCAAAAACACAATTATAAGAAATTACCAAGTTTTCGACACAGTTTTCATTTTATACAATTGCAGTTGCTGTTGCTGATCTCTTTTGTTCTTCAAGTGAAAGACATTTTCCAAGAAAGTTACATTTATGTGCTATTAGTTGAAATTTCAACATTCTTTGCAGCCGATGTTGTTGTTGGTGTTGAAGGAGCTGTGACATTGACCGACAATTTGTGCTGGTTCGTCAAGTCGTCGCCGGCGATGTTATTGCTGCTATTGTTGTCATTATTTTGACTGGCATTAGTACTGTGAAAAAAGCGGTTTCAAAACTTGTATATTTAAATAAATTAAAGTATGCATTGCTTACAATTCGGTCACTTGCTTGTGGCTCGGTCCATTTACAATGGGCCCTAGCGGTTCGTCCTCTGCTTCAAGCTCTCTACCTAATGGCTTAGTCCACATTCCCTCATCGTCCTCGTAGTCATCTTCGCCATCCAGCAGCACTGACTGCAAGCGACTTACAATGGAAGTGGCTTCAATGTTTGTCGCTGTGGTGGTTGACGCTAAACTCAAATCATTTGAATCATTTGCTTTATCACTTGACACACTCAATGTTTTCTCCACATTTGCATTATTGTCATATTCCGCCTGCTCGGAATCATTGGCTGCGTTGTCTGGTGAAAGTTTTGATGCCTTTTTTACCTCATCCTCTTGTTTCTCATCATCAATTGAGGACGAAGTGATAGCCGTTTCTGTCGTCTCTGTGGCATTGACAGACGCCTGTGTACTTGGCATGCCTAGATCGCTGCTAAGTGTGCTAAAATGAGCATCGAAATCGGCAAAGTTGACACTGTTGAAGTCAGCGCCCCAGCTTTCAGTGCCAGTGTTACCATCTGTGCTTACAAAATGTACATCCATGTCCCATGGATCGGCAGATAGATTGTTTAGTGTCACCGAACTCTTACTCAATAAACCGTGCCCGTCGCCACCGCCAGCACCAGAGTGCTCATCGTCGTCTTCATCATCATCATTAAGGTTGCGTGTAAACTCAAACAGATTTTGATCGTGATCCATATTGAATACAATATCCTGGAGCGTACCGTCAAGGTCATTGTATCCCATATTGCTGTAAGAAAGAGCTCCAACATTCCAGGCACTTGTCTCGCACAGAAAATCTTTTGTGATTTGCGCGTTGTATTCGTTCTCTTCGTGTGGATTGCAATTGGCCAACAATTTGGACTGCAATTTCACAGCTTGCGTGAATTCTCCATCCTCCGCATCAATCAGCGATTGCCATAACTTTGTTTCTGCTTCATCGATGAGACTCGTCGTGATTAGGGCCCCGATATGTTCAGATTCTGATATACAATTTGTAATATGCCGCAATATTTTGATGAGGTGGCCCATGTAGCCCAGGCGGCGCCCCTTCTCAGCAGCTCTATAACGTACAAGACATTTTTTAACAAATTATTGAAACTAGTAGCTAACAACTTACTGCTCCTGTGCATTGTGCTGCCAATATGCAACTAGCTTTGACACCAAATGACAATTGACGATTAACTGCAAATGTGTTCACATAAACGAAACGTTCAATAAATAAAATAGTGCTTAAGAACTTACATGCGTTTGCATTTCAGTAGGCGGTGCGTTATTTACGACTTTAGTTTTGTCAACATCATTAATTGCGGCTTCTGTCGTTTCAATTGCGGCACTATCAGCGACGATATCTGCTTCAATAGTTTCCTTTTCAACTAGATGTTCCGTGATCTCCTCTTCTTTTTGCAACTCCATTTCTTCGGTTTCTTCTCTAGCTAGCTGATCATTTAGCTCTTCGTTTTGTACTGACGACGCAGCATCAACCGCAGCAGTCTCGATTTCGATGCCTTCATCATTTATAGGTTGATTTTCTCTGCCACCTTCAGCACGTTTTGCGTTGTTCAGTGCGTTCTTTACTTCAACTTCTGTAGTATCCGATGCATCGTCGTCGGTTTTCATAAAGCAGTTGAAAATGTAATCGTCACTGGTCATCTGCTTGCAATAAGACATATCGTTGCACTCCGTTGAAATCGTCTTGTTGTTGGAAAGTTCGTTGTAGAAGACAATATGCATTGCCTTTTCAAGTTCCGTATGCAGAAAATTATTCCAGCAATATTGCTTAAAGTACTCCAACAACAGACTAAAGTAGTCTGTGGCACAGATACTTTAACAACAAAAATTATTAAAATTTAAAGAATGTTGTATGCATGTAATGATACTTACGCCTGTTGTACGATCTCATGTCTGGTTTCTAAAAGTGCTGTAAAAACGCGACACACTTGCAGGCGTGTCTTGCCAAAGGGTGGAGTAAGGACAGTAGCTGTTGTCTCCAGCATTGGTTTCTATATTGTTTCGTATGAATATAATGAAAGGAGTGCTGAATATTCAAGTTTACTTACCACAGGCGGGTTTTTGAGTATGTGCACAAATTCCGATAAGCGGGGTGCCATCACAGTGATAACAGTCTCCTGAACTTCCTGATGGAACTCACGTTCGCGTTTCTGCAGTAGCCTTTGACGATCCGAATTGGGCTCATCACTGCACATTAAAAATAAACATAAGTAATAGCTTGGTGACATAATTTCTATAACTTACGTGAAAGTAATGGGCCTAATAAGCGTAAGTACAACTGATATTCCTGATAAGATGGCGCTTTCGACAGCGTTTGGTTCCAAAATCACATTTAACAAGGCTTCAACTGTCTCTGCGGATTCAATGGTTTTCAATATGGGATTGGAACCATCAAATGCCGGTTCAAATGAATCGTTCTCCTGTTCGGTCTGACGCATGGAACGACCTTGATTGATAAGATCACAGAAAAATTCCGCAACATTTCCATGTTTGTCGGTTTCTTGAGGATTACGCAATATTGCAATCAGTCTCTCAACAAGTTTATCCTCAGTAAGCCACTATAACAAAATTATAAATTAAAGCGAGTACAAAATGAGTTATGTATTGAGCACTTGCTTCATAAAGATTGCGCTTCAGCTGACCGCCTTCGATGTCCTTCATCATTTGCATTATTAAATCGGGTATAACCGGAGTGTCGAAGTGTTTACAAATTAAATCCAAAAAATTCTTTTGTGATTTAATGTACTCCAAGAGTTGTAGGCACATATGTTGATACAAAAACCAATCTTGTTCAGGCTTTTTGGTAAAGAGCATGCTAAACGTTTTACTAAAAAACGATGATAGCAATGGATTTAACGGTGGTTCTTTTTCCAGATATGAATACAGCAACTGTAGTGTGTCGGCATCGGACAGAAGTTTCTCATCTAGGGACGGTAGGCCGCTGCAAAAAAAACATAAAACGTAAAATACAATTCCGCTGGCTGTTCCAAGCTTGGTAGCAGATCACTTACAGCGTGAGTATCTCACATGACATATTCGCATAGCGAAAACGCTGCACCATGGGTACATCCTCAGAGGGTTCGGTTGTGATTAGTTGAACGAGTCGCTTAATAACTTCAGGACGTGTGAAATAGTTTACAAGATTTTTCTTTTGCGTTTTGCACTCCTGCAGTATGTCCTCCTCATCTAGGAATTCCTCGAGCGTGGTATTCTACAGACAAATATGTTAGACATGATTCTGAAATCGTGGCAATGTCACGTGATTTTGTTACTTACCTCCTTCTCTAAAAGCGCCTCTATATTCGCTGAGGGCGCATAACCCTTGTCCCAAAACATTTTTCGTGCGTACGTCTTGGCGGTGACACTTTAAAGCTTAAAATCAAGTTTACTTCGTTTTTGTTTATGTTGCTCCTTTAAACTTTCTACTTCTCTGTGTGTTCGTGTTAAAGCACTTTGTTTTTGTTGCTGTTTATGTGTACTGCAACGCAAAAGAAAATTACACAATTGAAAATTAAATGAATATTCCTATACTGATGCCTAGCAGACAGGAGGATGTTTATAAATACATATGTATGTATACACAATTCCTTGAAGTTTGTGTTTTTAAGGCTCGTTTGTCGCAATCGTAATAATTTATTTGTCTTTTCTCCTGGTATGTATTTTGTGCAGAGCAGGGTAAGTATTAATATGGTCCCCGTAGCCCCCCCACTAACCTCACGCACACACACAAAACATCCAAACACATTCACTAAACTTCTCACACACACATCGAGCCTGATCAAAATTTTCATTGTTACTAGAAAACACTGCACGTGCGTTTTCCCATTAAGGAAACTCATGTTGCAACATAGGCAGCACAATATGTTGGTTTTTATGTTAAAATAATTGTTAGTTTTCGATGAATGTTATTATAATCGCCCTTTTTTAGCAGCCACGCGAACTTTACCTTGGCTAGTTTTAACTAAAAAATACCAAAAGCATTTAATACTAGCCATACTAAAAATGTCATGCCCCTGGGTGGAGTGTGTACTTATTGAAACTGACTTTATTATAGGTACACACTTAGGGCGCATCAGCTGTCATGCTATTATTTTGAACTAAAAATAACGCAGCGCTCTGCCGTTACATATAGCTGGCAGTCCTCTGTGTATTTCAAAGATATAATGTATACCGTCAGCTCGGAAATCTATAAAGAAGTGGACTATGAACAGGTGCGGACGAAGGGCAATAATGTCATCTCCAAGTTCAAATTTCATTATCCTGGCGTCGTTGTGGACAACGATGGAGACCTTGATGTGCGACAGCATCGCGTGGGCGTTATTGAACTTGAACATTCCACGGCCACTGAGTTAAAATTGGTAGGCCTTCAAGTTTGGCGGGGTGCGCTGTTGCTAGCCGATTATATGTTTGCCAATCGCGATGAACTGAAGACGAAGACCATTATGGAGCTCGGAGCGGGAATGGGACTGACCAGCATAGCCGCCGCGATACACAACAGTGGAAAGACTTACTGCACCGACGTAGATCTTGGCTGCATATTGCAGTTGATTCGCAGCAATGTGAAACGCAATGCTGCTCTTCTAAGCGGGGAAATTAAAGTATTGGAGTACGATTTCTTAAGAAATCCTTCAGAGTATAGTTCTGAGCTAATATCAGCAATTGATGATAGTGACGTTGTGCTCGCTGCGGATGTGATATATGATGACACCCTAACCGATGCGTTCATTGCTGTTATTGATCAGATATTCGCTCGCGGGGTGCAGACGAGCAGAGCCAAGTCTATCTATGTGGCACTAGAGAAGCGTTATGTCTTTACTCTCGAGGATTGCAATTCGGTCGCGCCCATGTACGAGTATTTTCTGAAGCAAACGTCTAAGAAGCCCTGGTTTTTCGAGAATGTGCCGCTTGACTTTCCGCAGTTTTTCGCCTATGATCGATGCAAGCAATTGGTACTCATACGTATCACTAACCGGGCCTAAATTAATCTCGATTTTCTTTAAATAGTCACTCCATTGTCTTTAATTTGCATAGAAAATTGTCGTTAGTATAAAACTAGGTACATGTGTAATAAATTAAAACCTAAACCAGTGTAAAACTTTCATATGAGCTGCCGTTTCTCACAAATCCTGCATGGCCAGTATAATGTTTTCCAGCGCCTGTCGAGCATCCGTTGCCGGGAAATGCTGCAACACGCTGAGAGCGGCTTCCGTATGCTTTCGCTGCAGCGCTTTTGTCTTTGCTAGTGCCGGACCGGCAAGGATTGCCTTGTGCACTTTATCGTAATCAATGTTTTCCACAGATTGCTTTCCCTTCTCCAACTGAGCATAGAGGCTGGGATCGTGTTCCAAATGAAACAGAACTGGCGCACTCACCAAGCTGAATGTGACGTCCAGCGGAAGAGTGGGGCATTGAAACGGTTCAGCATCAAGGCAAGCCTGCCAGGCAAGCGCTAAGTGCTTACCAAAGCGATAGGCCTGACGCTGCATCGTTTCGCTCTGGCCGGCCAGCTTTAACGAGGCTTGACAAGACTTGCCTAGCAAACTGCCCGCATTAAGTATATTACGGCATTCCCATTCTTGCTCAGGATTGCCCAGAACTTGAGCAATTGGCATGGGTGCCATTACATCGTGCTCATTGAAATCCACACCCACATTAAGTGATGGCATTTGAAAGGTACCGGGTTTGTATGGTAAAGGGTTGTTTTGCTCGTCACGTTCGCCAATGAATTCGGACTCCGAAAAATCACGCACAGCAGACGAGATCAGCTCCACAACCTCCTGATTGCGCAAATTTGCTAGCTCAGCGCTAGAGTGTCCCAAAAGATAGTCACCAGTTAGCAATCCAATTTTATTGCCAAATGACATATCGTCGTAGGTACCAGCATCTTGGCCTGCCTGCGTACTCGACTGCAAGTTGACGACGCTCTGTGGACAATGCATTATATATCAGGTTATAAGGTATAGCCTAGAATTGGACGTCCAAATACTCACATTATGCACCAAATGGGATATCCGTATCATTTCGGTTACCTCGGCAAGCGCACGTTGCGAGTGCAAAACTCCGGCGCTCTTATCTTGCTCGACGTCCGGAATGTTGGCAGCATGGCCAGCAGCCTTGGACACCAACAGCACAATCAGGCCCCAGGCCTGCATGGTGTTTTTGCCATTATAAAGTAAATGTCTGGAGTGGATTAGCGGTATATAAGTTATCATCGAATTCATATAGAGAGGAAGAGTTAATTATTTACTTGGCCGTCTTCATCAGTGGATGAGCGCTGCCTACTAGTTTGCGTAAGTGAAGGGCGACATTGGCAATTTCATCACTGAGCAGCCAGCGCAGGCTGAGAAAGGATGTGGGATAGCCCACAATGCGTTCGGCCTCGCTCACAGCCCTATTCCAATCATGACGAGGTGGTGGCGTCGCCGTCTGTTTGGTACTCGTGCTCATTGATGACGTCGCCGTGCCTCGTTGTTGTTGTTGCAGTCGCCAGGTGAAAGTTATCAAAGCTGGCGCCGCTTTGTTAGCCATTGCCTGTATTGGCGTCCTTTGGCGCACCTGTTGCATAATAAGGCCGCTGGCACGATACATTTTAAAACTTGTTCACTTGCTTGTTGGTTTCTACAAAATAATATTGAGTTTGCTGGCCAAGTTACACTATTCAAAGGTCGAAAGCCTTGGTAATTCGCTAAACTGCACGCACGCTCACTGCGCGTAGAAAAGTGAAACTTTTGCTTAGCTATTGGCGTTGGCCCACTAGTCTTTTGTTTTGACTTGGAATTTCGTTCCTCGCACTCGTTTTCGTACAGAACCGGTTTTGGGGCACCGTTTCATAGAAGTCAGCTCGGTGGTGCCGTGGTTTTAAAGTGCGATTTTTTCTTTTCCAGCATGCATGGTATTTCAACATCGCTCAAATTTTCAATGCCTTTGAATGCAAATAAAACCACAATGACGATATTTTTAAATGCAGTCAAATTTGCAGCTGTAAATATAAAAAATACCAACAAAACTGTTGGTATATTTCGGCGTTGCCACTTAAGCAAATAGTCGTACCTTATGAAATGGCGGATATTTTAAAAATATTTTTCAGAAATTAACTTAAGTTGAAATTGGGACAAGTGTGATATGCTTACGTCTATGGTAGATCAATTATTTAGATTTTTTAAAACGTAGAATGTGTTTGAATTCGTTTTTAAATTGCGGTCCTAAAAAGTGTTACTTAGTTTCCGTTTAACTTTTTTTTTATTATTTCGCCAAAGATTTCTGCGATTTCGTGTAGTTCTTAACATAATTTAATGGCGAGGCACTTTATTTCCTACATACGTATGTATGTATGTACATACTTTCGGGCTGCGATAAAAATACTCTCTTCTTATCAACAAACATACCTCCATTCATATCAATATTATCAGGTAAACCTGTTGAGACACAAGCATGTGGAAATAATTTTGGCCCATGCATGAGTTTCGATTTAATGAACCCTTAGTGTAAGTTACGGCATAGACTACGCTGACTAGACTGCGCTGAGTCAAAGTGCCGGTTGAATTATTAAAATAACTTGCTTATGATTTTGGCAATGATTAACGAGCACTGTTATCAACATGACAACTACCAGTTAAGGAACTGCTGAATGCCGTGGTAGAAGCGGTGGTATGTAAAACAAAAGCCAATGCGCATGTGTCAGCCCAAATGTCAACGGAGCTGTGAATGAACATTTGGCTATTCAATAACCACCCCCGATGCGCAGTCACTAACGGTACATGTGAAAAATTTCTACAACAACGTTTAAATCTAAATCGAAATCGATAAGTACGCGTAGCCACAATCCGTGAAAAGCATTGAAATTTGTATTGACAAAAAAGCCAATTAAGTAGATGTTAATTCGCCAAATCGCCAGAGTTACTGTAACCATAATTACAACTACAAGACGGGCATGTCCAAGAAAAGTGTTAGCTATGAAAACTTGTTACAGATTTTTTGTGCCTTTCAAAATGATTGCTAGCTACTGGCCTGGCCAAGAAATCGATATCAGGGGCTGCTGTAGTCTACTGTAAAAATGCTTCAGTATCTTTATGAGAAAAACTGCAGTGCAGAGATTTTCATGCGTTGACATGAGCTTGAGTTTTTATTTTTTTTTTTTAGATCCCAAGGACCTCTTTGCAGACATTTAAGTTCTTGGCCTTACCCCCCTCATTATATTACATAAGTTATATGTGTTGTCTCGCTACGCCCTCGCATAAATCTCATTCATTATGAGTATATTTTTATGTATGCATCCTTATAGTATTTACATATCTATGTATGTATTTGTTTGTACTCATTGCAGCTGGTTCTGTTGAAAGGACTTGCATAAGTTATTGTATAGCTAATATCGTAGTGGAATCTGTGTAGTAGTTACAAAGCTACCAAAATGCAGCCACCACCGCGCAAGGTAAGTTAATGGCTAGAGTAAACACCCTCTTATAGGTTTGAAATGCATTTCAATGATATGTAATGCGTAAATCTCTTGCTCAGGGCAATTATGTCAAGTTCTTAAAAAATCTTCACACGGAGCAAGTGGCCAAGCTGCAGTTGAAAAATCAACATGAGTGCGACCTTCTCGAGGATATACGTCAGTTTACCATCAAGCGTTCGGCCATCGAAAAGTCATACAGCGAAGCTCTGTTAAAGATATCATCACAGTATCTCAACAAGAAAATACCAAACATACCTGACATTAAGATGGAGGGGATGGAGGAGCGTTGGTGAGTATACAGCGCACTTTGACATTGCCATTTTCACCTCTGACCTTTAAATTGTTTTTATCTCCAGGAACATGTGGAGTGTTTGGCGAACCGTGCTTGAGGAAAACGAAAAGTTGGCACGAGCACGGCTGGCCGCCATCGAGGTGTTTCAGCAGCAGATTGCTGATGAAGCGAAGGTGCTTCGAGATTACAAATTGGCCATAGCCAAGCGCTCCCTGGCTGGCATAGTCAACGTGCAGAAGGAGCTGCACTTGAGTGTTGGCGATGTCGACAAAACCAAGAAGCAATACTTTGATGAAGAGCATTGTGCCCACGATGTGCGCGATAAGGCGCGAGATATTGAGGAAAAGCTTAAGAAAAAAAAGGGCTCCTTCTTCCAGTCCATAACGTCTTTGCAGAAAAATAGCGCGCGCGTGACGTCACGCAAAGAGCTTCTGGAGGAAAAGTCGACCGGAGCGCGTAACGACTATATTCTCAGTCTGGCAGCAGCAAATGCTCATCAGAATCGGTACTTCACCGTCGATCTCCAGACGACAATGACCACAATGGAGAATTACGTTTTCGAGCGTGTCGCCGAATATTTAACTTTGATGGGGTAAGCCAAATAAATTGTTAAAGCATTAAATATTAAATTTTGGATACCCTTTAGACGTACCGAGCTGCTCACTTGCTCGGCCACTCAGAACAGCTTTGGGAAGATTCGGGATCAGGCACAACAGCTAACACGCGAATATAATCTACAGTGCTGCTATTTGTTCTATCCGGTACTCAAACAGCATATTCAGTACGACTTTGAGGCATGCGACAACGATCCCGTACGCAAAGTAACGTGTGAGCATGAATCTGCCTCTGAGACGCTCACTAAAGAGGCGAAGAATTTGGCGGGGCGTGTAGTCAAAGAGAATGCTTCGGTCAGGGAGAATGCAAAGAAGTTGGCGCTGTGTGTGTCCCTGCGCGACTCTGGTCAGCGTACGGATCCAAATGATCCCAATGGTCCGGACTTGGACACGAAAATTGAAGAATTTCGGGACCATATTCGCCGCTCTGAGACCGAGAAAGCCAAGGCTGAGGCCTGTCTTCAATGTCTGCGCGATGGCGGTATTAATGTTGATGAATGGGTGCAGGAGGCCGAGATCATGGGTGTGCAAGAGCTGACGCGCTCAACCAGTTCCATATCCATGCGTACTGATGCATCGGGTCAAGGCGAAAATCCAAGTTCGGATTCGTTCTATGATAGCGATAAGGAGGAGGCGGCCGTTCAGCCCACTGCAACCAAACCCAAAGAAGAGCAGCCATTGTCGCGGGATCGCACTTTCAGCGACAGTGATGAGGGTAAGTGGTACTTTCGTTAGAAAATCACATTTATGATAACTATTCTATCTTTTGTATATCTAAATAGAACCCGAAGAACGTGTTGCGCCTCCCACTACCCAGGTGCCCATGATGGCTGCTACCAGTAGTGGTTGGGACGATCCGACCGAAGTCAATTGGGGTGCCGAAGAGGAAGAGGATAAAAACGAACCCATTGTCCCTGAGCCCAAGGAGGCAATTTTTAAGTGCACTGCGCTCTATAGCTACACTGTATGTAATAATGGGAAATATTTTTCTTAATGCGTAATTTTTCTTCGGCCTTAACTATGATTGTAGGCTCAAAACCCTGACGAGCTGACTATTGTTGAAAATGAGCAACTTGAGGTCATTGGCGAGGGAGACGGCGACGGTTGGTTGCGCGCACGCAACTTCCGCGGTGAGGAGGGCTATGTGCCCCACAACTATTTGGACATCGATCAAGATGCTGCCGGCACCGCCTTAAATGGTAGTTCAGGAAATCAATTGCGCTCACAAATTTCATTCTCATCTGTCGATTATACTGTTGACAATGAAGATCAAACGGTGGACTCAATGCAATCTCCTGATCAGGTGTCGGTTATAATGGCGCCGCAAAAGCGCGTCAAGTCGGAGGTGGAGTGGTGTATTGCGTTGTATGATTACGATGCCAGTGCCGAGGACGAGCTAACCTTCGAGGAAGGCCAGATCATCAAGATTGTGACAAAAACAGCCCATGGAGTGGACGATGGATGGTGGGAGGGTGAGCTGGATGGAAAATTTGGAAACTTCCCCTCTTTGGTGGTCGAGGAATGCGATGAAATGGGCGAGCCATTAACCGAAGGCGGTGATGAGTCCCCGCCGCCAACAGCTCCGCCCACTTTTGCATTGCCGCCAGCACCAGCATTGCCGCCAGAGTATGCACATGAATTGGAGTTAACAGAGGATATGTTTGGTTCACAGGATACGGCAGGTAAGTTTTAAATTCAACAGATCCGTATTTGCATTATTAAGGTCCCGTAATTTATATTTCCTCACAGATGATGATAGTGGCTATATACCAAACGGCGCTGCTGCACCTTCAATGCCTCCACCAGGTAAGTTTCTGAATGGTGTTGAAATGAACATTTTTCTTTTCCCCTCACGATCTCTCTAAAGATCTATATACCTATCAATATAACTCACTCAATATACATTTCTTCAGTACGACCACTATAACTTTTACTATGTCCAATTCAAAGCTATTATTATACCAGATTCTATATTCTCTAGAGGTAAACATCTCCTATAAGTGAAGCTTTCCTTTAAAAAAACCACACGTATCAACTTCTACGCAAAGTCTCTACGCACTCTGACAAATTTAAAATGTGTATAACTTGTGAAACTAATACCAAATACTATACTAAAAAGGATATATTCCCATCCTTTGCAGAGTTCTCTATGCTGTGCAATAATGTGTCGCTTCGGTGTTTGTTATGATCTTGTTCTGATTTCTTTTGGCAGCTTATCTTAGTGGATGTTTGTTTGCAAGATGACACTGACTTTAGTTTTTTTATTAAAACGTTCTATTTTGCAAAATATAAATTTTCAATCACACTTCATATTACTAGATTTTTTTATGCTTCTGTAATTGTTGTATGTCCTGTTTCTTTCAGTACCTATAAATACATAACACTTTAAGGCCTTGTCTTTTTTACAAGGCTAAAAATAAAGACACTTTTAATCACATATATATGTACTATACTTTGTAATAAATTGTATAAAAGCATCTTATATTAACCCTTTTTTCCTTTTTTTCTAAATGATATTACAAAAATAGCTAAAAAGAATCGGAAATAGATATTGAACAACCCTTTCCTTTATGAATTTTGCATTTGTTGGAGCCCAGGAACGTTATATTGTCAGCTTCTGCAACTGCGTGTCCAAGGACCTTGGTTCTATTTCTCTGTTTCAAATGACAAAGTTTTCTGTTGATCACACCAACTTTATATAAGAGGTCTTCCACTTTATTTCATTTAAGGGTACTTTGTGTCGTCTGGTTGTATGTAATATTAAAAATAAATTCTCTACCCGTTGTATTGTAGCTATCGTGTACATGAATACACTTAATCCGAGTTGTAAACAACGTTTTTCTTGTTACTTTGTTCGTAATTGTTTAAAAACTAGCTACACTCAAAGACAAATATATTCTTGTTTTTTCCTTCTAATTAGAAACTGAAACCCAGTGTTGAGACTCGATAACTTAATCATTTTAATTTTAATTATGGTTGTTTGGGGTTTCTTTAAACTTATTATTCAAGACTTCATGTCAGATTATTTCGCTGAGTGTAAATAATTTGCGTGTTCCGATTGGGCATGTGAAAAGCTCAATATTTCCATGCACTATTTTGTTTTAACATATTATTTCTCTGGTCTTTAGTAACGAAAGATCACAACGATGTCTTTCAACAAAGTAACTTTCAATGAAACTTGTCTTAAGTAAATTAAAAACAAAACTTTCTTGTTTATTCTTAATGCATACTCAGTGCTCATTCAAGAACCTGGCATGGAGGTATTTAATTCAGACCCGTTCACCCATTTATGTATGATTGATCTAATTTAAATTGTTGATAATTTTGCAGGACGACATGAGCGACGATGGTAAGCCACCACCACCATTGCCACCACCACAGCTGGTCAAGGAGGGGGCTGCGCCAGCTAGCGCAAATGCGAACACATTAAACTTAGGTATGGCACAAATAATTGTAACCGCTGCAACCCCCATGGTTGAAGACGGTGCCGATAAATCTTTCCCACCAGTAGGAGAGAGCGAACAGTCGTCAACTGTTGACGAAACGAAGGCCCAGCCGGCGGACAAAAAGCCTGAGATAGCGCCGAAACCGACGGCCAAAGTCTCGCCTCAAAAGCAGTCGCACGTGGCTGCTTCGAAAGAAGGTAAAAGTAGTGGCCCAGTAAGACCCACTGTAAGCATAACTCTGACAGAATATCAATCCTGTCATGCAGAGGACCAGCAGTCCTATTCGGAGGGCACCGACTCAGCATCAGTTGAAGTCCCAGCTCTTCCGGAGGTTGACGATCCGTTCAATGAGAAGTCAAATGCGAGCGTCGCTGCCGCCGATACTTTGGCTAATGCTCCCGATGGGGGCGGTGGCTTTGAAGCCAATTTTGAGGCTAATTTCGATGTTAATTTTGACGATGCTTTTGCCAGCGGTGGCAATAGTAGCGCAGTGTCTGGGGGGAATAGCGCGCGGGGTCGTGGTGAGCAGTCTCATGATTTGGACGTGAATGGTGAGATGAATGTCGAGACCGAGGCTGAAATGAATGATATTGAGGCGCCGAAGCAAGTTGTTGGTGGGCGTGCTAGCATACCAGAAGAATTGGACTCCAATCAACTGGCACGTTTACAAAATCTCAAGGAGTCGAATGCTTAGATTTCGCCTCTTAATGACAAATAAAACGGCTTCTTCAATGTTTTCTATCTGTAAGGCACGCGATATATAGAATATAGACTTACTAATGGACAGTTATAGAGCACCCGCTACTGTTTGTACTGCAACAATACTCGTACCACAACATAATGCAAACAACAATTATAAGTTGATAACTTATTATACAGACACATGCATATACTATATAGTAAATACACACCAAAAATAGTCACAGTTGTGGCTGAGGCATCGTCGTAAGTCTGCAGATGTACAAGGACCGCCATTTATGAATTGGAAATAGGCAAATAGGCTTTTGATTTTTGACTACAATGATTGGCGTTTTGGTGTCTAGAAACTTGATTTCAACTTCGTAGAATTAAGTTGAACTAGATGGCAGACCATTAAAGAACAATGCAAACGCTGGTATACGTATGGATAACGGAAAGTATAGTAAAGTATAGAAATTCGAAAACTGGAGTTCTTCACATTGGCATAGGCATTGTTTATTTCCGAATTTTAAAAGGCAGCCCATGCACGTAACTATTGTTCAACGATAAGATAAACTGTCGCCATAATGTAAGCAGTTAGATAAATTACTTGCAATCAATTGGGAAGTTCCCGAGCAATTTTGTTAACGTTTCAAAGTTTTAGAATGACATTTCCTATTATTTGATTTTCAAATTATGCAAGCACATTGATTCAGTACGTTAACTTACAAGATCGGAATGCCCCAAAAGTAATAAATATTTAGAATGTAAAAAGTATTTCTCAATTAGTGTACATTTGTCCATTGGGAAAGTCAAACTGTCACTAATAGTTACCAAAATATCAACTGGGCCTTTATACAAAACCACCACGCGTTAATGAACTTTAGATAATGAATTATTACACCCTTACATATAAGGATAAGTAACGATATAAATATGTAACTACAAGTATATCTTTTAATTTAGCATTTCTTAAGTGTCAAGTATTTGTTCTGTTCTGTTAGCTAAAACGGGTCATGAATGTCTGTATATGTAGTTACTATTGAATAGATTATATATTCGCTGAAAAGGGAAGGGCTCAGTAGGAGTAAAGTAAAAGACAATAGTCGCGGACCGCCGTGCGTCTGTTCGCTTTAGAGTTTTATTGGAGACTGACACTTTTGCTATACATATTCTTTATGCTTACATTCGTATGCAACAGTGACAGATAACTTGTAGATAACATAAGATTATTATCTGCTTATATTAACATGCGTGCATTGGTACTTATGTTTGTATTGATTTTCAACACCCTTCCTCAATGCAAACATGTTTTACAAAAATTTTCAAATCAAATTTAACAGCTTTGTAAAATGAACATGCTTCGCTTTAGGGAGATTTTTCGTTAAAATATCAGCTATCATTTCATTGGTTGATGTATACTGTAAAACAATTTGTTCTTCGTTTACAACCTGTCTTGCAAAATGATATCTAATATCAATATGCTTTGTTCTTTCATGGTGTACAGGATTCTTAGCTAATTGTTGAGCACTTAAATTATCGCCATGAAGAATAGTTGGAGTACTCGAGTCACCGCAGCCAATCTCCACTATAAGACGCCGTAGGTATATGGCCTCCTTACACGCAGTTGAAAGAGCCATATACTCCGCCTCCGTGCTGCTAAGTGCCACGCTGCGTTGCTTTTCAGATCGCCAGGATATGGGTCCTCCAGCCAAGTAGTATACATAGCCAGTATACGACTTGCGATCGATGCGGTCGCCACCCCAGTCTGCATCCACATAGCCGGTAAGGGGTTGTCCACACTCTTTGTAGTGCAACTTCAGGTCCACAGTTGACGCCAGGTATCGAAGCACATGTTTTACACCCACTAGGTGCTCTGCATGCGGATCTTGATTCCGTTGAGCTAACTTGGCAACGGAATGCAATATGTCTGGCCTTGTTGTAAGCGCCAGCCACATTAACTCGCCAATTGAAGACTGGTAGGATGCAATGTCAACCTTTTGACAATGCTCGCTGGTACATATCACTTGGAAACCAGCATCCAGTGGGGTCGCTGTAGGTCTACAGGTCTCGCATCCATGTTCACGCAATATGTCTTTGATGTATTGCGAATTGCTTAGCGAAATTTCGCCAAGCTCACCGTCGCGCTGCACTTCCATGCCAAGGAACAAATGCAGCTCTCCCTTGTCAACACATTCAAACGATGTTGTAATGGCTGACTTGATGTTGGCCAAGTCCTCTTTTGATCGGCATGCTATAATTATATCATCAACATAAACAAGGATTAATGATAAGTCACCTCTTCCGTTCCTTTTGTAAAGACACGGTTCATTTTCACATGCTACAAAATCTATGCCTTGTAGTACACAATCGAGCTTGGAGTTCCACTCGCGCCCCGACTGCTTCAATCCATATATTGCCTTTTTAAGCAATAAAGCCTTACTTGGATTATTGGGATCTGTGTATCCCTGTGGCTGCTTCATATAAACAGTTTCATGCAGGTCGCTATTCAAATAGGCGGTACACACATCTATCTGGTGAAGGTACAGCTTCAATTCCGCTGCTAACGCCAAAATAAACCGCACGGTTTCCAATCTGCAAACGGGTGAGAACGTCTCTACATAGTTCACGCCATACTTCTGGGAGCACCCTTTAGCAACGAGTCGTGCCTTGAAACGTTCGACTTTTCCATCAGAGTCACGTTTCAGGCTGTATACCCACTTGCAACCAACTGCTCGCTGATCTTTTGGTAAATCAGCCATCTGCCAGGTTTCGTTTGATTGTAGTGCCTGATATTCCTTTTGCATCGCCTCTTGCCAGAATACTGCATGTGTGCTACCAACGGCCTGATCATAGGATGTCGGAACCATTACGTCACTAGCAACCAATGCTCCAAGCACATTGTATTGCTTTCTTGGACGACCAGGTTTACCATTTCGAACAATTTTAGGCCGGCCTGGCCCAATCTTCACAGTATCCTCGTCAGAGTCTTCTTTTTCGACTGCACTCTCATATGCGTTGGAGCTGCTGTCGTCAGAACTGTGCTCACTGTCATCGTCGTCGATGCTTCTGTCACCATCCGTGTGAGTGACATGCTCTTGAACCTCGCATGCAGGAAAATCTACCGTAACGGTATCTTCATTGGTATGACCACCACAACGCTCATCAAATAGAATGTCTCGTTTTTCGACAATCGTCCTCGTCTCTGGGTCGTATAACCGATAGCCTTTGGCTGCTACCGAATACCCAACCATACGGTACTCATGCCCTTTGGGTTTGAATTTGCCTTTACGGGGACCCTTTGCAAGTGCAACTGCAATGGAACCAAAAACTTTTAGATGGCTAACACAGGGTTTCTTACCTGTCCACGCTTCCATTGGAGTCAGGTTGTTCAGTGCACTGGTAGGTGATCTGTTTCTTATGTATACTGCTGTGTTGACTGCTTCGGCCCACAAAGACTCGCCTAGGCCCGACTGCACCAATAAGCATCTGGACATCTCCGTTAATGTCCGGTTTGCTCTTTCCGCCACGCCGTTCTGCTGCGGAGTATAAGCCACGGTCAATTGCCTTGCAATACCATGGTGTTTCAGGAAACCGTTGAATGTTGTGTTGACAAACTCGCCTCCATTGTCGGTTCGAATACATTTGAGCTTTTTATCTGTTTGCCGTTCAACCAAGTTTTTAAATTCGACGAACTTACTGAACACTTCATCTTTCTTCCGCAAAAAATAAACAAATATACGCCTGGACTTGTCATCGATGAAGGTCAGAAAGTATTTGGATCCAGCAAGTGACTTCGTGTCGAATGGGCCGCATACATCAGCATGAACCAGTTCCAACAGCTCTTCGGCACGGTTAGTGCTTACCTTTGGGAATGGCTGTACATGTATTTTGCTTAGCATACACGTTTTGCAATTCAAGTTGTCTGGGAAAAAAACCTTTCCAATACCACGCACTAGCTCTTTGCTGATCACTTCCTTCAGACTGGTAAAATTTAAATGGCCATAACGCTTATGCCACAATGTACCATCTGATTCAGTTGCGGAATAACACCTATTTTGTTTGCCTTGAAACATATAAAGGTTCCCAACTTTATTCGCTTTCAGTATACACTCGCCGTTTTGTATAACTTTAGCAAAATGTGGCCCAAAATGTATAACATTGTTCTTTTGCACTGACCGGCTGACGGACATAAAGTTGCCATTCATTTTCGGTACATACAGTACATCTGACAACACCAAGGTACAAAGTTCTGTCTGTAACTTCACCTCTCCTCTGCCTTCGGCCTTCAGGAAACCAGCGTCAGCTAAACCGATCATTTCAGTGTGCGCAATAAATTTTGAAAATAACGTCTTATCGCAACACATATGGCTTGTTGCTCCGCTGTCCAGACACCACATGTTGTTCTCTATCTTTCCAACGTCCAACGCATTTAACAAGCTGCTCTGCTTTTCCATCTCTTTCTTTGTCGATTGCTTTTTCCCTTCACCGCGAATTTTCTCACGCTTGCACTGTGCCTTGTAGTGCCCTTTTTCGCCGCAGTTGTAGCAAACGACGATTTTTGAATTCCTTTTTGAATTCGCTTTGGAATGCGCGACGATCTGCTGCGTAGCTATAAATGCTCTTGCATTCTCGCTCTCTCCATCTGCATTGCCTCTGCGCTCTCCCTCTTCCATCAGCTTGATACATAACACATCAAATGACGGTAAATTGTCACGCGTCTCAATGGCGACGACAAAATTTTCGTATGGTTCGGGCAAGCTTGACAACAACACGATTGTTTTTAACTCATCATTTAATTCGATGCCAACTGTACACAAACCATCCAGAATTTCGTTAAATTCGTGTATGTAACTTGAAATGCTTTGGCCTTGAAACATGCGTTTGCCTAGCAATTTCTTGTACAGCGACACTTTCCGTACAGGTCCACTCGGCTGATGAACGTCCTTTAACTTTTTCCATGCCTCGTACGAAGTGTTGCAATTTTTAATGAAGCCCAATTGTGAAGCTTTTACACTTAGCGTTATAATTGCTAATGCCTTTTCATCTTTTGGCCTTGAACTCTCAGTATTACTAGGTTCAGCACCTGATGCCACACTCCACAATTCCGCGTGCACTAAGACAGATCGCATCTGTATGCTCCATGAGTCATAGTTATGCTCTTCCAATTTGTCTATTTGATATAGCGCACTCATTTTTTAAATGTTATATTTCTTGAGTCACCAAACGATTACTATTTCACAATACTTTGAACTTCTCCTATGAGCCTATATGCCCTGGGCCCATAACCTATTGAATAGATTATATATTCGCTGAAAAGGGAAGGGCTCAGTAGGAGTAAAGTAAAAGACAATAGTCGCGGACCGCCGTGCGTCTGTTCGCTTTAGAGTTTTATTGGAGACTGACACTTTTGCTATACATATTCTTTATGCTTACATTCGTATGCAACAGTGACAGATAACTTGTAGATAACATAAGATTATTATCTGCTTATATTAACATGCGTGCATTGGTACTTATGTTTGTATTGATTTTCAACAGTTACAACCCAGCAACATGATGTGTGCAAATATATGATCATATATAATTCTAATTGTATAGTAACAATAAACCTGCATATTGAAAAGTGCTTACACATATACATATACATAATATTACCCTCAACGCAATATTCGCTTAAAACAATCGCAGAAAAATTATATTAAAAGTGTTCCTTTCACCAGAATTCAATGCGTCGCCATATGGATGTCTACCACACTACTAGGAATTGTGCAAACTGAAGCCATAGACAAAAAGTATATGTAATCGTATTACGTACATTTAGCAAAATAAAGTAATTATTAAAGCTCCAAACTTGCAGGCAAATAACATTAAAAATATCCCATTTGACGCAACTGAATGTGGCCAAAAGGTGTTCTAATGCATTGTAGGAAAAATTGATTTGCTTAAATATTGTTGTTTTTGAATTTTAGTGGAATATGTTATTGCTTTTGTTAAGTGGATAGTAATGATTGGAGTCATATAGAGAAGGTGGTTTTGTCCAAAAGAAAGGTTTACACAGATCTCATGCTTTTGTATAAAATATATACAACATATTTGATTATATGACTCTAGGCATTTTTTTCAAGCCACTTGGTACTTTGTGTCT